CATCACTTGCGCCATAGGATCCGGGATGACAGAACTACCGAACCAACGGTTGATCGGTCGAGTACCGTCACCCCCGAACTTCACGTCGTAATTCAGAACGATATAAGCAAGTGCCGTCTTGAGCTCATTCGCAGCAAAGAACCGCCCTGGGCTGGAGACAACAATCAAGTTAACACCCCCATGTTGACATGAACAGCAAATCAACGCACCAAGCGTGTTTCCCATGGCCGAATGATATGTATTCGGGCGATGTGGCTGACGTACTGGTGCTTGATGCGATCGCTCTCTTCGGCTCGTATGTCAGAGAACCGATAAGGCTTGAAGTCGTAAGGCAGGTCATAGCTTTCGTCATCATAGTGCATAGCTTCTGCAGCTGATCCGACAATTGTGCCGGCCGGAATGACAGTTCCATCGGACAGTGTTACGTCCTTCAATGTTTTGCGGATAATAGAGACTAAGAGCGATGCGACGTCATATCTTTCGTTTCACATATGCATCCAAAGGAGGGATACACGTACTGCATCCGATTCCGTTCATTCTCTGAGACTCTCGCATGAAGCTATCCAGCTTCCACATCTTACCCAAGGCGATTTTCGTCCATCCTTCCGTCTTAATGAAGCTTTCAACTTCTTCTCGAAGACGGTGTATGTGTTCGGGATTGGCTGCTAGGTGGAATAAGGCATGGGTTATGCTCTGTTCGACGAGATGCGTCCAATCAATCCCGCGCCTTAACAAAATCATAGCAGAGCGCACATACTGTAGATGATGTATGTATCGCAACGAAGTTTGAGGATAATAGAGCTTGTACGACCAGATCGACGGTCTTGCCAGCGGCCATTGCTTCCTCCACCAGCCACGTCATAAAGTTATTCTGAGAGACACAGACAAAACGTTAGATGTGGATAAGGCGATAGACTGTAGCACGTACAGGCCTATCAGCCCAATCTCTCCCGTGCTTGTTCAGTTGTTTGATGCGCTCCTCTATGACAGACTTCATCGTCGCAGAGAACTGTCGAACAGCCCTTCGTGACCAAGGCAGCAAACGACCGACCAGACTATGTCAGGTATCAGTAATATTCAGAACCGCATTGCAGACCCATCACGTACGGCTTAAGGATCGTCGGGGTGACCATCATGATAGCCCGTCCCTTTCCAACGTCAGCGGTGAAGTTTAACGCTATATCCAGGTACTCCCTATTGCGGCCTGGCAGGAGATGAGACATGGTATGACAGTCCGTTGAGCTCTCGACTCACAGAAGGGAAGGCCGACGAACACACGATTACTCGCACGACAAACGATCTGTCTCATAGTGGAAAGTCCTGGCACGGTCACCCATTCTACGTGTCCGTGACTTAGTGAATACGGTAGGCCACGTTGATTGTGAACGCCTACCGTCATGTTCAATCGGGATCAGTTTTTCCATGGCCACGGTAATTTCATCCACGACATCTGGAAGGACAACACCGAGATTGCGCGTGAGCGGGCCACGGATTACCGAAATGTGGATCGGGTGGCCGGTGACTTCGCCAGCGATCGTGTACTTCATCTGCACCAACTATTAAATGATCCGTATACCAGCAAGACCAATCAACGACTCAGATTCATGTGTTCGCACTTCTTCCGCAGCATCCAAGAAGGACATCTCATCGTCTGGGAACTTGCGCAGCTCTTCGTTCATCTTCGCACCGCAAAAAATTACAACCCAGCGATCCATCATCGGGAGCCTGAAGACGGAGCCTTTGTGCTAAGATCGACGTCGTTCATGAGCTCGATATGGCCGAGAAGGAGGGAGGTACCTTCTCGTAACCTTCCTTCAGCAATTCACGTGCATTTCGAGTGAAATTGTATGCTCCGATGTATGGTAGTAAGGGGCCGAAAACCCGACAGCAGGAATTGAATACAGCTAACGGGTAGTTGAGCGGGTCTATGCAGAAGCAATGGTTGCCAAAGGGTGCATCGAACGGCCCGACTTACAGGATTCGACCTTCTGTGGATGTAGATCAGAAGCGGGATCGCAATGAGCAAGGTGTACATGATTTGTGTCGGATCCATGTTGAAAGGCAGATCACATCGGCAGCCGCAGCTTGCGCATTGGATACGTTGGCGCTTTTATAGATGTCTCTGGAATGATTGTTCCGCATATCGTCCGCATATCGTGCGATTCCAAGCAGTCAGCATATCCGAACTACGAATGATGTAATTAAGCATGCGGTACCGATGATTTGATGATCATATCAGCGTTCCTGTTCAGCAATTGTGCCGTAGCGGAACTATGAATGCATATCATCGACATATTCTCCGAACATGACACGTCCTGCAGAACATGCATACGGAATCAGCCACCCACATAGCATGAAGAACACAGAAACAACGTACCGTGGAGGTTTTCGAACAACTAATGCATACAGTCGCTTCTATGGCTGTTCGATGCCGCAGCCCATAGGGAATTATAAATAAAGGCATCGCTATTGAGTCCCTGTGACAGCAAGCTATAAATGCACGTTGCCAATCGGGTACATAGGAGAGCAGTCAGCTGAGCCGGACCTCACAAGCTAAACCACAATTGCACCACCGCCATTTGATTTTGCCAACGTATCCTGGCGAGGATATCATGAAGAAGACATTCGCACTAGATAGTGGCTGGACGTACTGCGTGCGCAGTAATTAGGATGCGCTAGTGTGCAGCCTAATCACTGTGCACCCATCAAATGTCAAAAGCTACATAACTAACGATGTTCGATGGAGTCGATACACGCAAATAGGTTCCATAGAGCACTGATGAACGTCCGTATCTCTCCTGCTGAAGCTGAAAGACTGGAAGCTCGTTATTAGAATATTAATACGGCCTCTGACCTGTTCACAGCGCATATTTGTCAACGCAACTGTGATGCCTGTATAAGAAGACATTCTCCATCGCGAGCGAAACGTTCTGTCAGTGTTATCGAACATCATTCACCACATATCACTTGACAAGGTTCACGCATCAGGAAAAGTCACATTTGGCAATTCTGTGCTTGACGTGCTTGGCCACCAAGTCCTCCGAGTGATCCGAGTGGCCAGTAAATGCACAAGTCATCCAGCCAATAATTGCTGCAGCTGAGAGAAAAGCGAAGAATGAGTATCAGATGCCTTTCCGAATGACCTGTCATTCAGTATCATGGCCTGCTTACATCAGCATTTGGGTTCTCACACTTGTGGCTGAACGAATTTTCGCGCTTGTGGCAGGGCACCGGTTTCGGCCCCTTCTCTTCGTCAGCCCCCCTGACCCTGACCGACATTCGCGCGCTCTCGTCGTCTGCCTGTCTGCGTTGTCGTCGCGACCTTGCCGTACATCACTCTTTTCGCGCTGTCGGTCGCTTCGCCGTTTGTCCTGCCCGCGGCCTGCTATCTCTGTGGAACGCCATCGTCTCGCCCGTATGCCTGTCGAGCTTGTGCATGTCGCCCCGCTGTCCAAGGGGGATGATATCTGTCGAAGATCCGAACGTGTTCGCTGCTATGAACGACCACCGACTCCCTCTGCTTTTTGGCGATGGTGCTCGCTTGCTATACTGTGGTTGTGTTCTGTCCGAACTTGGGGTTTCTCTGCCACCTGCCCTCAGTTGTTGGCGTTGTCAACTTCTGGTTTCGCTTCTTGCCGCTCGTCTGCCTCATCGTTCATCGGTGCCTTTGTTGAGTCAGCACGGGATGAGCCTCAGACATGCCATCGCACGGTGGATGCTGTTTTGGCCGCGCTTACGCCGCACACCTGTGATGATTCCTTCACCCACCCACCCCCATGGTGTGTGAACTTCCTATCTCGTGTTTCGACGAAGTCGTTCAACGTCCTCCACGTAAACTCGTTAGTTCGCACGACATGTGGCACTCGTTTTCTGTTGTCATTGGTAACGCTCCTTCGCACTGTGTGTTTCCGCTTCATTTGTTCATTGAAGTAGTCTGTTGCGTCGCACGACCTCGTCATGATAGAATGTACTGTCACTCGCTTCAAATGCGATGCAAGCGGCGATGCGGTGTATATCGACGGATGGAGGCGTTGGCACACACAACTGGAACTGCTCACTGTCACCAAACTTATCGAACGACCAGAACTGATAATCAACGAAGGGTTCGGAGTAACGGACGACGTCCTCATTTGAATGAAGTACTGACTGTTCTTCACCCCCCCCCCCCCTTTCAAATTATCATGTAAAATGCAATGTGCTCGCTTCGTTACTCGACCCTACGGTTCTATCTGATCTGAACATTTGTACCTTTCCGAATGATCATGTACAAGTCGATGTACTCGCTTCGCTACTTCACCATCCATGACTGTATATCTTTCGTGCGAAATGATAACTCATCCTTTCTCCTGTGTTATCGCGCGGAACACACATCTGATGTGGATTCGCGCGCATCCCCACTGGTCATTCGGAACCGGGCGTGCGCATGCAGCGCCTCCACCGTGCCCCAAGTAGACAAGACGGTCAAAAAGTGTCACATCCTACACATGCAAACGGCAATTGCATGGGAGGTGACAAGAATATACCAGCGTGTACGTGTAGTGATGTCTTACGACACAGATAACCTCCATGAGTTGATGGCAGTACAAGATACGTTCAACCCTGTCGGAAAATTCCTGTTTAAATGTAAGAAACGCTTTGTTTATTGGCTACTAGTGAGCGCAATCTCGGAGGAAGATCCAATCTTGTTAAATACAGTATGCAAATTATGGAAATGACAGCATCATATGGCTGAACGCTACAGTGGGAGATTTGATATCAATATAAGCAATACAGTATCATGCAAAACATGGGCCACGAAGTGATGAAATCCAAGAAAACGTTACAAAGATGCGATGGTCGGGAATCAAAATCCGCCTAAACAGCCTTCATCCAGACTGGGAGACAACATCGTAACTCTAGTACGTGCTGTGCCGCTCCTCTTCAGAATGGGTCTACTCCTCTTTCCTTCAGATGTCAGCATCGCAGGTAGGTTGTAGATGAGGCTCCCATCGGTCGCCTGCATACCACAGACAGCAGATGGAGTAGACGCAGCAAAGGCTTGTGGGCTGTCCGCCAAGCGCAGCGGAATGGGAGTGGTGAGAATTGCGGACACGCTTGGGTCCAAAGGCGTAATCACTGCATCGTCGGGATCGTCCGAAGGAGATAAATCAGGGACAAGTGATGGTAGGGAATGAAGATCTAATGCTGTGGAGGGGACGTCGAGAGGTTCTGGGGCACAGGCCTCATACGCGCGCGGGTGAAAATAGCTGCCCTTCACGTCTGTCTCATCCTCATCCTCATCCTCTTCCTCTTCGCGTTCTCGACTGGAACTGCGACTGCGTGAACGGCCTCTCCTTCTCTCCTTGTCGAGGTCGGCCGCGGGAGAGCGTAGCTGAGAATGCGGCTTTCTCTCCCCTCTGTTCGGCAAGAGACAGGCGTTCGGTGACACGACGATCGGAGCACGGTCGTATGTATGCGGAGAGTGGGTGAAGCGCATGGAGGCCATCCAAGGAGTCGGAGGAAAATGTACATGCGGAGAGAAAATGTAGTCGCATGTTACAAATGGGAGGTCAATGGAAAGCGGTGTCGGGGACATATCCCTTTTGAGGATTGGACGAGGACGGGATCGCGTTCGAGGGGTCATCGTGGCCGACTTTAGAGTAGATATGGAGCTATGCAAGCGGATTGTGCGGGATACTCAGGCTGCAGACCGTCGAACGGGCGTTTGGTGCGCCCAACGCTGATTTCTTCCTTCCCATGGCCTACCTTATAAGCGAGTAGAGACATCGCCGTGCGCTAGTGCGCCTCGCATCACTATCGGAGTCAGAAACAGAACACTCCCAATAGCTATGCATGTATTCGCTCCTATTTGGTTGGCGTCTCCACTGATGGAACAAGTTAACAGCCGAAGGAAGGTCTCAATGAGCCGTGTTGTGGTAGCATTAGTATTCAAACCTACCCTTGGAGGGACCGGATGCTCAACGTTGAAGCCTCAAAGTCAGATGAACATGCGCAGATCATAGATATTTTATCCGGCATTGTCAATTGCTTGCCACGAGAACGCGGAGCCTGTACATTGGATCATCACCCCGTTTTCTCCTGAACCTATGGAGCAACGCACATCAAGACTGACTGTGGTGAGAGGGTACGAAGTCAACCCGGAACACAGCAACCGATCCGCTTCGCAGTGACTGTTGTGGATATCATGGGCAACGGGAGGCCAAGAGTAGTGCTCGCACAGCATCGAACCACTCACAAAAGGTAGGCCTTCCGAACGTTCCGATAAGCTCGAAAGGTCAAGAATTATCGTTCAATCAACTTGCAAATGAATGGTCCATATGACTATCAAACATGCGGCGTAGTCTAACCGATGGGCCGATAAAAGTGCGCTAGATATGACAAAGGGTAAGATACATCCGGAACTCGGAAATGAAGAACAGACAGAGAGCAGCATGGATGTGGAGTCAGAATCCAGCGGACTCCATTGCGACTCATTCTAGTTCGTCATCAGGTCCGCCAAGGATTGAGGTCGATGATGCTAGCAGATTTCTTTGATGCTTCGTCGTCAATCGTGCGGGAGGCAGTCGTCATGGTCCACGGATCCCGCTCCACGCTCAAAGGTGAGGGAGAGTAGGTGATCGATCCATCAACACCGCCAAATGCAAGCGAGGTATCTGATAGTGACAGGAATGGATTGCGGGATGGCAATGATGTGCCAAGAGTGCTGTACGTGGAAGACGCCACCGACGATATGGCGCCGCCACCGTTAGACAACGCATTCTGAGAGTGCACGTCAGCCGAAGGCGGTCGATAATCAGCAAACACGCCGAAAGTCGAGGTAGATGTCGATTCGTTGCCTGGCCAAGTCGAAGTGGTGATATCACTTGAAAATGCAGCTGGACGGTAGCCTGTGTGCAGTGTCTGCTCTGCCAATGAGCTTTCACCATCTGAAGCCGACTCATCCTCATCCGCGGCGGAATGCAACCTAGAGGAGTGTGATTTTGAGGTCAGCTCGCTTAGGAATAGCGAGCTAGGACCTGCTACAGGCTCTTTCTGGTCTTTGGCGGGTCTCACGTCAAATGACGTACGGTACGGCGGTTTATCATCGGAGAACTTCGGCGAAGGCAAAGGAACAGATTCTGAGCGATGTGTCGGTTCGTGTGTCGGTTGTGCAAGTGATGGTCGCGTCACCTTTGACAGATTAGTCTCAGGATTGCCAATGACGTCTTTGATTGCGTCGAAGTCGAACCCTGCACGCGCAGGTAAATGGGCCGTAGACAGGTCGGAATCAGGGCTGTCCACTGGTGATGCCTCATCAGTCGCAGTGGATGTCTCAAGAGCAGGTGTGGAAGGTTGCGACGGCGCGACGGACGCTGAAATAGAAGTCGTTTCTCGCGGCGGCAATTCATCGTCCGTTGCGCTCGACTGGGACGTTCGTCCTTCCTTCTGAACGGAAAAGGACCCTGCTGATGGCGGATGCGATACACGCGCTGCTGGAGTTGAAGGTGTCTTCTTCTTCCTATGGAACCAACTCTTTTTCTGTAGGTTTTCTTCGCCTTCCCGCACAACGATGCGGTCTTCCGTGAAATCGGGCTCCTATCGCAATAGATTCCATGAGTAAATGCCTGTCACCCAATTAGCTATGACGGCACTCACGACTGGTTCATCGAAGTAGTCTGCGGAGACGGGGAACCCAAGCTGATCCAGGATCAGCGGCATAAAGGTGCGATAGCTCATGTGGCCAGAGATCTTGTCCGTGACGTCGACATTCTCAAGGCCCGGAACATCTTTCACCGGACGCAATCCTGCAACGGTGTTGAGGCCGCCGCTAGTCGCGCGGAATAGGTAGTTTAGTACCCAGTCGTTGCGCGCATACCCATTGACGAACCGGCCCGAAATTATCGAGCGTACTTCGAGCCACGTACGTAGTGGGGCGGTGACCGTCGCACCGAGCAGAAAGACATCTTCGACAATGCCAAACGCTTTGCGCTTCGCGAGCTCCAGAAGGGCGTAGAAAATGACGCGCGCACCGAGAGAGAACCCGATGAGGGTAATGGGGCGCACACCCAAATGTCGGTGAAGGAGGACATCAGCCAACACAAGACCCGCCGCTTTGGCGCGGTCTAACGCATTTGACCATGGGTTATCGATGAGATATCCGAGCTTCGTGAGGACTGAACAATGACGTCAGCGGAAGCAATACTAGAGGGACCGGGAAAAGGCGTACTGATCGGCCACTGTAGGGCACTCATCAATGCTGTCATTACGGTTGCTTGCAACGCGGTTTGTGCGAGCTGCGTCAACACCTCGCTCGTCAGGATCTTCAATGCACTTCCTGTCTCTCGAATCATCTCTGGCTCCCAAAGTACGCTGAAGACATCACCAACGACCGGATCAAGGACGCTGAAGGGTAATCGAACATCGTCTTGAGGACCGGTCATGAACCTGGGTGACAAATCGTGTGCTCAACAAATGTCATGCGACCTTTTGTAAACGAACATACCCAGGCACAGTCAATATGCAATTGACCCGTTTGTTGTTGTGCAGAGGCAAAATGTCAAACGTCCGTACATATCGTGTACGACGTGCCATGCCGCTGACAGCCACACCTGAGCCAGTCAGTACTCCGCCGGTTGTGATGACTGCAGCTCCAGCAGTTCCAGCGAGAAAGCTTGTTGTGCCTGTTATACCGATCGTAGCAAAAGCAGCACCGAGACCAGCACCGATGACAGGCGCAAGCAGACCCGCTGAAAGTCCGATGACCAGACCGCCACCTGCAATATTGTGATGAGATCACCATGAAAGTCAGTATTTAATATGACATACCGATAGTTGCGAGCCCCAGCATCATATACCGCCTCTTTCTCGTTGCCTTCTGCACATTCTTTATGATATCCTCCTGTTCTAGCTTCTCCGTGCCCTCCTCGATCTCAAGAGCTTCAGAGACCCGCCGCTCAAATCTCACGACGTCCAACCAGCCAAGCCCCAGTTTTAAAGCTACGTTCTCCAGCAAGACGCGAGACCGTGCATCATATACACTGTCTGCAATGAGCACCAGGAAGAGATCGCAAAGCACGGTCCACCGTATGTCGAGGGTGACCTTCTCGTCTGCAGCAGACAAGTGAGTGCTAACTCCGGGCACTGAGGAGGAGGTATCTTGGAGAACTCTCGTGGTAGTTTGTGTGGGCTTCGGTGTGGTTGTGGGTATCGGTTCCTTCGGAGTCGAAGGCGTCGGGGTGATAGGTATGGATTCGGACACATCGGCAGACTCATTCTCCATAGCTTCCAAACGTGCGGACTCGGCAGCAGCCTGCTCCTCTGCTTGCCGACGGGCCTCTGCAGGATCATATTCCGGATTGGCGACAGTGTGTGTGGTCATAAGTGCTGGCACAAGGTCCTTTGCCTCGATTCCGTGCACAGCAAGACTGTCGATCATCTTCTGCTCTGACAACTCGTTCAGTGTAAACCTAGATGTGCGCGAGCAAAGCAAGGATCACCTTCAGTTGAAAGTTCCATATGATAATACAACCGACCCGTGATTCTGAGAGCCCACAGCTCCATATTCTCGATTGCTTTCTTGAGCTCTTTCCGGTTGACAGCCTTGAGTTTCGCGGACATCTCTCGACTTGTAAGGGCGCAGAGACCAACATAGGCTATCCGCTGGGCTTCGGTTAGGAGGTCCTTCGTAGCTTGCATCTGACTGAGCGGGGTCATCGCCTTATCCTCGTCGAACAAGTACTTCGTGCGCAGGTGGACTTCATCGGACTCATCCTCCTCGTTCACTCGTAGGCGAGTGTACTCGTTCTCGTTCTGATCGACCTTCGACCGCCATTCATTGCCTCGGTAATCGACGTCGAGTAATGTTCCAGTCGCATTTCCACCACCATCGTTGCCACTCTTATGAACAGGGGGAACATAATGGTACTTCTTCTGGTCTTCCTCGTCTAGCCCGCCGGCTATGTCGTCCCTGTCGCGGATGACCGGCATGTCTTGCCATCCCTCATCGTCGTCGTCGAAGACATCGGGCTCTATAGGTGCTATAGGCGGAGGGGCAAGCACCGGCATCTAAGCAGAGAAAGACGAGATGTTGAGACAAGGAAGGGATGTAGCCTTCGCGGTATCCGACAAGCAAGCAATGCACTCAGTGGCTTCGAGTCGAGCGCTACACGTGCACGTAGCGCGCTGCGGTCTCGCGATCACCACAACTTGCCCTTTTCTTGAGAATCTTTGGGCTCCTCAACCTTCCAATACAGTATACTATCATTCTACAGACGGCTAGCGTTGCTCGACGTAGCCTGGCCATATCAACACAGTAAACATCTGGAATAGCTGAACATAGTGTAAGTCGAGTGACTACTTCGCTTCCTTCGCCTGTGATCGAGCTTCCTCCCTTTCCTGGGCTCTCTTTCGTGCCTCATCCTGTTTCAACGCTGCTTTCATCCTCCTTTGTCGTTTTCGCCGGCCAGCACCTCTTTTGGATCCTTCTACGACTATCTGTTCGGTCATCCTGCGTTTCTTGCGCGCGATCTCTTCTGCTCGTTGCTTCTCGCGTTTCTTGTCGCGCTTTCGGAGAGTTGTCATTGAAGATTTCAAGAGGGCGCCGTACTGTTCATGGAACTTTTCCAGCTGGCCTGACTCCACCTATGTAAGGGAGGCATGGATATATTCGATCAACGATGATTGTGAACGGTGAGCTCACTTTCGTCGACAATTTTGCGTCGCCATCGGTGACGCGTATCAGGCATGGGTATTCTACATCTTCACCTTCACCGGGGGACGTAACGCTGCCGTGCTCATCATGCGTGACTAGTGCGTCGCAGGTCGTAAGCCAAAGCGAGCCAGTGCAGATATTGGGGCAACGCACGTCGTTTGTGAGTGAGCCATATTGTGCCCGAGTCCTGCTTCGATTCAAACAGTGCAGCAAGACGTTGCAAGAACTGTCGGCAATTCGTCAGGCGGCGCGAACTCTGTCTGAAGCGTAGCAACGTACGGTATCGTTATCTACCAGCTGCATTGAAGCTGGCAGGCGGGCTGCAAGTCTGTGGCAACAGCCCAAGTCACAGCGTGTCACAAGAGGAACAAGGCGTGACACGCTGTGACTTGGGCCCTGCGTCGTCCTTGCACCATCCTCTCGCCACGAGCGCTACATGCTATACAAAATGTCGAAATTTGCCAACGACATCCAAGGATGGCAGCATATCCCTCTCCTATTCGCGGCGCATCTCTGCTGCTCTCTTTTCGCCTGCAGAAGCAGGTAGTGATTCTCATTGGGTCGAATGCACTAGCGGCGTCTCGTGCCTTCGCAGCCCTCGAAGCCGATTCCGATGTTGTCGTGCTTGCCAAGGGTGGACCTGACTCTGCTTGCGACGAGTTACGTTGGCGAGCCAGCCAAGGTCAACTCCGGTTACTGGATCTGGAATCTCTCCCCTGCTCTGCCGATAAAACCGTGGATCGAGATGCGCAGGTTATCGACGACTACCTATCTACCTCTGAGCAAGTCAGGCTGGTCTGCGTCACAGACACCCTGCTCGGCTCAGATTCATCACAACGTCGCAGCAGGGTCTCTGCAGGACTCATCGCTTATGCTTGCCGTCTCCGTAACATCCTCGTCAACGTAACCGACATGCCTGACTTGTGCGACTTTACTTTCCTGTCCACGCATCGCTTCCAAGATCCTAAAACCGGCGCACCGTCTTCTCTACAAGTCGGCGTGACTACCAACGGCCAGGGTTGTCGGCTCGCCAACCGCTTGCGTAGGGAGATTGTCGCCAAACTTCCCAGAGAGGTCGGCACTGCAGTGACCAATGTTGGGAAGCTGCGTAGCATGGCCAAGGCATCAGAGCTTGTGGAAGAGGACGAGGCTGTGGCGGAGTTAGATGAGGAAGCAGCACCCTCTACGCCCAATCGACCCGTGTTACAGAGGGCCGCCAACGAAACAGCACGGGAGAGCGCACGGAGGCGGATGAAGTGGGTAGCGCAGGTCAGCGAGTATTGGCCTATACAGAAATTGGCTAGGATGAGTGAAGAGCACATAGCGATGGTGCTTGACGGGGGCTTTGGACTCCCTCCCACTCCTCCTGAGAAGCAGGGTGGAAAGCCTGTATCTGTGTCTCAGCACGAGCTTACCCTCTCGCCACCTCATGGTGGGAGGATCTACCTTGTCGGCTCGGGCCCAGGACATCCCTCCCTACTCACAGTCGCCACGCACACCGCTCTGACGAAGATTGCAGACCTGGTACTTTCGGACAAGCTCGTGCCTGCTGCCGTGCTCGCCCTCATTCCGCCGGAAGTTGAAGTCCGCATTGCACGGAAGTTCCCTGGCAACGCGGATGGTGCGCAGGCAGAGTTAATGGAGGCAGCTGTGGAGGCAGCGAGGCGAGGGCTGACTGTAGTGCGGGTACGTACTTTGCGGAATGGCGGTTTCCTCGGCTCGTGCTGACATCCAAGTCGTTAGCTCAAGCAAGGTGACCCATCGGTTTATGGACGTGCGGGCGAGGAGATACTGTACTTCCGCGAGCACGGCTTTGAGCCCGTTGTCGTACCAGGCGTGAGCTCCGTGCTCGCAGGGCCGACATTTGCAGGCATCCCGGTCACGCAGCGCGGGGCAGCCGAGTCGTTCGTCGTCTGCACCGGCGTCGGCCGCCAGGGGAAGGAAGTCAAGCTACCCGGCTACGAGCGCAGCCGCACGCTGGTCATACTCATGGGTGTCGCCCGTCTCCCACAGATGTTAGGCACACTCCTGGCTGAGTCTGGGGAGCCAGCGTCTCGCCGGAATGGGCCTGCATTCCCTCCGTCGACGCCGATCGCTATCATTGAGCGAGCGTCGATGCCCGACCAGCGAGTGATCTATTCGACATTGCGGGACATCTCTGCTGCACTTGAGAGTGCCGGAGAACAGCGGCCACCTGGTATGATCGTAGTTGGGTGGTCGGTGTTGTCGTTGTGGGACCAGGGCGATGTCAGCGTGTTGGACGACAAAGCTGGCGAGAAGGACGAGGAAAGAATCACGAGGTGGCTTGGCGAGCAGCGATGGAGAATTAAAGATGGATTAGACGTCGGATGGGATGATTGGTAAACTTCTCGGGTTATGATCAGTACTGTCTTATTTTCAAGTATATAATAGATTTTCTGCACCATGTCCAAGTGATGGCCAGGAGGACAATTCCATTTCCAAAACGGGCGACGCGTCGCGTCGGTCACGTGGTACATCCAAACGCGACTTGGGCACGCGTTGGAAGTTGTTGTTCACCGAGTCTGCAGAACCTCGTCTGAATACGCAACACCAATGCCACCCCGTCGTTCAGGCCGGACTCGCGCATCTGTCGAGCCGGAATCTGTTGTCCCACCTACAACGCCGAAACGCAAGCGCAATGGTGCGCACGAGCCGGAGCAAGAGAACATCAAGCCCGCGTCGAGGACGCGTCGATCCACATCCGCCCAACCGATGCCTCCTCAAACTGCCAAAGGGCCTGCCTCGACGCGCTCAAGGCCTTCTTTAGAGCAGGTACTGGAGTCTGACGAAGAAGTGCACGAAGAGCCCGCCCGACCGGCGAAAAAGTCGCGTCCATCGCTTGAACCTGAAGGGAGCGATTCCAACGATGAGATTGTTCAGGTGAAGGCGAAGACAAGGCGAGCTGCGGCGCAGAAGGCAACTAGTAGAGTGGAGACGATTGAGGCGGAGGATTCGGAAGATGAACTGGCCAGCATCAAACCGAAGACGAGTGCCACAGTCAAAACCGAGACAGAAGAAGAGGACTACGTGCCACCCAGCAAGGGCCATTTGTCCGCTGCTTCATCTACGTCGAAACGCGCTTCGACTAGCTCGGCACGCGGTTCCCGGTCAACTGCATCAGCTAGGAAGATGAAGGTTCCCGACAGCGAGCCCGAGGCCGTATTGACCTCGGATGATGACGGCGTTGAGATTATAAAGCCCCCACGGGGCAAGGGAAAGGCTCGCGCGGCTAAGACCGTCCGCGTTGTGGAAGATTCAGACGAGGAGGAGACTCTCGGTGTAGCTGCGCCTCCACCGGAGACAATGAAGGTCAAGAAGGAACGTGGTGTAAAGACCGTCGTGAAGCAAGAGAAGCAAGTTGCTCAGAAAAGTCCTGAGCCTGTGGAACTCCATGTAGGGGAAGAGCCTGCCGAAGAGGTCGTGAAAGGGCGCGACAATCAGGAGGTCATAGAAACATCAGACGCGGAAGAGACGAACGAGGTCCTCACTGCCGTACTTGATAGTAAGGAGGCTGTGAAGGAGCAGCAAGAGGAAGAGTATTCGTTACTCGGCCCTTCCAAGTCCCCTACGCCGCGCCCGCAAACTGTACCTGCAGCGCCTGAGGAGCCGCAAGGCCCAAAGGCGCGGTTGGTCATACACAAGATGGCTCTCATCAACTTTAAGAGCTATGCTGGTCGCCAGGAAATCGGCCCTTTCCACAAGGTATGCGGTTATCTGTTGTAAACCTGATAGCTGGTTCTATTGGACAACGACTTCACAGTCATTCTCGGCCATCGTCGGTCCGAACGGCTCTGGCAAGTCGAATACTATTGACGCACTACTTTTTGTGTTTGGTTATCGAGCCTCAAAGATGAGACAAGGCAAGCTGTCCGAGCTAATACACAACTCCGCCCGTCATCCGGACTTGGATGAGTGCAGCGTGGAGGTACACTTCAGGGAGATCATCGACTTGGTATGAACTAGTTGCGGTGGCTCGTGTGCTTGCCACTAACGCCGTCGTCTGCGTTTCTAGCCGGGTCCAGATGCATTCGAAGTTGTTCCCGGTTCGCAGCTTATCGTTGCGCGCACCGCGTATAAGAACAACTCGAGCAGGTACACGATCAACGGGCGGCAGAGTAACTACAAGGAAGTGCAAACTCTATTGAAGGGACGCGGCATCGACCTCGATCACAATCGCTTCCTCATCTTGCAGGTGCGCATGTCCATCAGTTCTTCCAAATAACTCCATGAATCGGTCGCATGTGTTTAGGGTGAAGTCGAGTCTATTGCTCAAATGAAGCCAAAGGCGGCTTCCGAGCATGAAGACGGTCTCCTTGAGTACTTGGAGGACATCATCGGGACGTCCCAATATAAAGAGCCTATCGAAGAGACACTCGTCGAGGTTGAGCGCCTTTCGGAAGATCGCATGGATAAGCTGAACCGGCTTCGGATTGTCGAGCGCGACCGTAACGCATTGGAGGCCAAGAAGCGTGAGGCAGAAGATTACCTGCGCATGAAGAATGAGCACATACGTGCGCTTTCTCGACTTTGGCAGTATTACTTATGGCAGTGCTTCGTGAACGAGGAAGCCTATGAGAAGGCAATGGTACGTGGTTCATCACAATTTGTGGCCTGTTACCTCATGGACGACTCTCCCGCTCGCTCAGGCTCGGCTTGAGAAAGAATTGGCAGATGAGACGGAACGTAACCGTGACGACATTCTTCATCTCGAGCTACTGCAGAAGCATTACGACGAGCGGTGTGCGGCGTACGAGGTGAGGTCGCTTATTAGTGTGTAAGCGTCGCCATGATTGATTGCTGTCTAATAGGAAGTAAGAGAGGCTGCGGCTGCGGCTGTCAAGGACCTTGCAGCTCAGGAGAAGAAGGTTGTAGGCTTGGAAGAGCGAAAGAAGCATGCGAATGGCAAGACGAAGAAGCTGAGAAAATCTTTGCAAGAGGTTTGTGCCTCGCAACTAGGATCCGCTTTGTCTAACCCTACAATAGGATGAACACCATTATGCTGAAGCGAAACGTGCTATCGAAGACAATAGTGCTAAGATGGATCGGGAGAAGGCCAAGGTCGAAGAGCTCGAAACGTCGCTCGCAGAAGAAGAGAAAGCTCTAGAGAGGATTCGGGACAGTCTCAAGGGTCAGTTCCACTTATAGGGTTCACAACATTCCTCTGATGCGAAGCTCTACAAACAGACAAGACGCAAGTTTTCCATGACCAAATCGAAGTCAAGCAGAAGGAGCTGCAGCCTTGGACAGTCAAGATCAATCAGAAGCAGGCTGAGATCGATCTCGCCACGAGCGAACGCGATATGCTCGCGAAGAAGGCTGAAGCTGCGAAAGCTGCCAGCCAGGAGGCGCGGGAAGCTCTCGAAAAGCTTCAAGCTGAGCACAGCACCAAGGTATGCTACAACGTCCTCACATTCGGCGTTCGCGCACTGACCTCCTTCATGCAGATGGAAGAGCTCAAGGAGCTGCAAGCTACTAAAGCCGGCAACGCGAAAGAAGTGAAGGAGAGCGGGAGAAAGTTAGCTGTACGTGACCATGTACTCATCTCATCTTTACCATTTATCCAGTTGTCATCATAGGAAATGCAAGCTCGTGTGCAGCAGCTACGTTCCAAGGCCTCTTCGGCTCGTCAGAAAGTGGACGAAGCCAAGGCGTCACAGGCTGCCAGCACCTCTCAGAACAAGGTGCTGGACAGCCTCACCCGCCTCAAGAATGCAGGCCGCATATCCGGCTTTCATGTGAGTCCTTCCTGATTGCTGCGGCTACCGTATCGACCAAGCAAAACATATGTCAGGGTCGTTTGGGAAGTCTGGGCACTATCCCCGACAAGTACGATGTCGCCGTATCCACTGCGTGCGGTGCTTTGAACAACCTGGTGGTCGACACGGTTGAGCAGGGCCAAGCGTGCATCGAATATCTGCGGAAACAGAATATCGGTCGCGCCTCATTCATGGTGCTAGAGAAGCTCTCCAACCGTGGTATGGAGAAGATCCCAACTCCTGAGAACGTGCCGCGGCTGTTCGATCTAATCAAGCCGAAGGAGGCGCGTTTCGCCCCGGCATTTTTCAAGGGTCTGGGCAATACCTTGGTAGCAAACGATCTCGAGCAAGCAAACAGGATTGCTTTTGGAGGGCAGCGAAGATGGCGAGTCGTCACTCTCGCAGGCCAGCTGATCGACTCGTCGGGAACGATGTCTGGCGGCGGTAACCATGTTTCTAGGGGTGGCATGAGTTCCAAACTTCAGGCTGATGCTGTCTCGCCTGATGTACTGAGGCGGTACGAGCAGGAAAGCGAAGAGGCCGCCAGAGAACTGGAGGCATGCCAGCGGCAGTTGCGGGAAGTTGAAGCAGAGCTAGATGCAATTTCCGGCTCGGGACCTCAGCTTGATATTGCCATAGACAAAGTCAGCCTCGATATCCGGACTGGCTCGAAGCGTATCTCTGAGGCCGAAAAACGCTACCGCGAGCTGAAGTATGTTGTATACTCATCGCAGCTTTATTACCCTCATCTGACCGCTTGACGCAGAGCGCAGACCAAACCTGATGCCGGCGATATGGCTCGCATCGCAACTCTTGAGAAAGATATCGCCACATCTACAGAGAGACTGGAAGCGTTGCAAGCCAAGACAAGTACAATCGAGGCAGAGATTCAAGCTCTCGAGAAGAAGATACTGGAGATTGGTGGCGCTCGCCTCCTGTCGCAGAAGTCGACGGTCGACGGCATTCGGCTGCACATCAACCTGGCAAACGACGAGATCACGAAGGCTGAGGTCGCAAAGGCCAAGGCCGAGAAGGACTGCGTTAAACTCAAGAGCACCATCAAGAACAACACTGAGGCGCTCGAAGAGGTCGAGCGTGACCTGGAAGAACTCAATGCAGAACTGAAGGAGATTACCGACTACGTGGATCAGCTCCGTGAGCAGGTCGAAGCAGCACAAGTGGCAGTGGAAAACTCCAAAGACGATCTCGAGGGCCTGAAGAGCGAACTCGACGCGAAGAACGAAGGGATCCAGGAGTTCAGGCAAAAGGAGGTCCGTATGGGTCTCTTCTTGAGATCACAAGTCATGACGGTTGGTTATATCAGATGGAACTGCAACAGAAATTGAACGACACCAAGAAGGAAGCCAAGGAGAATGATCGCACTATTGAACATTGGCAGAATGAGCACGATAAGTTGCGGTTGGAGGATGTCGAGTAGGTCATGACGTTCGTAGTATGGATTGCGGCTCAGTTTGCATGCACAGCGACGAGGATGAGGACGAAGAGGTGGTCAAGGCGGAGGGCGGCAAGGATATCGTCAAGCCAGACCTAGAAGAGGCTCGCAAGCGCAAGGAGCCGTTGCATGAGCTCCATGTCTACAGCGCTGACGAGCTGTCGGCATTCAGGAAGAAAGATCTCATCGCTGAAACTGAATTGCTGGACGGTTAGTTATTACTTCGCCTCTGATCGTCGTATCTCTAACCCACGCGCCACAGAAAACCTCAAGAACTCCCGTCCCGATCTCAGCGTGCTCAAGGACTACAGAAAGCGTGAAGAGGAGTTCTTGAGGCGTGCTCAGGATTTGGAGGAAGTCACAAAGGAACGCGACGCCAAGAAGGCAGAGTACGACAACTTGAGGAAAAGGCGACTAGACGAGTTTATGGCTGGCTTCAGCACGATTTCCCTCAAGCTGAAGGAGATGTACCAGGTGGGTTCCACGATATGCTCAACACTTATGATAATCGTGTAATGCTCGCGTAGATGATCACTCTTGGTGGCAATGCCGAGCTCGAGCTGGTGGACAGCATGGACCCTTTCTCAGAAGGGATCATCTTTAGCGTCATGCCTCCGAAGAAGAGCTGGAAGAACATCTCCAACCTGTCCGGTGGTGAGAAGGTATGCCCGAAAGCTGAACCTTCGCATTTCGGACGCTTACGTACGTTCAGACGCTGAGTTCCCTCGCTCTGGTCTTTGCGCTGCACGTCTATAAGGTATTTTCATGTTTCATCTGCTTCAATGTCATTACTTATGATTACTTGTAGCCGACACCGTTGTACTTCATGGACGAGATTGACGCAGCACTCGACTTCCGCAACGTCTCTATCGTCGCGAACTATATCAAGGATCGAACAAAGAATGCCCAATTTATCATCATCTCTCTCCGGTTTGTCTCTCGCACCTCTTACTGGAACCTTACTCACGCTAGCTGCAGCAATGACATGTTTGAGCTCAGCCATCGACTCATTGGTATTTACAAGACGGCGAATGCTACACGGAGTACGTTCACTGATCCCTTGGTGGCGTTGTGTTGTGCTAATCTGTCTGGTACAGGTATCTCTATCGACAACCAACCTCTGAATGCTATTCCCGTGAACGCGATCCTGGCATGATTGGCGATATACCTTTACTATTTTGCTTTGGACTGGGTATCATATGAGATGTAGTACTTTGTACAGAAGTAGAAGTCGCTCTCCGCTGTCATGTTATCGTTTCAGAAGATCCCGCGGACAGTACGGACGCTAGCAAATCGCCGAGTGCCCTACCCTCCCACACTTCGATTCTGGGGATATCGTCCCCAATGGGATAGCTTGAAGGCAACAGAAGGGATGGTGCAGCAGTGATCCATGAATGACGAGCGACAAAATAGGCTGGTAACCTCATCGCCGGTGTGTATGTGAGAAGACGCTCGATGAGGTCGATACACGCCCCTGCTAGGTCTTTTTCGGGCGGCAGGTTTGGCAGCAAAGAACGGGCATCTGTAGGTGGAACGTCTTGCCATATTACTTTGTCCGCGTCTGGAAGCTCCTTGAAAGTCTGTTCTTCTAGTCAGCAGCGATGCGCAATCGCAAAGGATGCTGGACTTACCGGCCAGTTGTCTTTGTTAGGTGTACCCCTCGTCCGAAAGATACTCCAGGCAAGGCCAATAGATCCTCTCGAGGAGTCGAAGAGTGATTCTCTTTTCCAGACTGTATCAGGATCGCTTACGCTCAACGAACGCGGGACGATGAACGGCTCTTTTTCCCAGCCTTCCTCGTCAGCGTCTGATCCGATGTCTTCATCATATTCATCATACTGCCTATAAAGCTTCAGGGGAGTGAAGAACTCCGCGAAAGTCGCTCCTAGGCTCCATAAGTCCGTAGCGAAAGCATCGTAGGTAGTAGGTCCAAAGAGCAGCTCTGGGGAACGGTACGGTCTTGGGCAAGCATCAGCAAGCCAATCAAAGACTCGATGATAGCGGTACCGACCCGGATGCCACATCGAAGCACATTGCGCCAGGCGGCTCTGGCCAGAGGTCGTCTTTGCCGGCTTTGCTTGGCTCGACCCACGCAATTCCGAAGTCGATGAGCTTGATGCATCCATCGCGTGTGAGCAAGATATTATGCGGTTTGATATCGCGATGGGCGATGCCCTCATGGTGCAGATATGCTATGCCGTGCGCAATTTGGTACATCAATGATTTTGCCAGGACGACGAAGGATGATGTAGTCGCTGATGCGTCAATATATGAAGAGGGACTATGAGGCGAGAATGCGGGTGAGTTCAGCACATTCTTCAGATGGTCCGGAATGTAGGGCATCCAGTAGTGAATGGAACTTGTTGCGGGCTCGAAGGTATATCCAAGCACCTGGATAACCTTGTAATTGACGAGTCAGCTCGTGAAACGTGTTCTTACAAACTAACAGTGTACATACATTGATGTGAGATAGGCCACGCAAGATGCGTAATTCTTTGAGGATATCATGGGGTTGTCTTGAAACCTGAGGCAAGGTGGATGCGCTCTTGATTGCCACAATCTCGTTCAGACTCTCCGCTGAGTCCACGCGAAAGCGCCCACTAGATATGTATGATACCGGACTTTCCTCGATGGTCTCGAGGGAGTCCTACAACATTCATATGTAAGCTCCAGCTACTGCGAACGATTATGTGCGAATCACTCGCAGGATCGAAGATCGCATCCAGCGTAATGGTGCTGTTCATCAAATAGGACACCATGCATACCTCTTCTTGGATATCGTAGACCTCGATGGCCCGAAGACTGCGACTTTAAGGCTGGACATTGACTCGTCTCTGTCACAGACTGTGAGCTGTCATAAGCGAACTACAACCAAATAATTGTCAATAAACCTAGTTGGTGTTCATTTCCATTTGTGGCTGACGGCCACAACCGCGAAGAGTCTGTCTGGACAGCTCGACCGCTCTCCACATCCTACCTCTACATTACGTGTGTCTCTACTAATGTTGAAAGCCACGCTCAGGAAGACTCGTCGATTTGTCAACGATGTGGTCCACCCACGTCCCGTACGTGCCTTTCTTCCGGTGGCCTCGACTAGAACAACCGTCTCTGACGTGATCTGATGCTTTAGACACCTGTATTTCCCAGATCTCTTCATCGAGACTGTCGCATCAATACAGGCGCACGATATGCTCTAGCCAGCCGTAGAAGGCCCGCCGTTAACGGGCAGGTGAGTATGTTTATGCTGGATTCTCACTCGTCTTAACATTACTTCAGAGGAGGATCAGGTCACCCATCTCCTTCAGTATGGCCAGAGGCCGGAGTAAGGAGGTATCTCAGCAATTCTTTCGTCTCTGGCTTGCTATCAAATGTTTAAAATCCACCTTACCTATCTTCTGGTATCTGACAGGTCTCCATGTCGACGCCGGTTGTCACATCAGATATTTCTGCACCTATCTCCGATATCCGGAGTCCAACCGTGCATGAACCATCTTCCTCGCAGAAATCTCTTCGATCATACCGCACGATGAAGGCAAGCACCCGACAATTAGATCAACAAGCCGTGAGATTTAACCTTTTCTTTGATTACAGCACCGGTCCATTAGCGACACCGTTGTTGTCATGGAGCAGGTCAGTCAGCCGTCTTATTTTGCACGCGACAATTCTGATAATCACTGCCAGCGTCGACGAGAGCATAGTGCGCTTGGCAGTGAGTCCCCAGCGGGCAGGCAGCTTCGTAGAATGGGCAGGATAGTATCATGTCCCGCTGGTGACCCGAGAAGTCCCGTCCCTCAGCTTTCGAATCAGTTTCCAGGAGAGTGCCGGAGGCGCAGTGTTTCTGACTCCTATTGGAACTTGCGAGCGAGAGATCCAGTGAGTAACGCTCATGCGTATCATGGAGATTGCGGGGAGTTTTCATTCTGTACGTAGAATTCTAGCAGCACAGATTCAAGCAGGAGCAGCACAAGCACCAGCTCGTCGCTATACGTTACAGCGCGTTCTGCATTCACTGAGCCGACCGAAGTGGAGGAATACCACACGATACTGCAAGTGCTGGACAATGACACCGGCGCGCTCTTCGACAAGGTGTTTCAGGTGAGTGATGATTCATTGATTTGAAAAAGAAATGCTCAGGCCGATGTGCACTCAGGGCACAGGCGGAGAGGTCACTCCAACTCGGCTTGGCGAAGAGATAGTCCAGCAGCAACTTGAAGATGCATTCTGCCTCGTGGTCCCTTCGATTCGCCTCGTTCGACGTTCTAACGAGCAAGCGAATCCTATTGGACCTGGAACGATCCCGTCATTCATGCTGACTATGCCGACACCACAGCTGCCATCGTCGCCCATTTTCATGCCTCAGTCTCCCGTCACCATTTCCAAGTTCGTGCAAGCGTCCTCCATTCCCGGCACCTCCTCACGACCTCCAATTCCTTCCATCCCCATCTGCGAAGCATGCATGATCCCGCAGGAGATGCACCAGCAATGTTATTCCTGCGAGCAGCAGTGGCTCGCGTGCAAAGTGTGGTATCAAGCGAGTGACGGCGGTAGGCGGCAGAGGCTGACCGAGCCATACATCCGCCCCGCGGAGAGTAATGCAGCGAACCGAGCACTAATTGAAATGCTGGGCGCCCCCATCGGGACGAGTACGGCTGGCGTGGGACTAGGAATCGGAGCATCGCCGGAGGCGGTCGTGAGCAAGAGCAGGTTCAGAAGGCTCGCGCCGCTGCTGGCGCTGGCGACGGCGGATTCAACCAGTACTCTTGGGCTCGGTAAGAATGTTCTCCGTGCAGACGGACGTGCGAAGTCGGCTCTCAGGAAACTTGGGCTGCCTGTGTACTCGTCTCTCAAGAATGTCTGGACAAAGACAACAAACGGACTGGCTAGTCGTGCTCGACAGGCTCCTGCACGATTCTTCAAGGCCCTCTTGTTGCCGGTGCGCCCCAGGACGACGGCTTCTTGCTCGCAAGGATTGGCTACTCAGCAAAGCTCTTTGTGGAACTTGAACGCACTTCTCGGTCTGGCGCTAGCAGCCCCGCTACCATTGGCGATCGCATCTAACTCGCGGTTCGTTGAGCATCTTGAAACACCTGGCACTTTCTAGGATACGCTGAGCCTCTTGGGATGCGCTTTCACGCGGTTCCCGTTCGTTCGGTGCCTTCCTTCCTCGGGGAGTCCCGTAGCCGTGGATTTGTTCATAACGACTAGGACATGTACGGCAATTCTCATGTGTATATTCACAGATGACTCGTACGTTGTGTAGCTCCCACATTCATGTGTTGCATGTGTTCTTGTATGGAGATATTTTCGCAGAGGTTTGTCCAAGAGAAAGGTGAATATTCCTACTCCACTGCTGCGGTACCATTGTTCAGCCTCATGCTCCGACAACAAACTTTGGATTCCGACGGTGGCTGCCAGGCTTTTTTTGTCACGAGTGGGGTCGGCACCCCGCAGCGGAGATTGAAGTGGGAATGGCCGGTGAGAGACGGGTGGCTGATGACCAGAGGAGTGGGCCCCTCGTCCGCTCCGTTGGTTCAGACGTGAAACGATTTCTGGAGCCGGACGTAATGCTGTCTTATCTGACTCCTACTGCCCACGACGACCATTGCTCGACGGCATGCCTGGAGAGCGGACGAAGGGTAGCCGCGCTAGCTGGCTCCGTGGTCGGCTACGAGCCACGGTGGCCGCAGTGACGAACCATGCGACGAGGCATACAGGAGTTGGACTGATTTGCGCTGTCGCATACTTCGACCCGTGAGTGCATAGCAGGCGGTGTATCATTATAAAAGGAGCAAAGTGACATCGATTGGTGCAGAGGGAACTGGGGAACGGATCTTCAATCAGGCTCGGAATTTGGTTACAAGCTGTTATTTGTCGTCCTGTTCGCGGGATTGATAGCAGTTTACATGCAGGTACGCAAGTTCAAACGTCATATTTACATTGCTGACGGTAGTAAAGGTGCTTTCCTCTCGCCTCGGATGCGTTACAGGCTTGGGTGAGGGACTACGCTTAAAGCAGCGCGTATATGCATAATTGAACCTCTGAATCTCTGTAGACCTTGCCAGCCATTGTCGCCTTCTACTTCATGATCGACCAAAGCACAAGCTGCTATGGCGATGGCTTGTGCTCTACCCGCTCTATGTCGCCTCTGAGGTCGCCATCGTCGCGACCGATCTTGCCGAGCTGCTCGGGTCCGCTATCGCGATCTGCTTGCTCTTTCCACGCGTTCCTCTATGGGCTGGCGTGCTCATCACAGCGGCAGATGTGCTCATTTTGCTAGCGATGCGAAATCCCCTCGATGGGAAGCCCGTGCGGGTGTTCGAGATTGTGATTGCTGCTCTGGTGTGTTTTGCAAACTGAATTGGGTAGAATATGTGTGTAATGGCTTAGCTCTAGGTCTTCACGGTACTCGTCTGCATGGCGGTTGTCATTTCGAATGCGGGCGTCCACTGGGGCGAGGCTTTCGACGGGTTTGTGCCGTCTCATGTCCTAGTCACCTCCTCGGGACTCTACAATTGTATGCTTCTCGTCATGTTCAGACGCCCGCACACAACTTGGCTCATTGCGTACATTCATTTCACAGCTGTTGGCATTCTAGGAGCGACTGTTATGCCACACAGCCTCTTTCTCGGCTCCGCATTCGCAACACAGGAACGCGAGACGCCTCAACCTCCCTCTGACGAGGAGGACAAGGACAAGAACATTCTGGCGAAGGTCGAGACGTGCGAGCCCGATGCCATGTCGGATATTGACAGTCTTGTGCCAACAAACGCGGCGGGGAAGTCTTGGAAGGCCACACTTCCGCGCTGGCGCGTAGAGTTACGGCCGCGCATATTGGCGATGCGTGTCTGGCGAAAGACGAAGGAGTGTTTTCGGGTGTCCCGCATCGAAGATCATCCGGAAGGCGAACCAAAGAGCCACAAGGAGCGGGAAAATAAGTCGCTCGCGTTCGTGCGTACACACATGAACCATGGGATTGTGGATATGGTCCTGAGCTTGTTGGGGCTTGCGGTGGTGATTAATGCTTTGTACGTATTCGCTCTTGTTATCTTTCTGTAGTTCAAATGGCGATGTCTAACCAGTCGTGCTGCTGATAGGATCCTCATACTCGCGAGCGCAGTGTTTTACTATGGATACGGCCAAACTGGCGATACGAGTCCCGCGACGTTGTTTGATGCATATGATCTTCTGCGAGACAACCTTGGAAAACGTGCGATTACTTTCATCTGTTCTTCTGCGTATGCTACTAGCAGTACTCAATGTCCCCATGCATACATAGCCGCCGCCATCCTCTTTGCACTCGCACTGCTCGCCTCAGGCCAAAGCTCATCCATCGTCGCTACGCTCGCCGGCCAGACAGTCTCCGAGGGGTTCATCCGATGGCGGACGTCTGTAAGTACATTTCTATTCGTGTGTTAACTGTTCTGATGTTTGACACGATCTTCGCTCTAGCCCGTCCTCAGACGCCTACTTACTCGTTGTCTCGGACTCATCCCGTCCATGGTCGTCGCAGCGTCGCTTGGCCGAGGTGGCGTGAGCGCACTCCTCGTCATTTCGCAGGTTGTCCTTTCCATCGTGCTCCCGTTTGTCGTATTCCCACTGTTATATCTCACGTCGTCAAAGGCAATCATGAGCGTCAAGAAACCTACAGGGCCTATCTCTAGAAGCGTACCTTCCTCCTCGCTTTCTCCGGGCAATGCAGATCCTACAGCAATAGCCCGCCCTGCTACGCCCTCAGCCGCGGAGGGTGCGACGACTGTGGAAGAGGTCTCGCCGGCACAGCAAGTGGATGTAGAAGCAGTCGATGAGATCGTAGACTTCTCCAACGGCAAGTTCACGATGGGACTTGGCTGGTTGCTATGGCTCCTGATCGTGCTTGCGAATGCATACGCGATCGTGACACTTGCGCTAGGGGAGGATTAACGCGGACATGGGCATGGACTTGATATCTTATTCTGTTAGTGTCGCGGAGGAGAACGCCTACATTGTACGGCGGTATGCATGTCCCATGGCTTACAGATTGAGTACATAAATGCATCCTATGTTGTATTGTTGCGCAATGTACAGTGATGCCGTAGCCAAGTGCTGCTGATGCAATAGATGATGATGATGGGGACAGATTCAAAGACATAAAGGAATGAACTAGAGCAGAAGTACATCGAAGCTCAGGCTCAGAGCAATTTTTCCAACGGCGAGATGATTATTCCAGGCTATTACAAATATATGAGCACGAAGCTCGAGCGAATAGCAGCAGAACACGTACCTTTTTCACCACTCTTGGGAGTGTTGCACGCTGGAAGCCAAGACGAGTGTTCCACTCGGTACCAATCGGTGTCTCGAGGCTGCGCTCGAACTGTGCTTTGCTAGTGTACGGGAATGGCAGGTCCTTGACGAGGTATTTCGCCGCCTTCTTGTCGCGCTTTTCTGAGATAATGACGTGCGTCTTGCCATAGTCTGCACGCGTCTTCGGATCGACACCTGAGACCTTCTTGATGAGATAAGGCTTTGGAGCCGCTTTCTTTGTGCCTTTGCCACCCCAAGAGCCCTGCAAAAATTCAGATGTCGATAACATTGCATGTACTGTTGAGAGTCAGAGACGTACCCATCCGGGAAGCGTGGTATCAACTTCGAAAGGTGCATCCTCCTGCGTCTCTCGACGCTTCTCCTCAGCGAAGTCCTGCACGACGTTATCACCGGCGAACGCGAGTGCGACCAAATCTCGTTGCTCAAAAGCCTTCACGCCCTTTGCTTTGCCCTTGCCTTTCACACTGAGAAGCCTTTCTTGTTCTTCCACCTCGCTGTTGGCATCTGAATCATCTTCGTCGTCACCATTATTCGTTTCTGATGGACTTGATGGCTTTGATGCAGACGCTATCGATGGTTTAGAAGCAGACGAAGAGCTCGCGGTATCCTGTTTCTTTGCCACCTTCTGGTTCTTCGCCGCCTCCTGCTTCTTCGGAATGCCAATGACCGTGCTACTCTCACCAAGGATTAAGACGTCGTCCACGGAGATGTCCACCGTCGCATCCGCCTTCTCCTTCTCCTTTTCCTCCACTCGCTTTTTGTCGCTCTTGCGCAACTTGTTCTTAGATTTCTCTGCGCTCGCGCTGTTCTTTCCGATCTCAATTTCGTGCCTCTTCTGGACAAGTTCGCTTGACCCTTCCGCGCGGGCGAGCCACGGGTTGACAGGCTCCTTGAAAACTGAAGGTGAGGGACATTCAGATATGGGGGACCTTGCGACAGGAGAGCCTGCGACGGGCGACTCCGGTTGTACGGAACCGAGCAGATCTGTGGATTTGAGAGTAACGCTGGAGGTTTCTGAGTCCAGCGAGGAGAACGACTTCGTAATACCGGCCTATCGAAAATGGGAATATCAGCCGACAAACGACGAAGCAGTTCAGCATATACGCTCACAGCTGATAGTCCTGGACGGTATGTTGTGCGCCCACCAACACGCGACATGGCAGTGTTGTACGGCTGCTCCTCGACCGCATCCACGCCGCCTTCGCCGCCGTCTTCATCAACATCCATTGGACCGCCCATCTCACGAACAAAATCGTCAACCATTTCGTCCACCTTCCGCTGATCCCGGGCTATCGCATTCTTCATGAACTTCATCTCGAAGATGCTCTTGCCCTTCTTTTCACTCCCCTCAGCGAGAGCGACCTCATCTCCCTGCAAGCCTGCAAGCTCCTCAAACGCATTCGCCTTGATCCGTTCAACTGCGCCCTCATCGTCTTCATCCTCGCTGCTCTCCTCGTCGTCGTTCTCCTCGTCACTCCCAGGATCCCCTCTAATTTTCTTCCTCAGCCGCTCCCCTCTCTCCAGCATCTCCGCAATATCCCTCCGCTGATCTTCGTCAAGCTCGCCACGCGCCTTCATCGCCTTGGCCCACTTGCCCGTATTCTTGTGCTTGAGCGTCGCACGTTCGCGGGCCCGCTCAATCTCCCGCTCCAGCCGAACTTCCTCATCATCGTCATCCTGCTCGTTCTCGCCGAGCTTTTCAGCCATACGAGCACGGTCCTTCTTCTTTAGCCGGCGATATGTCTTGCTCTTTATCTTCGCGATGCGCTTCGCCTTGGCATCAGCTCGGAACATCAGCTCACGCATTTTCGCCAGTTCAGCTCGCCGCGCTTTAACTTCCTCCACTGTAAGATGGTTCATTTTGAGAGATTCAGTATGGGCGATGTCTTCATCGCGCATCTTGGCCAGTTTGAGCAACTTGTCAACTGCATTCTCCATCTCCGTTTCAGGCTGTAGCAGCTTGTTAGGTATGAAATGATGCAACTAAGCTCAGAAAATATACCTTAAACTTGGCAGCCAACTCCAGATTCGAAGTCTTCCCGACGGGTTGTGCTTGCAAGGGGAAACTGAGATGTTCCGCCTATAATACCTTTCTGTCAGAGAACCGCGCCCGCGGATAAGTACTATTAGACATACCTCTTTGATCCTCTGCATCGTCGCCTTCCATTTGTCCACCTCCTCCTTAGTCTGCCTGTACGCTGCCTGACGATCCAGCCGCTCGGCCGTCCTCTGCGGCAGGGGAGCAGATAAAGTCTTCACCGAGCCAGACTGCGAAGCGAGGATCTTCGCCGATCTTTTCAGGGACTGTCCCGGGGACTGTCCCGCTAATGGCGCGAGCAAGTCATCGAGCCTGAGCTTGTCTCCACCTACATGCGTATGCATGAGGCACATTGATTATGAGTTGTTGGTACTTGCGACTCACCAACATGAGCAGCGAACTCATTCTCCGCACCGGCCTCCGTACGCTCCTTCAATATCCGCCTTTTTCGAGCCCGAGCTGCATTCTCACCACTCCGTTGCTCCTGATCCTCATCATCTGGTGCTTTTCGCTTATGACCCACGTCCAAAGTCGTGACAAACCTCGCCAGGTCATCCAAATTCGCTTCCTCATCCTCCCCTTCTGAGCCCGATATTTGTTGATCATCACCCTCCTCCTCTTCCTCTTCATCACCTTCTTCCTCTTCAGATCCTGAGCGTCGGCCATTCTCGACCTCATCCATTTCCTCGTCTACATCTTCGTCGACACGATGTGATGAAATCGGCTTCGATGCTTGCTCCTTCGTTCTTCGAAGAGCATCCCCTTCGCGTTCTCCCTCCACGTCGTCTTCACTGCCCGGCTCGGCTTTTCCATCCATGATGTCCAAGACATCGATAAACTCATCGGGGTCACCTTCTTCCTCTTCCTCTTCGTCCTCCCCATCATGTGAACTGCCATTCGCGGAATGCTCCTCTGCCTGCTCAATGTCCTCTTCATCTTCATCCTCGTTCAGATCCACCTCCACAAACCGAACGCTCCGCGAGCTGCTCGTTGACTTTTTCTTCTTCAATTTCGAACTACCTTGGCCTTTCTGAGAATCCGGACGTTAACGTAAGCATATACAGAGGGAGAGCGGCAGATACATACCTTTTGCGATAAGCCGAACCCAGCGAACCTCTCCTCATCGCTCTCATCGAAAGCATCATCGCTTTCAATGTCCTCATCCTCCGACTCTCCTATTTGCTCGCCCTCCTCCCCTTCACCAACCAGTCGTGGCCTGCCCGCCTTCTTGCCCGCCCGAGCATCGCCGTCCTCGTCTTCGCTCCCACTGCCTCCTCCAACACCCACGAGTTCCTCCTTCCCATACTGAAGCGTCATCTTATCACGCGGGACCTTCTCCGACTGGTATTCGTAAACGTCCGCGATGTCATCGCGCGAGGGGGTCTTTGACTTGAGAGACTTGCGCTTCGCGAACCCTGCTGCGTTTGCGGCCTTGCGAGACAATGCATGCGGTTTCTTCGCGAACCTTTGTGGTTTCTGACCGCGAGCCATTACAACGGTTTGTCAAGAGCTTGCAGACGCCGTGAGAGTGTGCTGAGCACGCTGTGTAGACAAAGGTATGTACCGCGGGAGGATGGATTTTTCGGCTAGAGCGTGTCTTCCAGCCACGTGAACGCATGCCGATCTCTCGATCTCATTTACTGTGGCCTTCCGGGTAATGTCGATGTACTTCAGTTGGCTTTCATGAAGCCAACATAAGCTTGTATGCTACCGTAAAGATTGATTTTAAGCCAGGTGGGCATGATGATTATCACTTCTAGTACATCTGATATTATTAGGAGTCGAAAGGCGACTACGAAGCAAGGTATAATAGGCTGTATGCTATGGTTGTTGCTATCTAGACAATGCGACATGCAGGTATACGAGAATGCTTTATGGGTTACAATGATGCGGGCAAAGCTGCCGATAGAAACGTATAAGATACCACACAAATCCTCAAAAACCATCGATCGCGGAAAACCAGCCAACGACGAACTCACGAATCTCAAATCTCAAATATCAGTCCTCTGCTGCCTCTCGACCCCCAAATCCAGCCCCAACGCATTCTCCCTCGTCCTCTCCATCTCCGCTCTGCGCTCTCTCGTCCTCTGCGCCTCCCGCGCAACGGCAACACTCCGCCTATTCGAGCCTGCGAGGCTCTCCGGGCTGCTGGCGCGTGGAGGACTCGCATAGTACGGCGGGCCGTACGGCTGCGTGCGCGGCGTCGGCGGAATCGACTTGGGTGACTTGAGCGATTTCGGAGATTGTATGCCCTGCCTGAGCTTCGTACGCACGAACGTGCCAAGTCGACGTAGCGTATTTGGGGCCTTGGTCGACGTGCGGTCTTCGGGGCCTTCTTTGGCATCGACTCGAGGCGAGCGTGGCATCGGAGGTGAATTGGGTCTGACATCTATGCTCCCTGTCCTCGGTGAGGATGCCCCTACAGGAACAATCAAATCATTAGCATGCTATCGCATTCAAGGGCATCCGACCAGACTGACCTCGTGACTGTTCGACCACTGTCGCCGCCCTCTGCCTCGTCTTCTTGCTCTTGAACGGGTTCTGGTATGTCGTTGTGAACGTCTCCCGTGTCGCGAGCAGCGGCCTGCCCGTCGCATCCCGTGGCAGCGGCGAGCCACCCACTCGGTAATTCGGCGGCGGCGACCGCGTCGGCCTGCGCGACGATGTCTGAGGAGATTTCGACTGCACCCGCTGAGACGAAGAAGAAGCCGTCTGTGTCCGACTCATAGAAGTCTGTCGTGATGGCGGCGTGCGCGGGGCACCAGCCGGGGTAGGGTCCGACGGTGACTTGATATGGTGAGCGACGCCGACCACCTTCGACAGCGTCTTCTTCATCTCCACCGCAGGCGTCGGCAATGGTGTCGGTGGTACCACATTCGGGACCGACGCAGCCCTCGGCCTGCCCCTCTCCACAGAGCTCAGCGACCGGCGCTGCGGCGGCGAGACGTCTCCATCCGAGAAGCGTCTGCCCTTCTCGCCGGCTGGGACCTCGCTCCGTCGGCGCAACATCGCAGGCAGGCCTTGGAATATCTGTATGGCAGGAGCGCACAGAGAGAGCTGCGAGGGGCGCTTGCGGGGGAAGGCGGGGCCGGTGGGCGACGGAGATGGTGCTCGGGTGCGCTCCTGCTGGCGGGAGGCGGCGTACTCGGACTCGGTCATGCTCTCCGCGCTGTCGACGCGCGAGAGCTCGGGAAAGAAGCCTCTCTGCTGCGGCTGGCCCTCTCTATGGCCATTCCCGTTGCTGTTCGCGAACCCGCTGAACTTGTTCCCGAACAGCTTGTTCCCGCTGAGCTTCTTGACGGGCGCGACGAGCTTCTGCGTGAGCGGCCGTGCGTCGTCGCCGAGCGTGCGCTCCCAGAAGGAGATGCGGTGCAGGTTCTTGTGCGGACTGTCGGGCTCTGATTTGTACTCTGGTGGCGGGGTCGCGGTCTGTCCCACCAGTGCGAAGGGGTCCGGCGCGGGCTCGTCATAATCTACTGTGTCGTAGTATACAATGCGGGAGATGGAGGTGGGAGAGTTCGAACGCCGCGTGGTCCATGCGCCCTTGGCGAGCCAGTCCATAGCGTATAGCATCACATTCTGTCGCCAAAGTCAGGTTAGCAAGCGCAAATTCATGTCAAAGTGCACTCACTATTATGAGGTAGAGAGAGCCGATGATAAGGGCACCCGCTGTGCAGATTATCGTCGTGTCCTGTACTCGTGCATCCTGATGCACGTCGTTGGTGGTCGTTATAGTCATTGAAGCTGTCATGGTGGTGGTGATGGTGGTATTGGAGGTTGAGATTTCATTGTCTGAGCGTGAGGGATGTGCATTATCTGCATTCTCGGATATGGATGGCGGGGATGTGGATGGCGGGGAACCAACATCCTGACGAGGCGATGCCATCCGAGGCGGGACGCGAGGGAGTTTCGCACGCTCACCGACTATGCTCAGCCACTGCAGTTCCGCGGTTACAGTGCGTCGTAGTATGCAGCTAATGCACAACGAGAGTTATTGCCAACATGCATCCTGCTCGACTGCTCAATGATGCACATCTCATGCATCACCTCGGCTGTGCCCGGTCATGCGTCAAAACTCAAATGTCGTCCGATTCTTAGTGGATGCTTAACGGCGCTGCAGAATCGGACCACATCTGTATTGAAGTCTATACTACCACCCTCGTGGTGCTGCATGGGCCTGCTGTCTGCAGCAAGGTAGGCTCTGTGGCTCTGGAACAAAGAATGCTATCACAGTCCTGGCTGGTGGACAAGTCATCCTCTCAGTCCAATCCCGATGGCTGATGCGCATTTGTGATATCTATGCTCCTCAAGGCCCTTTTTGCCTTCTCCTGCTTCCTGCTATTCTTCTCAGAAGATGATCCCCCCTCTCCTTCAAACCATCATTAGCTCTGGCCCACTATTCGAAGCATCTGTGGTGGCGGCCTCGGATGTTGGGATTTTGACTGTTTTGCCATCCGAGGCGGGACACTATTGAGCATGCGGCAATGGCTTCGATGTGTCAGCTCTATAAGACGCTATGTACAACGGAGGGTGAGCATAGCCACTGTTGATGAACGTGCGAATTTCTGTCGGTACCGCGCTGGTGGCCTGGTACAGATTGATGCGCCACCATTTATGGGCGCCTCTGAGAGCCGCCGACGGTTCACATACAAACACTTGTTCGACCCTGCTCACCATTCGTCGGCTAGGAGTACGAAATATGGATACAATTTACAATGATGAGCACTCCACTGAAGCTTCGCAGGTTGCACCTCAACATGGCAACCGCCGGGATCCGGCTCGGACATCCATTTCGCAACATACCCAAATCCCGTCTCTTTCGGCTTTCGATTCGGACTGCGGAGGCTCGTGTATCATATATATCATACCCGTGACAGACAGTACTGACATGAAACGAAATCTGTGATCAACGGTAGCTGGCAACCTGAAACGAAGAATCACTTGCCAACGAACAGCAGAGAGCAGATGCCGTACGTTATACGTTCCAGCCCCTCGCATGTTCCCTCATCCACATCTCACCACCAACATTAGACGGCAAGGCACTGGCCAATCTCTCGGCGGTCTGCCAATGCTGAGTGCCGCTGGGGACTCACTGTGCCTATATCTGAGATGCTGGGCAAGTGGCCAAGCATTCAGGGGAGAGGAGCGATCGAGACAAGATGGGCGGGCCTTTTTGTACAACAACTCATTTGCGGCTGGATCGACGTGGTTCAGCTGTCTACATAGTCTCCTGATTTTATGGCCCCTTTAGTGCTAATAATGCCTCCCCACCGCTAAATAATCAACGTCGACATCACCAACAGCCTGCTTGGACGTCATATGCAAGAGTTCTTTCGAGCTTAGCTCCCCGCTCCAAGACGCTTTCCTCCATCTCCACCCCGGCGTTCGAAATTGGTATTACGAACGGCATCGGTTTTTTCTCGTTCGGCCTATTATGTGCTTTCGTATCTCCATAAAATCGACTTGCCAGAGCGGGCAAACTTCGCAAATATCATGATGTCCGCTCAACAGTTCCCCAGACTCTGCAGTGGTCTTCCTGCCTGCATCACTTATCTCGACACGGTCATATAGACGCTTGCCAACACCCTCCATTCGGCCACGAGCCCGCTAGAAGAAACATACGCATGTTGCATGAGTTAATCACCGTTCGGCCGCGCACGCTTCTGGCACTAGCCTCACGCACGGGTCAGGATGTCATCATCAATGTTCTCTCTCCTGGAGCGCGAACGCCAACTTCGGCTCAGTGTCCCCGCCGCCCAAGCCCTACCAAGTAAACGCAGCACGAATAATGATGTAATATTCGCGCATTCTAGATCTATACATAGGCTGAAGAGTGCATCTATCTATCTGGCATATATACTAATCGATAAATAGGGTGACAGCGTCTCGGCATAGCATGAGGGATCGTAAGGAGGGCACCGCTCTTTGCAGTATAGCCAACGCGTATCGAAAGTAGAAGGTTTGGTGTAAAAAAGTAAATGTAACAGCATATTAAGGTAAGCTCCCCGCCTCGCGCACCACGCTGGATACAGCACGGCGACAGCGCAACGAAGGAGGAGAGCACCGGATCGTCCATGCTAATACAAAAATGTCCAAGCACACAACCGACGAACGTACTGTACAACGCATGCCACCAACGTATCGTGCATCGTGCATCGTGCGTCGCACGTCGGCAGCACAGAATCTATAGCTAATCGTAGAGATAGGAGTGTCTGTCGATCGCACATAGCAGCCGCGCCATGCGGTAGGTGTGCGGTTCGTTCGGTTCGTGTCTACGCGAGCGCAGAGACGCACGTCTTGCTGTCCGCGGCGATCGCGTATCCTGTCTTGCACGAGTCGACGTGGCAGCCGCCGACGACGCACGACACCGCGAGCGCGTTGGGGATGGCGGTGCAGTCAAATCTATCAAACGAGGCGAGGTGCATCACCGAAGAGGCAGCGAAGGCGACGACCGCAAGATCAGCATCATCTCATAGGCACGCACGAACAATTTGAAACTCACTGCGTATCAACGGATCCACAGCCTCCGCAGGAGTTGAGGTCCTCGCTGAGGTCCACGCATTCGAAGCCTTGCTCGATCCACTCCATCAACGACAACGGCACGGACGAAGAGATCGGGCAGGCGGACATGGACAGGGGGCAGAGGTGAGTCACATCTTGAACGGCGGGAATGAGCTGCTGCTCGCGCTTTTGTGGGCCCCGCTGGACGGCGGCAGCCCGACGATCGTTGTGCGGATCATGACCATGCGACGGGCCCGGCGCGCGTGCTTGGACGACGGGGCTCCGACGATCGTTGTGCGGGTCATGACCATGGGATGGGCCCGGCGCGCGAGCCTGAACGACAGGGGTCCGACGTACGGGGCCCCGACGGTCGTTGTGCGGGTCGTGACCATGGGACGGGCCCGGTGCACGGGCCTGGATGGCGGGAGTGGGACCGGGGAGGGCGGCTGCGGGCACAGGCAGCACAGCGAGGACGGCAAGGCCGATTGCGGCGACGAGGGCGGAACGCATCTCAGAGGCTATCGTTTGAGCGATCGAACGACGATGACGGCGGGCCTCGTGGGGAGAGCTCGAAGAGAGCGCGGACGAACCCAGTACTTCAGGTAAACGGCAGGCAGGGGCGTGGCGCTTGCGGAGGCTTGGGCAGTGGTGTTATGAGGGGGGGCGCGGGCCAGAAGCAGGCCGAATGATCCTTCAGATCACTCGGCCTGCTTCTGGATATTCGCTGCGCGTTGATTCGCTGCTGCGCACGTTCTTGCTTTTGCATAAAATTTACTAGGGGATTCGACCCCGCTTCGCTCGGCATCCTCGATCTCGAGTTCAGCCTTGGGGAGCGTCGATCCTTCACGGCGCGGTCTTGCCTAGCCGCCAGGGACCGATTCTGACATTAAGGAGTTAGCAATTTACACAATCAATCTCAGAGACGGGAATTCACTCTGCCAAAGGAAGAGGCGATGTCGGCAAAGAGCAAAGGTGTAGCGTCACCGCTAGCGGCAGTCAGATCGGAATCGTCGCGGAGAACATTCTCCAAATGGAGTATGTCGTTCTCACGCCTTTTGAGGAGCCGTTCCAAGGCTCAAGCGAAGCGCACTGCACGAGCAATGCATCCCAAGAGCAGCTCACTTGAGTGATCTTGTGTTTCTTCGCCGACTTGACCCAGGTACGGCACTGTAAGGCTGAGATGCAGCGGCTGATATCACCCAATGGTCATCATGTTGATGATTCAACCCAGTCACACCGGATGGCGCATGGGCACGGCCGCAACGGGCTTGCACGGGGAGGCGTGCCTGCAGCTGCGAAGACGGGGAAACCTCACCGAGATAGGAGAGAACGCTTCGAAAACGGGGCTCCTATAATCGATCCTCCACTGCTCGCTCCATCCTCCAGCCAATGTCCCCCAACCACAGTATCCAGGCGCGTGGTCATGGTTCACCGTCGTTTCATTGGAGCGTCTAGACCTAGACCTTACTTAAAGTCGAGATAGCACGTCCGAGAATGCATCGGCACGATTGCTATAACATGTTACGGGCCCGGCGCCCATCTTATGCCGTTGCGACCGAGTCGCCCGTGCGCGTCGGCGCTGCCGTCCTCCAGCGATCGGCGGCATGGTGAGACGAGAGATCATTGTGATATGTGTTAGCGCCTCAGTGCGATGTCCAAGGATGCCATATATGTCACGATAGCAGTGATTAACTTGGGGACAAACGGCAGGATGCTTTCAATACGGCAGTTCGCGAGAAATCTTCAACGACACCGACAATCAGTAAAGCCACACCTGAATCATGTTGTAGATATGAATGTCTGATTCTTCCACGAATGTGTGGATATGCACACGAACCTAAGCAACATTCGTGGCGGCTGCAAAAGAGCGATGCTTTAAGATGGGGTGAAAACTATCATGAAGGCTCGCACCGCAATCACGTCACTGACGCAAGCACGTCCCACGATGGGTGACCAGATACTAGACAGAAGATTCGATGGAGCACGTTCGAGACAAACGCTTGCCGTGCCGCAGCCACTTGCCAAGTGTTTCAGACATAACTAACATGAGATGAAGTGGACTATTCGGTGAGCAGCCAACAATGAGACAATGCTGTGATGACGACGGAGCAGAAGAAAAGGTAGAACTGATGATCCATCGCAGTTCCGAAGTACAATCTAACCAACGAGGCACGTCGAAATATACCACAACTGAGATGTGGGACGGTCACAATGCTCTCGACTCCCAATGCCGTGGATGATGAGAAAAGGCTACTCACGGACATTGATGATACAAACGCCTTCAAACCCAAAGATGACGGCACTGCCAGAGGACAAGTGCCGCGGCATGTCCCTCAAGCTGCTTGCTCGGCGAAGGTCAGAATACTGACGGGATGTCGGCTGAAGCAACGTCAAGCATAGGCCTGTCTCAGAAATGCGTACGATGAGAAGACAGCAAAAGCCGAATATACACGAATCGTTGAAAACGCGCGCACGTGACCGAGAACGTACGCGCACATCGCCACGATCAACGAAACTTGTTGCGAAACGTTATCCTCGAAAATAGACAGGAGGCAGCCAGTCGGTCTCTCTCCCTTCGCCGTTCAAAAGACAATCTGAGACACTATTTTCCAGCATGTTAAACTCAGAGGATGAATACGATGAGTTCTATACACCGCTGGAGTTTGAAGACATTCTCCTGGCCGAACAGATGGTCCCTGACAGTGCTGAGACTTTTTCCGAACAAGAATCTCAGCAGACGATCGCAACAACGCCAAGTAGCGACGAGTACGCAGAATACGACCTTTCTGAATTCACGGCAGAGGACTTCGCCCACATCGACTCCATGCTCGCTGCTGCATACTCCACGTCGGAGTCGGTCGAGAGTCGTATTTACTACGACGCGCCTAGATCCGGAGGAGGAGGTCCTCAAATTGCGATAACGCTGGAGCAGAATGCTAATTATTCTGCTCTTGTCAAGGCACCTGAAGAGCCGCAAGAGGGGGGCGCCCAGGCAACTCTCAGCCCCTTGCAGCGATTCCGCAGGGGCAAATGGCTTTCCGTCACCGATCTAGTAGGCCCAGCCTGGTACGTGCCTGACATAATACAATCTAGACATTATTCTCTTGACCGGAGGTGTATTGATAGGTGCGAGGTGCAATTTGACTACGGCCTCAGGCAGAAGCGGTCTCTGAAGCCTGAGAAGAGGCCCGAGTCGTTCACTACTGCCAAGGGCAACACGATCACAGTAGACAAGGATGTTGCGGCCGACAACTACAAAACGACAAGTCGTGGAAGGGTAGGTTCTGTGGTTACATGCAGTGGTTCTGCTTGCGTTGAGATCCGGTGTTTACAGTCGGTGCATAAAGTGCTTGAGCGGGAAATACGTCCTGAAGAGGTTCATGTTGAGGTGACAACGATGGAAGAGCGATGGGCTTTGCGGTACCTATCCTTACAGCCACACAGTTTCATGATGTCTCACCCGAGTTCGACAGATTGGTTAATATGATCACATCGTTGGATTCACTCGTGGAACTGGGCTGCTGCGTAAATTTTATCAAAATTCTCGAAAGGCTTTGCTATTGAATCTTCCCCTCCTTCACAGCGCGAGATGCCAGTGTTCGGTCTGGTCCACGGAGAAGTAATCACAGGTATCATCGTATGTAGTGAGCCGACCACGTCTTACAATTACGGCTAACGTCCGGAACAGGACGAGCTAAACCGTGAAGTGGCGCTCCCGCCACCACTACCACTACAGCCGCAGGTAGATGCCTCGTCAGATACTCGGTACCCGCACAAACGGGGGTCGCCATCAACGCCGACAAAGAAAAAGAAAAAGAGGAGCAGAAACACGATACCCCGCACAAGATATACCCTCCATCTCTCGGACACCAAAACACGCCGTAGTCCGACCTTGCCATCCGATGACGACACCCGATCCTCGCGCCTCCAGCTTATGCTCTATCACCGCATGCTGAGCGTTCTCCTGCTACCATCATCAGAGGCGCAGACCAATCCTGTCCCCGGGACGACAAACCTGCAACCATTTGATTTTGATGCTCTCTGGCAACGTCTCGGCGTCAACCCTTCGCTTCCCTTTTCCCTAAGCTTCATGCAGGAGATAGGATTGCTCGATAGCGCCAGCGCCGTCTCTAGCGTTATGACTCCTGCATCCTCAAGTCGTGAAGACAAAGGCGCATCCGGTTGGTGCTTGGACGATTTGACAGCAGCATGGCGCCATGGCGTAGAGGCCATCAACGTGGATGGCGTCAACACGACGTTGACACTGGTCTACCGGTTACAACCTGGCGTGAAAATGAGTCGGAGCCGAAAGAAGCGTTCTTCAAGTAAGATTCAGCGCGTACGCTCGAGGTCTACACCTATCACTGAGCAGGAAGCAGCTGACATCGGAGCGAGGATGAATGAGCCTCTAGAACCATACTTTGGCATGGGTGATTCGCTTCCTTCGACGGTAGCAGTGAGCCTCGAGGAGTACCGAAAACGTCAAAAGACGTCTGCTCCAAAGGGCACGGAGTCTGCAGACGCCACGCGCGACGTAGTCTCTGAATCCAACTCTGAGGAACTTTCGGAGGCTGCTCCGGATGAACCGGAGGCACATGAGGACCTCTTCGCCCCGCTCACGGACTCTGGCATCGTGGCCGATGCTGAAGAGGTCGGGACGATCCCGACTCCTTCAGAGGACGATGACGAGGAGCCGAGCATGACCATGGCCGAGTTGGAGAAAGAGGCACGCATTCTTGGCCACAAGCAGTTCGCGGTCGACGACAAGATGCTTGATGAGTATTTGGATAGTATCCTGCAGTATTGGCATGGCGAGCGGCCACCGGTTGGCGTGGAGATTGAGCACACGTGGCGTTGTCGGTGAGTGCATTCTCTGTTTTCGGGACCACCTTGGATGCTGATGCTGATGGAATCCTTCAACAGAACATGCGAGTATCGGGACGGGTGCGAGTGGCTTGAACAGAAGGCTAGAGAACGTCGGAGGTTAGATCCTGCGGTCGCAGCGACAACAAACGCGTTTCCTGGCAGGAGATCTGAAACGTTGTATTATAGGCCACTCTGAATATTTTTTGGGTTTCTGTTGCTGATCTTGAAGCCCTAACTACACGGGCTCATGACCGCCCAATGTAGGAGGGTGCATACCGTTGCGCACGGTGTCTCGGTGAGCAGCATTGTACGTGTGAGTGCATAATCATCCACTTCGGTGGCACCAACGTGGTAGCATAGCACCCATAATGTTGCTCGATGAAGGCTCTTGGTAAGATCTGATGTAGTGATCCATCACCATGTCAATGAATAGACGGATCCTAATAGGTAATTCAATATTACAAGCCATATTCTATGATGAGTATTAACATATTTGTGTACGTTTTGTCTATAAGAAGCATGATGAAAGAGAAAGCAAAGCTATGACAGGTGCGAGAACCCCGCTCACATGCACAGAACAAGTAGATGATTACCCGGACACATCTGTAGCGCCTCTTGCTTGGTTAGCCTGCCAGCTGCTAGCGCTGGTCAGCGGAGGGGTGCCAGGCAGCCCAAGCTGTTCTACAGCCGCTTCCGCGCGAACAAAGTTGGAGTCACTCGGGTGAATGTAGATGTTGTGGGGCTTGGACCTTGCACGGCGTTGTGGGAAAGGCATAGGCGGTGGATAGGAATCTGCTGATGAGTGTTCGTCATATTGGGATGAAGATAGCAGAGGTTCCTTCAAATTGACATTCTCTTGGCTGTTAAAAGTGTTCTTGGTCAACCAGCAGACAGCAAGATATACGGACACTTACTCGGATGTTGAATTGCATGGCATCTCGATGTATTCAATGACGAATTGACCGACCGAAAGCGTTGTAACCTGACGCAACGTGTGCTGAACTGCCGGATCGCACAACATGCAGCTCACGTACTGTGACAGTTATTAATCTGCATTCACCGAGCTTAGAGAAAACCATGATACGGACACGAGTTCGGTGACATACCCAACATTGAAGGTCATAGCTATTAGCATGTACATTCTACCAACTCGTGAGCGACGAGATTCTTTCCTACCACGAGGATGACATACAATCTGTCAAATGTGACAAACCAATATAGAAAAGCCCTCCACAAAGCAGTGCGCATGCGAGACTGTCGTATGCTCGTTGGACCCCATTGTTTCGTGATTGCATAGGTGAGAAGTCTTGAAATGAGCAGAAGGATCGGCACCGTGTTCGCCAGGACGTGTATGGCAATGCATACCTTTCAGTCGCACAGACCACTATGGCCAAGATAGATGCAATGACGAACTTCCAGAGCGAGTCGACATGTAAGTTGGGTAACAGAACATGTTCACCCAAGAAAGAGAAGTGGAGATGGTCTCTCCAGCCCTCCATTGCCTTCATGTTGCAAGCAGCAAGGCCCCAAGGCTATAAGCACAGGTGAATTCCGAGATGAAGTATGAAAACCAAAGGCAGAAATTAGAAGCAAGATGCCATCCAGTAAGAACAGAGCGAGCAAGGAATGACAGGAGACGTTCGGCGCTGAGTGTGGTTTGGTTGGTAGTAACATCGGGTAAGCCCATAATCTGTTTGGAGTAAATTACTGCGCAGCCGCTGTCAACCCTAACCGCCACCGCGGAAGCAGGTCGGGATCAAACCCGCTCCCATCAAATATGCGTATCCGATTCCTTGGTCCATCAATTCTTTAGTATACAGCGACAGTGAAACGGAATAGAGACATCATGAATCGTGACTGAATAGTAAGCAGCAGTAAAGCTTTGTCTGTAGAATAATGCTCTCATCCATCTGTCCCTCTATGATCGTCCTCGTCCGGATTCTCCACCGACAACACTGACTCTCCGCGCGGGAATACCGCCGCGCTTCATCGGCCCATGAGACGGGGCCTGCCCCGAGTCATCCACAGCACGGTTCCACCGGTCAATGAGCTTAGACACGCCCTGGTATGGCCGCTCCGGCGACGGAGACCGCAGGGGAGGAGAGGTGGTATCCTCGGCAGGCATCGTCGTTCTCCGTACAGGGCGTGGGACTACCGACATCTCTTCTCTTTGCGGGCTGCGGTCTTGGAAGGACGGCCTGGACAGTGGTGCCGGAGACCGCCGCGAAGGCAAGCCGCTCATCGCTGGCGGTCTACTGCGTGACCTATCCCTTCTGCCGACAGGAGATGCGCGCGACGGCAGGCCGGAGGGCGATGCCCGTCCTCCATTTATCAATTCCCGCTCCGCTCGTCCCTGGCCCGCATCATCCGGCACGGCCAAGTTTGGTTTGGGTATCACAGGAGAGGATGGCGGGGAAAGCTTCGGGAACCGCTGAGCAGCAGCAGAAGGAGAAGTCACCGTCGAGCCACTGTCTCCCGTCAATCTGGTAGGTTTCGTGCTCAAAGCGGCCGGCTTCGATGATAATGAAGGACCAGGAGCCTTCGCCGTACTGTCGATCACCTCGTAGTGTTGTACCATGTCCGTTATTGAACTCCTACGCATAGAACGCCTCGAGATATCTGCAGGTGGAGACAGCTGCTGCTGCTGCTGGTGGGCGGAGCGAGCAGCGGCATGAGACGTGGATGCACTGGAGTCAGTCGACGAGGTTTTCGCAATGGGATGAACGAACATAGATTGTGGACGAGACCGTCCGGATGTATGCAAACTTGGAGATGAGATGACTGTGGACCGACGAGCAGCGGACGAAATAGATGGCTGACTTCGCTGACTGCTGGACGTTGTTTGAGAGGGCAGCATTCGGCTCCGGGTAGGAGACATATCGATGAGCGGCCGTGGAGACTCCGAGCGAGATTCTGAACGTGTTTTCGCAGAGAGCGGCGGAGGCCTCACAGATGGAGATGGCATAATCACCGACCTGCGGCTGTCAGACTGTCTCGCTGCACTGACACTACTCTTCTCCTTCTCCCGGGTGTTCTCCTGCTCCAAGGTGCTGTGGCTCGTATTACTGCCCCATAGGTCTACGAGGTTGTGCACTGAGCCTTGTCGTCCTTTACTCCTGGCCAAACTCCTTCTGTCCTCATCGCTGCTCTGCCTAACCGGCCTCTCGAGCTCCCTCGTCCTGCGATCATCCCTCGGGACATCCCTCGGGACATACCTGCGCACGTCCTCCGGCCCACCATCACTCGACGAACAAGAGGGAGATCGCTTCGACGGAGTGTCAGCCGAGGCAGCAATAGGACTCCAGTTCTCCGTCAGCCCGCTCGGAGAAGGCGTGATCCCAGATCGAGAGGATAGCTTCGTATCAACAGGCGGGAGCTGCAGCCCTCGGCTGCTGCTGCTACCCGTAGCATGTTGCGCACCGGTGCTTGTCCCACTGATATTGCCCCTCGATCGGCTGGACGAATTCCGCTTGCTCTCTTCTCTTCTTCTATCTTCGTCCCTCTCCCGCTCTCTCCTTTCCGCCCTCTCCAGCCTCAGTTCCCTGGCACTCCTCTCGTGCATCATCTCAGACGCAGGTGATTCTGCGACACGCTCTGCCTCTGGCGGCTTCTGTGAATCAGCCGGGCTTCGCTCAACGTACGATGCACGCTTGCTCGGCGTGTCACGCAGGACAGGCTGAGGCTGGGACTCAGCTTTCGGAGGGGGACGAGGCGGCACCACGGCCGGCTCCTCGTCGTCTGCTCCTGTCAGCCAATCGCGAGGTTCTTTACGAGGTTCAGGTTCCGCATTACTAGGTTCAGGTCGAGGTGGGAGGGCGGGCGTTTGCGCTTCGGTCGGAGTCTTAGACGAAGCATCCTTCGACTCTGTCCGCGTTGGCGTTTTCCCATCTCCTGGGCGTCGATGGCGTCGGGCCGCAGATGGTCTACTCCGCAGGACAGCTACGACGTCCTGCTTCTTCTCCTCTTCTTCCTGCTTAACCACTTTCCTCTCCTTCTCCCGCAGACTCTCCCTATCCCTATTGGGAGGAGGAATCACTGCTGCTGGACGGACGTAGAGCGACGATTGCCTGGCGACGCTGCCGTAACGAGACTGAGATTCGCGCATCGCAGTGCCTGTGACGTGCTGTGAGCGGACGCCATCGTACCGGCTCTTACCCAGCCCAGTCGTCGCATGTGAGCTGGGAGCTGACGTGCCCACCGCAGGAAGTCCCTCCACCGCAGTCGGGCGCATACCGCCCTTATAACTCATCTTGGATGGTGGCCGTGAGCTTAAGATGGGCCTCTCTGCGGTTGACGGAGGTACAGGTGCATGGAAATCTGCAGACCTGTCCTTGCTCGGCGTAGGCGGAGGTGGTGAGCCGAACTCGCGGTCCAGCTCCTCCAAAGACGGGAAGCGTTCCTCCGCACTCAGTGGCTGACCTTGCGACGAGGGTACTCTACTCGCCCGCCATGGTTGCATGCTGGGTGGTAGTGAGGAGAGGGGTGGCTGCGATTGCAATTGAGGAGATGGAGGAGGCAGGGGAGAATGGGAAGTAGGTGGCCGGTAGACGGTGTTACTCGTCCCGAGCCCGTTCACTTGATTGGATGCTGTGCTTAGATACTGTGCGGACGAGCTGCTCGCAGCAGAGTTCAGAGACGAGCTGAAGGTAGCAAGGCCCGTTCTGCTCTTGCGCGCTTCACCGAGCGTGGGAGGCGACGGCTGAGCAGCAAGACCGAGTCCATCGAACGCATCCTTTGCTCTGCGCATTGATTGATGCTGCATCTGCGGAGTGCTAGGCAGTGGTCTCGGCGACGGAGCAGGCAGGGTCTGAGGCTGAGGTTGAGACTGCGGCTGGAGCTGGGGGTAAGGTTGCGCTTTGGGAGATGGTGCAGGAGACTTCGCAGGTTGGAAGTCTCCGAAGCTCTTCCCGAAAGACGTGAAGTCGTCGCCGAAAGCTTTTTCGAAAGCCTTCTTGTCCGATTCCAAGCTCGGCACTGGCTTTCGTTCCATCCGGAAGCTGGGTGCCCATGCATCGGCATCATTCTTGCTATGATCAGATGTGGTCCCATTGACGGTAGCAAGACCAGTTTTGTGCCCGCGCGCATGGTAATGCGCACGGTCAGCATCTAAGTCGGGCCTTCGCTCCTGCTTCGGACTCGCGGGTGGTGATGGTATCGAATGCACAGGCCTTCCCCGGCGCATTGGCGCGATAGCATCCAGCACTTTGTCGCGTGCCTCGATACTGGACGACTTGAGCGGCAATGACGATGGCTGATGTGGCCTGTACGTCACGAGGTCATCTAGAAGATTTGCGGGCTGCCGCACCGGAGGTATTGTGTTGGGAGAGAGCGTCTGCAATGGTGCTGTAGGGACAGCACGCGGGGGGATCTGTTGTTCCTTCGACGGGACGTTGTACGTGAACCGTGACTTCGTACCCCGTAGTCTGTGGACATGTGCCAGAATCTCGAACACCGAAGGCCGCTGTGCACCATGTTCGCGCAGCATCGAGGCTTAAGAACACCTTAGGATACACGAGAAAGTACAATCGCACAATTAAACGTACCTATTAACGCATTCATCTGCTGTGAGTAAACGGGATAAGGCGGGATCTTGTACTGTACGTTCAGGATTGCTAGTGGGCCGTGTTCCTCGAACGGTGTTGTGTAATAGCAGAGCTTGTACAGCAGCACCCCAAGCGCCCATATATCGCTCTTCTCATCCACAGGCCGTCGAAGGTACACGTCAACCATCTCCGGTGCACGGTACTGCAGCGTAGTATGCCGATTGAGATCGGCTTCCAGCATTCGTAATTCCTGTACATTGGTGGGTACTCTTTGTACCGGTGTCGCGCTGCCAAAGTCACAGAGCTTGTAAAGTGTGGACGACGCCTGGAGGATGTTCTCCACCTTGAGGTCGCGGTGAATCAAGGGAGGCTTGAGCGAGTGCATGGCAGCCAGACCTTCACACACATCACAGAAGATGGTGAGAATCTCGGGCTCGGTTAGACGTTCACGTAGCCGACGGTTCATCATATCGATGATGCCGCCGCCTGCACAGTACTCCATCAGGATGAATACCTCGTATGTCCCGTTTGATAAGCGGTGCCATGCAGCGTCAATCAGGTACACGATGTTAGGATGGCCTCTCAGAATCCTCTAGCAATAGCGTGAGGTTCTTTACTTTTAATGAATGCCAAAAACGATCGCAAAAACGAGGGACTCACCATCACATCCACCTCCTTCTTAACCTCGGTGAGCATCCCCTCATTGGGCACCGCGATCCGCTTCAAAACATGATACGTTGTATCGTGCACAGGCTGAGCCGTCTTGACGAGGTAGACATGTGCGAACCCTCCTGTGATGGCGGTCATGCTGGCTAATAATCCCTGCAACACCTGCACCACGAACCTTGGCTGAGGTAGCGCTCGACCTGGACAGTGTACCTGTTAACCGCAATCGTCTGGCCAGGCAGGAGGGTTCCCTTGTTGGGCTGCTGCATGTAGGCCTGTGGGTAGGCCTGGGCCATCGCCATGGCGGGAGGAGGAGAAGGTGTATGCGCGCTGTGCGCTGTCCTCCAGCGAGTATCGTTGCGGTGGGTTCCCATTTTGGGACGTTGCCACATGCGCCGTCACAGTGTCACGGTGTGACGAGGCGCGACGCGGTGGTAGGCACGTGATCCAATCAATACTGACGTAGCTGCGGGTGCGAGATACAACATCTAATCTTAAGTCGCCCGGGATTTGCCAGCGCGAAACTCATATATAAGGCTCGCCGTGAGTCAATCAGTGCGTTTGGCCTCTGTCCCCAACTCAATCACACCCATTCGAACTCCCCAGTTGTCAAGAATGGCTTCACCAGCACTGCAGGCGATCCCATTTTCGCGCCCAGCGACCCCGGGGCATATCATCAACAAAATAGGCTTTTATGGCCTTGGTTCCATGGGCTACTTCATGGCCCGAAACCTTGCTAAACACCGTGCACCGCACACGGGAACTACCCCCTTGGTCGTGTACAATCGTTCGCGAACTAAATGCGAGGAGTTGCTAGCAGCCTTGGGCAAGGATAAGATCGAAATCGCACAATCTCCGGAGCAGCTTGTTACCGAATGTGATGTCGTCTTCACCAGCCTCGCGAGCGACGCTGTAGTGAAGAGCGTGTATGAGCAGTTTGCGAAGGCATTGACAGTGAGTATTGTCAATCGCGCCATTTGGACATGATTGTTGAGATCGATGCGTGACAGCAATCACCTCCTACCAAGAACAAGATTCTAGTAGAGATGAGTACGATCTACCCCTCCTTGGCAGGTAGGTGTTACCGGCGAAACCTCGATGATATCCCTCTCACGTCTCCTGTAAGGCGAGCTCGACACACTTCTCTCCGGTATCCCTCACACGCATCTTGTCACCGGTCCTGTGTTCGGACCGCCGGCCGCCGCTGACTCTGCTAACCTTATTTGCGTACTTGCCGGAGACTACCGCTCGAAAAAGGAGGTCGCTCATATTCTCGTTCCTGCCGTCGGGAAGAAAGCGATGGATCTGGGCGGTAATCTCGAGAAAGGTACGAGACAAGCGCCATTGATGCCCACCCTCGATGTGCTGCGATGCTGACACATGCGCGGATATCAGCTCCCATGTTCAAGCTTATCGGAAACTCGATGATCTTGGGCTCGCTTGAGATTCTTGCAGAGGCCTTCACGCTCTCGGATAAGGCTGGAATTGACTCCGCACAGACCTATGAGCTTGTCAAGGACTTGTTCCCTGCACCTCCGTATGTCTGAAAGTTCACCAATTATTGCGGTTTGTGATTTGACACTGGTTGCAGTTTTGTCAACTATGGCAACAAAATGGTCCAGGATTCCTTCGATGGCAAGAAAGGTTTTGCTCTTGAGGGTGGTCTGAAGGACGCAAACCATATTCGTCATCTTGTCACCGATTTGAACTCGCCAATGCCAGTCGTGGTTAGTTCAGACCAATTTAACTAAGTTCTACCTGCTCATTTACTCATCGGCCGTGACATCAATTTAGGACGCTGCACATGCTCATCTATTGACTGCTCGTGCCATACATGAAGGGCAGAAGCAACGCGGCGAGGCCGCCTTCGAGGTCCTCGACTGGAGTGGTCTGGTGGCTGGAGCAAGAGTGGCTGCAGGGTTGGACGCATTCGACAGCACAGTGGTTCGTTCATCTTGTTCGTGTTACGTACATGCAAGCGATCTAATGACTTCCTAGCCTGCTAAGGTTGTCAAGGAATGAAGAAAGCCGCATGAAGAATTATGTTTTACCCTTATCCTGTCCGACGTCCTCAGATACCATTGGACCAGCAAATGGAATGAAACTATTGTTTGATTATGTAGTTCAAGCCGTCGTTGTTTTTCGCGGAGGTCTGTGAATGCACGCGGCAATTGTAGCCCTACCTTCTCTGAGAAGCTCCAGAACTGAAGAGGATTTGCGTTGAGTTGTATGCTTCGATGGGACCTGGTGCTTCCTTAGACGCGGGAATTACTAGACCTTCCAAAATGGGACGAAGGTGTACGACCATTTTGGTGGCTGCGATATTTCTCTGCAGACCATAACCAATGTTTGCGCGTCCTCTCCATCCATCGTGCTCACAACACGCCCTACGACACGTTCGAACGTATGTTATTTCGGTAGAGCCACCTCGCATTTACCCTACAAAACCTACACCGCGCGTGTACCAGACGCGAAAAGCCTATCTCTACCACCGCTACCTCCGACTTTTGCAGTCAAGCTCGGATGGCCCTTTGCTCCTTCTCTATCATAACGACTTCGCCTTCAGTCGTTTAACTCAGCTTCGCAGCGACATACGACAAGCAGCGGCTCGACATGCCAAACCCACGCTCGCTGGTCCGAATCCTGCTGCCGCGTCACAGGCACCGACGCTAGAGGTCATCCGCACATCCCTCTTTGGTGTGGCTCTGCGAGACTTTGAACCGCTTGACCAAAACTCAATAAAAGAAGTCGCAAAACTGATCAAGGGCCCGCTCGCCATCCTCGCCTTTCCCTCCTTCGACCCACCTCAGATCCAGGCCATCCTGCGGGCGCTAGCGCGCTCGGTGCCGCCTCGCGTCCCAAAGACACCGCAACAGATTGAACAAGAGCGCAAGCAAAGAGAAGCGTCATTCGTGCCCGGACGCCGCCAAAAGCGCCAGCGCTCGACGGCCAATCCGGATCTCAAACTGCTCGGCGCGTTGATCGAGGGGAAGGTGTTCACGGCGCCCGGGGTGCAGGAGGTAGCGAAGCTCTCGACACTGGATACGCTGCGCGCGCAACTGGTGGGCATGCTGAGTGCGCCGGCGATGCAGCTCGCTGCAGTGTTGAACGAGGCGAGCGGGGCGAAGTTGGCGAGGACGCTGGAGGGATTCAAAAAGAGTCTGGAGGAAGAGGACACCGGAGGGAAGGAAGAGCAGTCTGCTGCTCAGTGAACCCGTGTGTTCCCGCCCATTACACATCTAACGCGTTTGCCATCCAATATCAGATGACATTGTCATGGTGCGACCCATACGCATTCCGGAGGAAACTGCCTTGGCGTTCCATCAGGTATTTGGCAGCGCGCGATACAAGGCCCGCATTATTTTTTGCCACCGAATCGCGATATCTCTCACAACGACTAATCTTGCTGATTCTCATGTCGCCTTGTGTTACCCGTTGAGCTGGCACAACTTATCGAATCTGGAGCTGCAGATGATGATACGTTGTATGTGCAACCATCGGCTGCCATCGACGCATGTTCCGTACACTGCCATGATCTTCTCAGACATCTGCCTTCGGAGTTTCATCCAACGTCATGCATGACTCATGTCCATGCACCGCCTCCGACAGCGCTATTTTACCTGCCTGGTGGCCGAGAACATGTGCATGAAGCTAGCGGCTCCGCCGACCACACCGAGTCATCTAACACCAGGATCGTGTCACGTATGCGCGCCGGCATCGCATGTGAGCCAATCATCCTTATATGCAGGAAGGTCTCCATTATGAAACCCTTCATATGGCGACGGTATGAGCGCAATCGAGACGTTACAGGGCAAGGACGAGCAGTGCTTCTATGTAATCTGTTCATGTGAGTCGTGTGCACTTCCTCAAACCACATTCCATTCGGCCTTATAAACTTCGTTCCCCCTTTACCATCCTGGGACAAAATCGATAACATACCAGCGTATTCGGACCACTTGTCATCACGATATCCTGCCTCGTGTTCGATTTTCAGTCGCTCTTCCTAGTTTTAAGTCTTCTCTCGGATACTCCAGCCCCACTAGCTCTAGACGTTTTTCACGTCGTATCCCAGCAGCGATGTCTAACAACGACCGTGCGTGGAGCATATCTATAACAATTGGACAATATAACTCACCGGATCTTCCAGAGTACAGGATGATGCTGAATAACAAGCTCCAGAGCAAAAAGGGTCTTGTTTTGTCATGGACAACCAAATCCGATGGGCCGCCACATAACCCGAAGTGGACTGCTACCGCTTTGAGTGAGTGAAACTGAATTGGACAGCTAGGTTTCAAGGAAACGGAGCTTATAGGCGATGCAGTCGATGGAGTTGAATACGGACAAGGCGTGGGACAAAGCCAGGGTGCTGCGAAAGAGATTGCTGCGAAAGAGGCGCTCGAAAAGCTCAATGCACTCAATGCGAAGTGACGACAAGTGACAAGAAAAGACATAGCATCTCAATGCCGATATGTGCGTATAGGTACCCATTCACGTCCGTCACGGTTGCTCATCCGATCCGAGTTAGATCCTGTCTTTCACACAGCTGCTCGTTCTCCTATCTGCGCAAATGTATCCTTCCAGATTTTCTGCACTGATGGATCTTTTGTTACGCTGTTTTTTGTGTCCAGTTGTTCAATTTCTCCATTACAACACCTACATGGCTTTCATCCTTCACTTCGCACTCTATTAGCATGTCCAAGTTTGTTTGTGTAGCTCTAACCGCACTTCTGTGACTTTGGGCGTCTTTCTTCTCTCACCTTCGTTGTATTTGTTTCAACTAACACGCGAGGTCCTCCCATCTGTCAGCTTCTCTCCCAACTTGGTTTTCTGCCAGTAGCTCATCTGCGATGATCCTACTTCCGCTTCGCATGCTCTGCGTTGTCTTGTTATCCCTTCCATTTACTAACCTTATATCGCATGGTTGTATCAGTTGGACGCCTTTCTTTGTACGGCTGCAGTCCTTTCTTACCGGCGTTTATAAACGTTTCCTTCGTTCAAGACATAAGCTAGCATAAGCTGCTCACTGCGCGCCGTGCCGATTTGCATGACTAAAGCGGACTTGCACACCTCCATCATGGAATCAAGTTCTCCATATGTCGGTCTCTCACGGCAGCAATGATACAACCTTGGTTGCGCAACTTCAAATCGAGCCGGGCATTATGGTTCTCCGGCACTGCATCGTCGCAACGGGTTGCTAGATAACCTACCTTGATTTATCCGTGCTGTTCGCTTTGCACTGCAACGTGCAATGTAACTTTCCGAATTTCCAATGGAGACGGTTTGAATGATAGCATGACTAACTGCAGCTGCGATGGGGGCCTCAAGGCCGCTGTCCTGGTGACTGACAAACGGTAACTTCAGTGGCAGCAGACTGCTCCTATGACCGTGTTATATCCTCGGTCTAAAACCCAAAGCTTCTTTCGCATGCTTTGATCCTCTGCGACCTCATGCCTCAGGGCCGATGCCGTCGTTAATGCTGGCTGAAAGTGTGCGATCTCGCCCGGGGGCCACACATTCTTTCAACACAACTTCCTAAACTGGACCGCAGTTCGTCGCCGTAGGCAGACCATGTGGCTGAAACTAGTACTATCATCTCCTCTTGCCGCTTGACCGATTTGTATTCGACGGACGAACACTGTGGCGAACACTCAGTACTCAGTGCTCATGGTCCAAGATGGACTCCTGGCATAGTCCGTCCCATCGTCGAATCTCACATCATGTGGTCACACAAGATCCTACCAAAACTCCGTGTTCATCCAAGTCGGCTAGAACTCTTCAGCGGGCTCGTAAACCTGGCAACGCGCAGCCGCGACAGGCACCAAGAAATTAATAGAGCGCTCTAGCAATCGGAAACGTGCATTTTCATTTTATTGTGCTCCGGAGGATCGTGGGAGGACATCCGTATCTGTGCTCCATGTCCGTTCTTGCCAAAGAAGCGATGCTCTGTCCGTCTCCTGCTTCCTGGTTTCGATCGGCTTGCAATCTGTACCCCACGCAATTTTGTCTGTAACCACCATGGTGAGCAGCGACCCTATTCAGCAGAAGATGGAGGCCTCGGTGTTCGCCAAGCTAAACTCGTCCGGGCGTCCATTTGAAGAGCATTATGTCGCTCATATCAAGGTCTGGGAGGCTGCGCGCGACGGAAGAGGGAAGAAATCAAGATATATCGTTCTCTCTCGTACGTGTTACAGCCCTCTGACTGAAGTGTGGACAGAAGTAAAAGTGGCTCACAGAGACTAGTGATGGATCCGGGTTTATTCACAAAGCGAAGCTAAACTGCAACGGCGCCTTCTCACTTGGAAAGACGTGGAAGATGCAAGATCTTCGTGAGGTAGAGGTGGTGAACGTGAGTAGCATTCAACGTGTCTTCGCATCTCGCTATTAAGTATGCTTTCTCCGCACAGTCACTCGTATTCGAGATCACTCCCAGCGCCACCACATATCGCTGGCAAGCAGACAACGCCAGAGATCAGACCAAGTTCGTGTCGATGCTGATCAGGCTCTTCCAATACGTGACGGGAGGAGCTGCGCCCTTGCGGCTCATCGGCGTGAGAGTTTCGGACGGTCCTGCGTGTATGTGCTTCTATTTCTGCAGTACGGAGCAGTCGCGTTGACAATCTGGGAAGTGCCAAAGCTGTCTGCATCTAGTCACAAATCTTCACGTCCACAGGGAATATTGATCAATGCAGATGCCATGCCGACAGGGGACGGAACAATTGAGAAGCTCCCTCCAAGCCCTCGGTCGCTTAACTCGAAGCCCTCTGTGGTCATCTGGAAACGGCCCGTAGATCAACCACAAATTGCCCCGGTGCCACCGATACCAGCCCAGCCACGTTGATTACAATCACCCTGTACGTTTTAATACAGCGGAGGAGGCATTCAGTCTTCGAGGCATTTTCATTGGACATTCGCGATCGCTTTCCATACGTGTTACGTACTATAACGTTATCGACGAACATCGGGTGAAGAAATTACAAAGCACGACAGCACAGCCAGTATTGTCGTGGAACGGGTTGAACGGATCCGTAACTGCTGACAACTTGTTGCAGAAAGTCGAGATGCAGAGCTCCGGCATGAACGCTCTGTATCATCGCAGCGTCAGTATCAAGTGCATCAGGTATACACTAAGCAGATACAGGTATCGAGCGAATGGCAGATGTGAAAATTATGTAAATTATCGCCGTTTTGACCCACGGCTATCGTCCATGCTAGGAGAGCTTCGCCTTTTCCTGCTATACAGACTCGTTCAGTTATGAAAATAGAACGTTCACCTGCGAATGATGCATACCTGCTGTTACTCCTCTCCCTCTCATCGTGATCGGGCGTTCCGCCACCACTTTCTTTCATCCCGCCACCGCCTCCATAGTCCAGGCCTTCGACTGCAGGAGCACTGCCATCGATATCCTTGTACTTATTTTTGTTACGCGGACCCGTAGGCACATTTGGTGGGAGCGGCGATGCAGGCCGCACTGGCACTGTGACAATCATACATGAACAAAACTGATCGTAGATAGGGTGAACGACGCACCTCGTCCGCGCGGGGCATACGCTGTGCGTCCGCGTGGACCCATAGGTTGGGAAGGCACGACCCGTCCTCTAAACTGTCCGGGGGCGGCGCCGCCGCGAGTGGGAGTAGGCGCAGCGACAGGCGTGCTGCTGCTGCTACTCTCCATGCCAGGATACATCTGTTGTCCCATATTGCTCTGCTCTTGCTGCTATGAAGGGATGGGACGCCGAAACTTGAGCATGTCGCCCTTCCGAAGCATACGAAATGGCTGCTGAAGCACACACCTGCATCGCGAATTCACCTCCCATGCCCATGCCCATCATTCCCTGGCCTGGTCCCGTAATACCCGGCCCAAATGCTTCGCCCATGCCCATCTGGCCTTCGGATGCGCCCTGTCCCGCGCCCTGCGGACCGCCGCCTATGCCTACGCCTGGCCCAGCTCCTTCCTGCATCATGCCCTGTCCTGGGCCTCCGCCGCCCATACCCTGTCCTCCCGCACTCATCTGCATCCCTGGCCCGGGTCCGCCCATACCCATACCCATCTCACCGTTCATACCCATGCCACCGCCGACACCCATGCCCATGTCCTGCATCATGGGATTCATCATGGAGCCCATGTTCATCATCTGGTTCATCAACGCGCTGCCATTCATGTTCATGCCTGCGCCTGGCGCCATCATGCCACCTCCATTTGGACCGGCGCCGCCACTTGCCATCATAGCGGTCGCGCCGGCTACAACCATTGTGCGGATTTCTGGAGGAAGAGCGGTGAGCTGCTCTTCTGGCATACCCGCGAAGTTCTATAAGTTGAGCACTAGTCAATATTCCGAGGATCTGACTTCCTTGTTGCCTCGCCATCCTGCACGCACCAGGACATTGGCCTTCAGTACGCCAGCAACCTCTCCGAGTTCTCTTCTTCGATAGCAATATGCTTCCCAAGACATCTCGTCGAATCCATAGTTGAACCAGTCGCTCAAGTCAGATCCTGGTCTTCGCCATGGCTTCTCTGCTAGCGCAGCGAGGTCGACTTCAAGAATCGAACGTCCGTCGAGTGTCCCCGGAATCGCGGGATTGATGGTCGGATGTGAGGGTGGGGCGGTGGCGGGCGGGAGAGTAGAAGTGTCCGGACCTGCTTCCGCTCCTTGCTGCTCACCTTCAGCTGCTCTTTGGTTAGTAGTAGTACCGGATGTTGCAGGCAATGCCGAGGGTGGCATCGTTCCTGCAGGCTGGGGTGTTGAAGACAGCTTCGTGACGCCGCCTCGCTCACGAGGTGTGTACTCTGTTGTCAGCGATGGTCGAGGGGCCGCGGGAGCTGTACAATTGATGTGAACTACGTGAAAGGAGACACTCAAGACTTGATAGATACCTCGAGTTGGAGTAGCTGCTCTTGTTGAGCGATCAGCAGGAGCTCTACCCGTTTGATTCCTACGCCCGTCAGAGTCTTAGCGACCAGTGTTGTACACCTCAAGATACCATAAAGGCTCACCGGAAGTCCAGTGATCGCGCCGTTGGCTCCATGATGATCTCGATGTCCTATTAACGTTGTTAGAGCAATACAAGAGGTTGTGTACAGTCGGCGCACATCCTCGCTCTCTTCTTCTTCTTCCTCTTCCTCCTCACCCTCTCCTTCGTCGTTCTGGTCTTCGCGCTGATTCTCTTGCGCTGTGTCGCCATTCACGGTGACAGAAACGGCCGCCTCCAAGTTGGCTACTAGACCTTGCGATGCAGAGCGGGCTTGCTCCAGGGATATTCTGAGAGTGGCGTGAGGTCAATGTCAATGTCTTACTGAACGCGTGTTCAACTCACGGTTGCGGAACTGAGTATCACAGGGTGACATAAAAGAGTTTCACATTTAGGATGGTAACATATAGAAAGTCATATTGTGCCCATGCTTGGAACATAAATCCGCAGCTCTCACCAGAAGTTGGCACAGGCGGTTTTGTGACCTCAGGCACATCCTGCGAGTCTCCGTAAAGGAAACTATCGTCATCATCATCAATCCTACAGCAATTTGAGTTGCGATTGTTGACAAAAATACGCTCCACTCACATGCTCGCAAAAACCAGAGATTAAAGCTTTGGTCAAGTTGGAAGATCGAGTGGGTCGCGGTCCGGCGCTAACACAGCGCTGCTATACCCCGGTCACGTGCGATACAAACAAAATTCTGGCCAACTGATCGCGGTTGTGAATGTGTGGCCACCAGTTAGTTGTTCGGTACAGCCTGCAGGTCGGCTTGCCTTGTTTACCCCTCGCTCACATATTATCCTGGCTCCCCGTTCATACGTGTGGTTGTCTTCCTGGTTTCTCACATCTGCTCTTGGCAACACGAGGACACTTTAAAAGCTTTGCACGATCCTGCTCCTGCAATACTCTGTTTCATTTGCACTAGCCCGTCGACTTAGGACCATGGGTAAATCGCAGAAAAAACGTCAGATGAGACGTCACAACCCCGTACGGGTCCCCGACTCGCATCTACCAAAAGGCCTGGAGTCTGCGTCCGCGTCGTCCTCGAAGAAGGACGCTGTATTGCCGATCATACAGAAGGTGCGGAGTCCCGCTCCATGTCAACTCATATTGAGTTGACTGTCTCTGCTTCTTCGGTTGCCAGATGGAAAGCATCGACGCTGCGGACAGAAAGTGGGCGTGCGTAGCCGTCTCGAATCTAATTCAAAACGACCCCTCTACTCGGCGATTATTGCAAGGCAAGAATATCGTCGGGGCGCTCATCACGCGGCTCAGCGACAGCGAGGAAGAGGTCGTCATAGAGGCAGCAGGAGCACTACGGTTAGCCCGATACTCACTGATAATTTCGAGCTGTGTCGGCCTTGCTCAATCTCAGCCTGCTAGCAATCTCTGTATAGATGGTGGATTCGATATCTGTGCCGAAATGTACAATAAGAATATCCTGGCACCTCTCAAAACGTTCATCCCGAAGGTAATATACGTATCGCGCAACATGAAGAGGGCCAACTAATCCACCTATTCCCCGCTTCTGCTAGATTTCGGCAACGCTCTCGCAATTCTTGGATTCTCCCAAAACTGCTCCTGAAAATGCTCAACGTCTAGTATACGACTTTGCTGATAATGTCATCACCATCCTGTGGTGTCTATCGTGAGTTTGTCCGACGACGATGCTAAGCAACGGGGCTAAGGAAGACTAGAGAGACATCTAATAAAGCTCTTAATGCAATTAATCAAATACCCTTGGTCCCGTTCTTGATGTCATTCCTGGCGTCTCGAGATAAATTGCCTGTTTCAGCCGTGACATCCGCCGGTACGCTCCTTCTCGCTCCCGATATCGTCATCATGCCGATTGCTCACCGCCTTTCTTTCACAGCGCAATGTCTATATGTACTCACGGATGAAAACCAACCGGTTATCAATGAGGTTCGCTCTAACGCAGCCTATACTGCTTGTCTATCGTCGGTGGTTCAATCGGACACGCCCGCTGCACAAGCGAACGGCAAGTCTAAGGCTGAGATAGACGAGCGAACACTCACCTTTCAAGTGCTGTGCTGCGGTGAGTAGGACATTGTTTCCGGTTGAAGTAAGCTCCTTTAACAGGTTGATGCTCCCAGGAATCATGAGAAATATATCTCCGATCCCGCCTTCATCAATTGCATCTCCCGTTGACGTAGATCGTGATATCGTCATGCCGAAGCTCGAACCTGTGCTGTCCCTCGTGACACTGCCGGAAGTTGCTCACCAAGCCCAAGAGCTAATTACAAAAGAAGTACGAGGATGCTGCTCGACCGCTGCATGTTATCCGCTGACGCCTCGAATGGTCTAGGGTTCCATACCAGAACTAGAGAAATTGTCTTTGAAACACACGCCCAAATCTGATCACAAGACGCCCTCCCAACTCGACCTTGAGCGCTTGGAGACAAGACTACGTACAGTACAGCTGGCGCTGGAAATTCTCACCGGGGCCTGTGCAACGTTGCCCGATCCTGAATTTGAATCATGGACACGCGGTGACGGCGCAGACGCCGACGGCGACGAAGATGACGATGGAGGCAGGTCGTCTATTGGGCTTACTAGAGGGCGTCTCCTTATCGACATGTCATACACAGATGATGAGATAGACGCAGAGGCCGATGTCGACATGGAGATGGACAATGAACCGTCTTCGAAGCAGAATCCGTCATCGAAGCAGAGTACACCTTCCACGCCAGCATTCTTCCATACCCTCGTTTCGCCTCTTCTAGCGCTCGTTCAACCCACTCCGCTCTCGTTTCCTCCTCCGTCTGGCCCTTCGCCTCATCCGCCCACAACGTCAGCGCTGAGTTCAATCCACATCAGTGCGCTTGAGTGCCTCAACAACATCTTCCTGTCGCTGCGGTTGGGTCCCGCAGGAAAATCCACCACAACCCATCTGCATGAAGACAGCGGTAGGCAGATATGGTCGGAATTGTGGCGCGCTCTCGAGACCGTTGGTACGGACGTAGAGAGGCCCGGCCAGGAGCGCCGCCGGGATATGTGGGAGATCGGCGTAGGCGTCCTGTGGGGCGTGGCGAGCCTCTGGAAGGGCGTCCTCATCCCTGAGGAAACGCATGTAAAAGTGCTGATGCAACTATGCGACGCGGCCGCGGACCCGAGTGTGAAGCTGAAGTGCATCGGGACCCTTGAGTGTCTGGCACAGCACCCGGAATCCGTGGAGGCAAACCGAGTGAGTAATCTCGTACATGCTCGCGGGCCCGATGACTGATACATTACGCCCTCCGACCAGGTCATCGCGGACCACTTGCTTTCTCTGCTGCCGCCATCAGCCGCTAGTCCGACACCGACCGAACCACTGCTACAGGCCGTTTCGGCGCTGATTGATATCTATTCGGATGAGACGCTCGCGTATGACCTCAACTTCCGGAACGGCAGATACCTTGACAAGCTCGTGGCGAGTGTGGAAGCCGTACGGAAGGCCGTACGCGGCATCGACAGGAAAAGGGAGCGGGAGCTCAAGATACGGGGCGAGGAAGTTCGCGACAACCTCGTTGCGTTCATTCAGTACCGCCGGGAGTTGGGCCTTTGAAAATTTCTCGTGTCGGTTTTTCGTGTTCCAGCTTTGGATTAGCACGGTGGCAGGCATTACATATGCTGGACTATGTTCACAGCGCTAACTGTAGTATTCCTTACCTGGGGCGTCGTCCGAATTACTCAGTCAGGGGGTTCGCGGTGCGAAGCCCGAGCGATCCAAATTGTACTAGCCAGCTCAGGTAACTTCCTTGTCGTCCGCTGAGGAGGTAAGGCCTGCAATAGTCTCTTGTTGTCCGACGCTACGGGTGAATATGGCCAAGAACTGTCATATTGGGTTGGGCAAGGGACTGGCAAGGGACTGATGGAATCCTCCGCATTTCTGATGTGAAGTTTGCGAGCGCGCGACGGTGCGGGGTCGTCAATCTCGATGTCGAGGCAGCTGTACACCAACTTCTGCGTAGTATCTTACGTATTCCGAGAGAAGCCTTCGCGATGCAACTCATATATCAACGACTGATAATACAAAGATAGGGCACCTCATACGTATCTTGCAATCCGAGATTGCGGAATCCTATACCGCAACGCAAATCCCGATACCACCGCGGGAATGGCGCGACTCGCAGCCATGACAGGATAATCAAAATGAAGCCGATCTCAGCCCGACTCTGCTAGTAATGCCATGCGGAAGAAAGCAGACATATCCTGCCGTCTTCTCAGTTGTGATAGCAGTATCAATTCGAGGAACCTTGCGGCGATAGAGGGGTTGACGATCTTACTGGGCCGAACACGGTTGCGCCAGAGGAGGAAGGTCACCAGGTGTAAACGAACAATCACGTCTCGTCAATCTCATCACAAAACCACTCAGTATGTGGCCTAGTCGGACTATGACCGCTTCTACCCATCTTTGGGTGGTTGGATCCAATATAAGGAAAGGCTGCAGGTCGTATTGACTCCCGCCTTCTTAAAATTCACTAATTCCCGAGAACAGACTGTTTTCGTATCGTTCATGCCTGATATTGCGCGTGAAAGTGAGCTTGTATCACTTGAAAACATATGCGAGATGAGACCTTCTCATATGTATGCAGAAGGCGGTCTTCGCAATATGCAATAGGAGGCCAGACGGTTGGTCGGGTGTACCAGAGTCGCACGTCACACTCACGACCCGCCAATCATATGAGATGTATCACGATTTACCTCGTGGTCAGGCGATACCTCCGATATCATCTGGCTCTTCAGCAAGAATGGAGACTCTGTGAGTCATGAATCAGTGATTTAGATTTGACGCCCGGCTAACGAGGGAGGGCATATCTATTCAAGCTGTCAAATATGACTCTGAGGGCCACTACCGCTCATCAATATACTTTGCATAAACGGATCGTCGACACCATTTTAGTTAGCGCAACGCGCTGCGCATGAGGCGGAATGAATGTCTTCTCCAATTGGCAGCAGATGGTACTTCTGAAGACTGGGTACTTGCGACAGAAAAAAGTTCAGCGCTTGGGATATGGACCACCTACTAAGGTCACACCTTGCAACTTTTGCAGACCTCGGATGTGTTGCGACGCGTCGCAACACGGTCACATGACTGACGCGTTGACATTCCCACGGTTGAATGTCGCGCCCGCGCCCTTTCCGTGCTCGTTCTGCTCGCAACGTTCGCTCATCTCCGACACTGACCTGCTCGAACGAGCAGTCGCAAACTCGACAGTGCACCTTTAGACCCTCACTCGCCTGTGCTCACCACCGTGCAACATCTCATGGCCTCAGAACTCAGTTTACGTCACTTTCCAGAAGTCTCAGAGACGTCGATGATACCCGAGATGTCTGAGGCATCATTCCAGATCCCTCATGCTACAGGAGGCTCGTCAGCCGACCTATTGATGGGGGATGCCAGCATGGATCTCCTCCACGGCGCGGACTACACCTTCGCCAGCCCCGTATCGCCGACGAGGCCGCTTAGAGTGCGCAAGAACTCGACAGACATGCCCGAGAGCACACCCAGGCGCAAAGCAGTAAGATCCACTCCACTTCGAACGTACGCTCTACGTCCGAGGCCTGGACGGACACCAAGCGGGGCGACCCCACTTCGAGCAGTCGTAGGAACGGATATGACTCCTGCCGCCGGAACTTCTTCTATCTTCGGAAGCGAGGAAGCATCGTTTCAGATTCCCGTCGCCGCAAGAGAAGGGCAGAGTATGTTGCTCAACACCATTGGAGAATCGTTCCAGATGGCTTCTGTGACGAGAGGAGACGATCCGCAATTGAATGATGATGGGGAGTCATTCCAAATTCCTATCTCGCCGCGAAAAGGATACAAATTACTACTCAACGGCGAAGGAGAATCATTCCGAATCCCCTTCGCTGGAAATGAGAACGACACGCGGCCGCATTACGATGGCGGCGCCATAGATGCCACATTCGCCACCGCGAACATGCCATCACCAGCAAGCACGATATCGCCTCTGCGCCAGCTGACGTCTAAGCCGACTTCTGCGCCGCTTACACCTGCAGAAGCCATTGCAGCTGATGAGGCGGTGCCCCAACAATCTAGCACTGAAGGGGTTACTAGTCTGCGTGATGCGAACAATTTAGGTCAGTCGCTTTCCATTCAACCCCGCCAGATAGCCTTGGACACTGAAACTGCTATTGATTGACATGATGCAGAGATAGAGTGTACAGTGGAGCAGCCCCCTCGTGTTGAGGGCTCCCAGCCAGCTCCCATTCCCATTCCCACAGGTACAGCCGTCAAACCTTCGGCAGCCTCGGCAGAGCTGTCGGATGCGCTGCCGCGTGTTGACAAGGCAAGACGGAAAAAACCAGTTAGTCCTGTTTTCCTGTCCACACTCTCATACTAATGTTGACATCTTGTCTCGGCAGACGGTCATCGGAGGCGGCATCACAAAAGCCGGAAAGCCACGGGCGCAGGTCTTTACGCTTAAACACGTACTATCGACTGCCAAGACCGGGCAAGCGGGGGGAACTGATCAGCGTCTGCAAATAGAGCCATCTTCCGAGGTTCCTGACAGCAGAGCAGGAGAGTCTAAGAAGAATCCCCAGTCGAATGGAAGTATTCCAAGCGGTAGTGCCCCAGTTCATGGCATCACTGCTGGAGGACTAGCAAGCACTCTGATCTCGTTTGGCCAGAAATATATCAAGAACCTTACAAAGTTAGCTGTCTAACGGTGATCCTAGTATCCACTGCGTTATCTGACTCATTCGATGTTCCCACAGGACGGAATTTTCCGACCGAGTCAGGACACACGCTCCTGTCAAGAAAGATGTATCGGCACGAACGACACCCCATGATACGGACGTAACCCAGGGGCAGCCTTCCGGAAGTTCATCTGCGGAGGCGTATCGCGATGCGGATCGCGATGGGCCGCTTACTCTGTCGCAGCTCTCCAGACCGTCAGACGCCCCAGCACCGACAGAGACCCGACAGCTGCGATCTCGCACATCGGGCGTGGCCAGCGCCAGACCGCCGCCGTCGCCTGTATCACCGCCGCTCAAGCGGCCGCGATCGCCATCAACCTCGGCCGCTTCGCGAGGAGAGAATAAGCGGAGCAGGACAAGCTCCAGCGGGGTCGTCGCCGCAGCCTCGCGTCAGGGCACGAGCGACTCTAGTGCGCATGCGTTGCGCCGGTCGAGGGTGCGGACTGCAGAGGCGCCAGCAGCAGTTGTGTCTGGAGGCTCGCATGTGCGAGAGGCGTCCGCGGATCTGCATGCGAAGAGGGTTCTCAATAGGTCCGGAACTTCGAGTTCGGGCTCTCGATCAGCTATTGAGCAGGAGAAAAAGAAGAGCGCGAGCAGGAGACAGCTGACGCGAACGCGTACTGGACTTGCTAATTCGAGAAGTACGGACAGATCAGAGGACTTGCACGCCTCGCAGAAGGAGAATGCTCCGGGTGGGAAGCAGCACCCGGGCCACGGACACGCGCGCAAAGCTAGTCAGGAGCTACATTTCAATAGGCCGGTGAGTCGGTGTTTGCTTCTACGGTTCTTGTCTTTGTTACAAACGCTCACTTCACCTGCTCGCCGTCACTCTATCACATCAACGTCAATTTTGCTGGTCTCTGGCTGGCCAGGCGCTCCCCGCGGCGAAGGCAACGAAACCGATCGAGTTTCATTTCCACTCTGACGCGCGAATAGAAGCGCGTAAGGCCGAGCTCGGGAACTCGAGCGGCATGCAGACACGATCGCGATCACATGCCCGCTTAGCGATTCCTGACTTTAAGGCGATGCACGCTGCGCAAGAGACGGCCTTGGCAGTGCGGCGCGAGCAGATCGTGCCTGTGCTCCCCGTGGGGCTTGAGCTGCACACTGACGCGCGCGCGCGCGAGCGGGAGAGGTTTGACGAGGCACGGCGGGAGCGGGAGCGCGAAGTCGAGCAGCAGATGGAAGAGGCGAGGAGAGTGCGCGAGCTTGAGGAAGCGAGGGAGATCAGGGAGCTTCGGAAGCGCGCGGTGCCCAAGGCAAATGAGATACCGGAATGGTACGCGAATGCTCCGAAGCGAAAAGGTAAGAGCAGGGCATGATGAATTACGATCGAATAGAAGGGGGTGGCTTCAAGGCGGGAAAGGACCGGTGTCGTGATTTCATTTGTACGTGATTGACAACATTGTAATTTCGAAATAATCGCTGTCAAAGACGGAGTGGAGCAATATGAAGACGACGCGAGACTGCACGCCGACTGACCGTTCGCGAGAACTCCGCGATGGTGTGTGCGTAACCCGGTGATTCGCACTGTGCCTGCGTGCCAGTGTGACCATCATCAGCAGGCCCGTCAACGGCACGGCAGGTGGTCTGATGACGGTCGACCGGAAGAGCAGGGGCTTGCAGCGCCTCTGGACGTGTCTCAGAAACTCGAGCATTACAGAGCTGTGTTTCGCCGAGTCGGGCGGAGCTTTTCCGTGCGTACGATTGTCGACCGCGTCTGTGAGAGCATCTGAAGATAGCTCGCCTCGCGGAGGCCGCATGCACGGAGTAGAGACCGCACACCAATACGGCCGAAGCTGTGCCCGATGGCCACTCCAGGGCGTCTTGGAGGAAGGCGCCATGGATATGCGAAGTATCTGTCCACTGCCTGCACTTCCCTTCACCCGGGGCACTAGATACACGCTGCCGCGATATATGGGCGCTGTCGCCGTAAGTGGGAGAAGGTGGCACCCCCGAGCCCTTCTTACGTCCAACCGCAGCGCGCAGCGCGATCAAGATTAGTATCTTGGCGAAGCAGCCAATCGCCCAGCCGATGCGTGCGCTCGCGCGGTTTGCTTTCGATTGCACGTCCGTGCGAGGGCGGTGCGAACATACCATGATGATGATAACAACCACAACCGCTACTATGGTAGAGCGGGGCGCTAACCCAGGGAGGGCAGGAGGATCCCGACGGGCGGAAATGCATCAGGATCACCCGTCATCTGGGTACATAAACATCACAGAATGGGAATCCAGAAACGGTCCCTGGGCTTATGAAGGCACCACAAGGGGGCTCGTGGGGACGTGATCGCAACATGATCCGAGCATATCAGTTCTGCGAGGGAAGATGACAAGTAGACGCGTAAATACACAGAATACAGAAATTTCATCACACCAGCGGACGTAACGGGGCAACACCCCTGCTCTTCCTGGCTGACATGGACACCCCAGGCCGGTTCGCGAGCCTGCGAGACCAGACCGCGCGAGCGCAAGCCGACCAGAACGGACGTGACGGAGCGCTACGAAGGAGCTGTGCGCGAAGGCGAGGAATATACGTAACGATATCCTGATATCTGGAGACGCGTACGACGCAATGGGGGAAAAAGAGACGCAGAGGGTTTTGCAAGGATGATGCACGTGGAAGCGAGTAAGATTTGTGGGTCCAGCGTTGTCCAGCGCTAGCGCGGTCCAGACTCGTCGACGCTCATACATCTCAAGATGAACAGTCCCGTACATAGAACATAGATCAGCGACGCCGCCGACCATGTGTAAACATGAGGCCACAAGCCAGTAGCGACTCGCGATGGAGATGAAGAGAACCAGCGTGGCGGCGGCGGCGTGCGTCGTTCGATCCCGCGGAGGCGTAACTTCTTGTTGCATCTATGCCAGCGATTAGGTCCAGGCCGGACGAGACTCGAGCACTCGCAAGCTCTTGCGAGGAGAAGTAGCGGGGTTGCAGAAGGGCCGCGCCGAATGAGGCCAATGCGCCCCAGCAGTCAAAGTGCGAATGGCAGCGCGATGGGGCCGGGAAGTCGTCAGCGTGTGTGAGATATCGACGGTGCCACGAGGCGTGCACTGGCGCGTTGGCGATTAAGAGACTTGACGAGGGTCGTCTGGGTAGAGACGGGGAGACTCGAGAGTGTACGAGACTGGCCCTGCGTTGCGGCGCGCTGCTGCTGCCGCTGCGTAACGTATAACTCTCGCGCCCGCCGCGGTCCGATGGCACCTGTTTACCATGACTTCATGCGAGCCCGGCGGACGATCAGCGCAAGACAAGCATGTCGTAACGAGACAAAAGCAGAGCGACGAGCCGGCGCCGCGACATCGCCAATATCGATACGACGCCTGTGCGCACGCACGCGCGGAGTCGGTGTATTGTTCACACGTACACTCTGCAACCGGCATCCTCGTCCTTACGGGAACACGCCGTGGATGTGGCAGTGACGGTGGCGTGCATCGTAAAGTCGAAGAGCTCGCAGCGCCACTGTTCGTGTCCTGCGCCATGGCCACCGCGCTGGCGAACGGACGGCGAACATTAATCGACGCTTCGGAACAGCGGCCCAGCAACGCAACTGGGAAACTGGGAAATGAACCCCCCAGCACCCGCACAGCCGGAGCTACGCCCGCTTCACAATGCAGATGCAGCGACACATGCCGCAGCAGGACGTCTTTTTTCGGAGATCAGGGATATCACTGGGTCTGTGCTGGGGTCGTGTGTGCGCACGGCGGCCAGGACCCAGCAACCGACGCTCCCTCCCTCCCTGGCGCGTCGAGGGCACGCTGACGAGCATCCACGCAACCTTGGCGGGTGGCTCAGTGGCACGCCAGGCGTTGACTCAGCCCAAGACGGTGCACTTGCCTTTTCCGGCTAGCGGCATCGTGACCGGATCTGAAGATGTCCCGTCACGCACTCGTAGTGGTGGCCGGCGTGTCACGCAGGCGTTCTGCATCAAGGATGGAGAGACTTATAAGACAGAGTCCAAGCCTCCCCTCCGCTCAGCCCTCGGGATCCTCGCTCCTCATAAATACCCTCGGGGCCCTCACTTCTTCCCTCCACTCCAAGCCACTCTCATCCACGCTCGCCCCGCGCTTCGGCACCACCATCCCCACCGCTGGGCCCCGCACTCCGCTCGCACCCCGCGTTTCAAACACCGAGCAGCCATGCACACGCACACCCACCCCGCGTCCGCACTGTCGCACCACCGCTCCTCGACGGCACATGCGCCAATACTGTGCGCGTCGTCCACGCCCGTGTGCCACCATCACGAGGAGGCGCAGTCGACGCCGCTGAACTACAACCTGCCCCAGTGCTGCCACTGTGGATGGCGCGGCGACCACGCCCCGACCTGTCCGTTCAAGTGACGCGACGCACGCATGCGTGTGCGCGTCCTTGTTTCCTGCGGCGGTTCTCTACCTCTCATGTGAGTCGCTGAGCTTGCGTTCGTGTCTGTCGGTGGCGCTGACAGTGCGCGTTGCCCTCAGCATACCATATTATTGTTGTCAGCTGTCTCGCCACGCAGGCGTGTTGTCCCATCGTACTTTCCATCCTCACTAGCATCTTGTAACACCACCCACACATCGGGCCCGGTCTATTATCCTATTCCACCACGTGTCGCATCGCGCGCTGTATGAGGTATAATCGCAGGACGAAGGGGGGGAGCGAGGTTATACGCGTGGTTGGTTGTACATACCCCGTCATCAGATGTATCTTGCACATCCAATGTCTACATCTCTTCTCATCCTATCGTCTGCGCGTGAGCCGAACATTGCTTTGCAGGTGGTTCTCTTCGCGAGAGGCACACGCAGGAAGCGATGGGGATAGAAAACTCCGTTCGCCGGCGAGGAGAGAAATTCGACGGGTGGGAAAAAGAGGTTGATGTTATCTTCCAGGCAGCAACGTTATCATGACGTCGACCCACGTGTTTCCCCGCATTTTCGTCACGGTGCCACTCGTGTTCTGTTCCGCCTCTCCCGAAAGGATCCATTTGCACGGAAGACCTCTGCGCCAGCGCAACCATCGATAGCAGCTCCACCAGCATGTGATGCCTCCACGTCGCCATAACAATCGAGAGAAAAGTAAAACATATCATCATGGCGGCGGCACACCGGCACACGGAGCGCGGGTGTTGCGGGTGCGAAACATCCACCGTCCATGTCGGACCGCCCGCCGAGCTCTCCGCGCTTTGTCTTCTCTCGCGGAAACGACGCTCGCCTCTGGTGCAAGAACCTTGACCCACCCCTGCTCAGCTGACCTCCGTGTTTTCTTCTCGAGTGTTCACGTGCGGCGCGTCCACGCATGCACGCCGCTGCAGTGGGTTCGCCCTGCGCTCCTGGGCGCCGGGCCAGGATCGATGACGGCGGTCACGATCTGAATATCAATGGCCTGCCTTGTCTCTGCGCCGCTTAACGCCTCTTTTCCTGATTTCTGCGATAACATGAGCGTATTCCTTCTCTGGCGACGGACGCCAGCCAGCATGGACTGCGCGGAAATTAAAAAAAAGTACACGACGCTCTCTCTCGCACTCGCAGGTACCCTCGCAGTCCCGAGGTCGATTCCGATCTGTGCGCGCCGTGCGGTGCAGCAACAATTGCGTGGTTCCTAATTCGCCCGGCGAGACGGGCGATCATCCGGAACCCGGACGTTGTTGTACCCTCACTCCGACGCATACGCGTCATCTCTCTGCTATTTTTGTCGTGCGTATTGCATGAAACGCGGCGGGGATTCGGAATGGAGGAAGCGAGGAAGGACAAAGAAAGGAGCGTGCGTGCGAGTGGGTTGATTGTGATTGTGATGGCTTCCGCTCGCTCCGCTCTTTCGTTGTGACAGCGGCCTGACAGGCACTGCGCCCTGAGCGCGGGCGGTGCGCGAATTGTCGCTCCGCGCGCTCGCTGGAGCTAGCAAGGCACGCGCCACTCGGCCGGTGCTGCAGGCCGCCATTCGGGGCAACTCGATGGCCTCTTCGGGATCCTACGTGGCACACGTACAACGCCTCTGTGCAGGTTGCGCGGTCCACGGACGCTGCGACGTAGCATCGCGGCAGCATCTCGTCAGGACCTAGACGTGTCAACAAGACTTCTTGATGCCTGCGAACAGAAGCGCGAACAGGCCTGCCTTCTGCTCTTTCGTTACGGGAAAAGACGGCTGCAAGGTCATTACGGAAACGTCGGAAGGCGCGCAGTGCAGGCCAGGTCCACCCACGCAAGACGGCTCTCTTGCTCTCGCCTCTCGCTTGTCAGGGCATACTTTGAAGGATGCGAAAGTGCAGCCACGAGGGCATTTGTGGCCGCTCTTGGTACTCCCAGACTCCAGGCAAGCAACGGACACGTCGACGGGCGTCCCGGTCATCAATTGATCGGATTCCAACTCCTCCAACGCTTCTGATGCTATTCCCAGCTTCCTCCTCAACTCAGAGAGACTCTCAGAAGCAAAAACACACCTATCAATCACCCAGGCTACTCTACCCTCAAAATCCTCTCAAGTTCTAGCTGTATCTAGACCCGCGACCCGCGACCTGCGCTGCGCCTCGCCGCACTCCCTGCTTCCGCAGCCCTACTTCTGGCTCGTTCGCAGCGACAGCGACGTGCCGCTGGCGCACTGTATCCTGATCCGTCGCACCGGGGGCATGAGCCCATGATTCCGCTGGGAACATTTTGGACACATCACGATAACAGTCACAATGTAACTCTAATGTTACTGATGTAAACATCACAGAATGATTTGAATTATTTCGAGTGAGCACATTGTGGAATAATAGTGATATTATTCAGAAAGACACCAGGATGAGACAACAATTTTGCTCTGGCCAGCGTTCATATAATATATTGGTATCATTTTGAATGGATCTTAAGAGTACATTACAAATGTGATCAATGTGATGTTACGATGAGTACCAGAATGCTTTCCATCATGTGCCGGCTGGAATCATCTTGAACGCATCAGGGGTGTCCTAATATGGTTAGCACATTACTATATATAGTAATAACAATTATGCGATCACGATGAATCCATTGGGAACATCTTGAGAACATCATGGCCACTCACAGGTATCATTTGAGATTTTCTCCCAAGAAACATTTAGGATGCTATTGCAATAATGCTTAAATGCTGTCATCTGCAGCATTGGGGTCTCATTCTTGCATCTTTATGAATGCTATCAAAATTGTGCCACAATGTTGATGCTTAAAACATTTTAAAACATTCAAAATGATTTCAAAATGTATGTGCTAAAAACATTGCATAATTATTTGAACTATTATTACAATGTGTCCAAAATGTTTCGGGCAGAATCATGGGCCCATGCCCCCGGTGTCGCGAATCCGCGCGGAAGAACGTTGTGCCGCGCGAGAGCTTCGATCGCCTCTGGCACGTCGGCGCAGCGAATGAATTGAAGAACCCCGGCGCGCATGCGCACCGTACGTGCTCGCGATGCGTCGTGCGTTGCTTCGCTTTGGTAGCTGTCGTTGTCCCGTCGTGCCGGCGCGGCTTCGCCTTTTCTGCTGCTAATGCCATACGCGTTCGGCGACACTCACGGCGATGCTCGCGGTTCGTGGACCTGCCAGTGCACCCACCCGCCCAGCCGCCCGGGACCAAGGACTGCTCAGTTTCAATGCACCCAAGCATGCTCTGTACCTACACTGAATACTCCAAGCAGGATCTACGCTCTGGATCACCCCATCCCTCGTGCACCCGGTCTCTCAAACAACCGACATGCCAGGCGCCTGCGAACGCGTCCTTCCCAGGCCATTCAACACGCTCTCAGCACGGCCAGGCACAGAACGGAACGGAATTGTATGCCAGTTCGATGTGCTTTCCGCTGACGTGGCTGGCGGCTGGTCACGCTAGCGATGATCAATCATCACGCACTCTCTCAGCTCTGGCACACACGGACACTGGTGGGCTTCTCCCGGCGCGCACGGCCGTATCGCCGTATCGCCCGCGGTAACGGTCTCCTCTCCTCTCGCCCACGCCCCCTCAACTCGATATTCAATAGCCAATTCACTTTGCGTTTTGCCATTTCGCCGCCCAATGATCATTGAAGCTTTGAAGCTCCGTGCTGTGTCCGGCGTGTGGCGCTTGTCCGCGCGCTTCGCCGTGCCACCCGATCCTTGGCCCGCAATTGAGTTGATGCTGATCATGATCAAAGCATCATACTTCTGCCTCGACCCTGCGGTTGGGTGGGTCCAATGCGCCTGCGCCGTCCGGATTGGTTTACGAGCATCTGGAAGGCGGGGCGTATAGGCGTATGACTTTTGTGCCTGGTGGCCTGGGCTGGTGAGCGAAGGGAATGCACCGCGCTCGCTTTGTGAAATGATTTGATTGAGCTACTGGAGTATGTGTGCTGCAAGATCCGAGAGATTCGTTACGGTTCTATCGGGAGCATCTGCGTAGCTTGGGCGGGGTGGTCGCCGCGTACACCTGGCATTGTCCACTTACCTTGCTTCTACACCACCACCACTACTACCACCTTCCCCGAAACCAAGCAGATTCCAAGAGGGGGCGAACTTTCGCTGTAAGAGAAGATCAAGCCGCGCTCCAGCGCGCGGACCCGGATCTTGTGCTTAACGGGATCTGCCAACGACGGCGCTTACGTCCCTCGGAGGCTGTTCAGCGTCTGTCAATCCAGTCCCAGTGCACGAACTAGTTGCTTGTGATCTGTAACGTTTCGGGTCATGCGTCCAATGTGGTCGCTTGCATTGCGTTGCGTTCGGTTTCTCGTGCTGTGAGTGAAGCCTTGCTTCGTGGATCAAGGACAGGCTTGTGATGATGCGATCGATGTTGCTCTACTGGTGTCGGCGCTGAGACCTAGGGGGCTCGTGCTCACGGTACCATTGCCAGCCATTACAGCGCTTCATCGCCAATGCGGACCGCTTAGTGGCCTCGCATTTTATCGCGGATACCTTGGGCCCCCACTTTTGCATATCCACTGCTTCAACGTGCGTTGGTCAGCCTGCGCCCTGCGGAGCTAGATGTGGACTAAATTTTCGTGCTGAACTCTGCGCTTTTGGCTTTTGGCTCCGTCTGCTCCGTGTCGGCGATTCGTTCAGCATCTTGGCTCATGCTGGCTCGGAGAACGTTGGCAATACCCATGGATGATCGTGGCGCTTTGCTCGTCTGGCTGGTCGTTGAGCTGACAGGATGCCTGCCCGAAAAGCTCCCTACACAGATTGAGCAAATTCGTTCTTTGTCTCGACGAACGGTCAGGTCTTGCAGCTTGTAGGCTCGCGCCACCGGGAATTACCGTAAGCCTTGGGGTAGTGATGTGCTTGCGCGCTCCTTCTGTTCTTTTACCGTGGCAGATATGGAAGTTCTGAAGTGCACCGCCAACACTCTTCTGTCATTGCTGCTTCGGCTCACGGTTCTTAGCGCGAGGGAACAAGCCACCTGCAGTTCACCCTGATATATGCTTTACTCAATTTTTGTCGACAATATTGTGCGATGGACGTTGACACCTCTCAAGCAACTGTCTGATCAAGAGAACGAGCTGATGCCTCTTGATTTCATTTACGCGTTCCTTTTGGGACCTGACTGCGATGTCAAGACGATTCCTCTCCGAGCCATGCATGCTGTCAAATTCGCGCGTGGTACGGTCAGGTGAATGAGGTCTGTGCAGAACATTCTCGGTGTTGACATTAATCCTCACCTGCCGCGCTGCTGCGTCATTCCCTCGGGAGGTCGGGCGTTTGGCCGAATATGTTGTTCACATGAGCCGAAAGGTTATGTGGTACAAGCTGCGAAGGCTACCATGGAACAAAAGTTGCCGAAGGCCTTGTGTATGAAGCGAGCCGCTTCGAGAAGGAGTATATTTATTTCACGCAATCAGAGCTGATTCTGCGTTCGAGAAGGCTCAATGCGCTCCGTCACGAGTGTTCATTCCTAGGTACACTCGTGCCTGCCCGTCCAAGTCTGCCTTCAAAAAATCTGGAAATGTGAAAGCCGTCATTGCGCCTGCATCGGCTGTTCTACCCGACAAGTGAGAATGACAGGTGAATTCTCCTCCTGTGCAGTGATCGCGTTCAATCACCGATTTGCCCGGAGGCGTTGTGGAGTAAGTTTACAACGCGACGCGGGAGGGTCTGACGGCGTGCTCATCGTCACAGGGCAAGGCAGGCCACATGGACATCGGGGATGGTCGCGTATAGTTCGCCTAGTAGCTCGCTTCGTGGCGCAGGTCAGCTTCCGCGGTGTGCGTTCGACGCTAGACGCAAGCAGCACAGCACCTTCCTTAGCGAGCCGTGACGTGCACTGCCGACGGGTGGTGGATTGGACGGACGTGCGATTAGAAGTATGCACATGTTCAGAGATACTCGATGCCAGGACGGCTCGTGCTCGACGCCAGGCGGTGTCGTTCCTGGGCCTGAGAGGCCCGTGGCGTCAGAACTCAGCGGGAAGCAAAGACCGGCTGAACGCCATTGGTGCGAGTGCTGCTGGCAAAGGCGAGTAGCGTGAACGAATGTGGGAGATGTGCTGAGCCCATTGGACGATAGGGCGTGTGGCCTGACGAATCGCAGGCGTCGACGCTGGGAAGCGACGCCACCGTGCGCCTGATAGAACTTTGTCAGGCTGAATGGTCCACAGGAGAACGTTATAGGTCACACGCAGCGAACGCCTCGCGGTTGTTCTATCTTCATCCAACTGCAGCTGAGGCTCAGAATACAATGCATGAGTGGACTGACGTCACGCGTTTCCGGTCGTGGCACGCACGATCCCCCGGCGGCGGCGTCGTCTCACTTGCAATGTCCGCCTGCATGCAGCTGTATTCGTCTGCGACGATCCCCCCATCAGTTCTCTGCCAACGACACATGCGAGAAGCCCTGCGCGCGCCCCTCTCCGAATACAAAGCTATCGCGCAGATTGCTACTAGCCTTTCCCGCGCACGGACCCGCGCACGCATGCGTGCGCGCTGCTAGACTGCAAGCTATGAGCTTGAACGCTCTTCGGGATCGGCGCGGACTTCTAGGCTGCAATTCACGCACCAAATTGGGAGGATGCGCCCCTCCCGAAGCCACGGAGTGGGGCGCATGGCGTCACGTAGAGCACCGCTCGCCATGCCATGACACGGACGAGCACTGAATGGTCCCACGCACGGGCCAGCAAACCGCTGCTCATCTTCTGAAGAGTCCGCGACGATCCTCGCTCGGCGAGAGCCCTGCTTCCAAATATCGTCCATTTCGTTTGTGTTCGGTGCTTAACACCGCCTTGCTATTGAACCCTGTTGTTGCGAACGCGTCCACCCGGAAGCATTCCCCGGACGGGGCCAGTACCGTTTCTATTGACCCCACCTCTGCATGCATACCGCGTTACGCCATGCACCATTCGTCTTTGGGTTACACTCTGGTGGGTGCCTGACGCACCGCTTTGCATGGCATGAGTCAGCTCGGGGCGGGGCTGCTGCACCACACCATGTACATGTCAGCTGAACCTGGCGGCACATCCGTGAGCCGCTCGCGCCGTCCGCCGGATGCGCGCCATATGTAGGGCACTGCTGGGCACGAGTCTGCCCCAGACACGAGTCAGCGCATGCATCATCAGGACAGAGAATCCTAGGACGTGGCACTTCCCGGCCTATGGTATTTGTAGAAGCTACATGCGCATGCGGCCATGTAAGCGAAGCGTAGCGATCTTCGAAGGGCTGTTATGACCGCAGCGGCGTGACCGGGACGCGCCCGTATTACTTACAAACGTCGCCGGCCACAGAACGCAGTGTGGAGTGGCCAGCGGCGTGCGCTATGGGCGCCTGTGCCCTCCTATCGTCGTCTCGGTCTGCATGGTGCTTCGCGGGCGTTTGCAGCGATGCTATGCCGGGTGCATTTGCCTGTCAAATTCGAGCGCGATAGCTGGACGCCTACACACACGAGGGCCAGGTTATTTGATTGAATTGCTGGTTTTGAGATCCGAAATGAGTCGTTAGCGTCGACGGTTGACTCGCTGCTAAGCTCCGGTCATCTTGTGCACATAGTGCCCAGGCGTGCAAGGTACAGCCCGCCACGCGCAATTTGATTCGTCTGGCCTCACAAACCCCACCCGCAAAAGGGGCCGTCTGGGGTTGGGGTTATTGTGGGGGTTCCCCGCGCGGTGGGCGTCCGCCTTGGCGATCGAGGCTTGCTCTGTGCAGCTGTGTAACGTCCAAACCATAAAAAATTCAGATCATGTTCCTCGAACTAGTGACAGCTCAGACAGGAGCCTCGCCTTCTATCCCTCCGTCGCGCCCGTGCACATTCGATATTCGCCTCCATTTCATTCCGAGGGACGAATCGCATTCAAAGCGCCACGCAGAGGACCCTCAGCAGGCCGCGCCCCTATCGTCCCTTTCGCCCATGCAGCCGCCGGGATATACAAATGTCCTCGATCGCGTGCGTGAGCGCCTTCCAATCCCGTCCCGAGTTTCTCGGTGTATGACGATTGGAAGCTGTGTTTTCTGGACTCCGGCCGAGTGGGGAATAGTAAATGCCTAGTTGAGAATCGAGGAGCGTCTTGGGCCAGGCCAATTTGATCAAGGGTCAGGTTTCGAAGCTGCGTGTAGCGGGACGTTAACCATGTCCCGTATCCCTATCAGTTTCGGCGGCGAACTTGGCGGTGGCGTCAGGGCGGGCTAGACGGCTGTGACGCGTTACTTTCTGTTTGCGAATAGATCAACGTCGGAGATAGAGCAGAATGCGTCGCTGATGCATAATTTATTGTAATTGACACTGTGACAGAGATCTGGGGTGTCGCTGCAGATGGTCCTCCGAGCGTGGTGTCGTCTTCGCGAGATGGTTCCGATCACGTTTTCTTCCGCGGTATTCGTCCTGGATGCTGGGGGTAACGTCAATTGGAGAACGTTAAGTGCCGGCATGGCCAACTTGGTGAAACGTGCAGAGGTACTAGTTGCAGGGTTGGCAAGATCCTGAGAAGCGGGGCTTCGTCGACGCCACGCATACGTAAGGGCATCTCTAAAGTGAGTACTCACCGTAGATCAAGACCCTCGGAGGGCCGGCACGTCCCAAATTAGGACCCTACAGATGCGAGTATGGCATGTCATCAAGACGCTCCTTGGACGTTAGGCTAGGCCGACTCCATGAATCATACAGGACATGACAGAAAATCGCGAGCTATAAGCTTCCTGCCAGCATCTGTTATGATCATGTAAATGGAATATGACTGTAAGAAAGCAACGACCAAGTTAAGGGGCTCGTTCTGAATGGGACAGTTACGAAGATACGCCATTTCCAAGACGGTCGGCGGCAACGTACCTAAGCATAACCAAAGTCTCTGCACAATGCAGACCCCCGAATAAAGATTCTGAAAGAACACTCCACAAAGAAATATTGTCACCTGTCGAATAGTCGCGGCGCGATTTATAGGATGTACCGAAGCGGTGCAGCACTGAAGAGCAGCGAAGAAGACAGCACATGCGAAATAAAACAATTAAAAAAAAAGCAGGCATGCTACATAGATCGATGGTCGTACAAAATGAATACGAAGCGTGGAAAGCGCATCGACGCGGGAAGCGAAGCTCATTCGAACTTCACCGTCCCGTCGATCATATATAAAATGCCGTTTTGCGCCTGTAGTAGTCAAAAGGGATGTAGTTAGCTGTGCGTATCTGCCAGAGCATGCGATGTTCAGAAAACAAGAACACGCACCTCCCTCATCCCAATCAACCGGATGTCGCCGTTCAGGCGCACCCGGGTCCATTCCGGGGCATCTTGATTGCCCTTGTCCGGATCGGCCGCAGAGAATGAGACGTTCGTCCCGGGCAGCATAGTGTCATATGTGTGTGGCGGGGTAAGTAAAATGGGCGATTCCTGGCAAAAGTATAAACACCGGTAGTAAATGAGACGGAGATCGCTACTTATGACGTACGGGAATGATGTGGGCCGACACCCAACGCTCGACGTTCCGCTTCGACAAAGCATCGAACTCTGCCTCGGGCAGGATCACACCTTCCTTCACCGGGGCGGGACCTTGGTGTCTATTAAGTCAGAGCAAACCCGGTTCTAAATACTGTAACATCGGTAAGTATTCAGCCACTCACGGCTTCCTTGCGAGCGCCATCACTGCCTTGTTTGTCGGCACGAGCAACGTCAGCCTCGCGCTCTCATCCGCAAACAATGCGCTCAGCTCCGTCTCGCGCGCATATGAGTAAAAGATCGATGCAGCCGGCTCGATGGTGAGCAGGTCCGCGAGTGAGGGCTGCGCGTGAGTTTGTGGGGTGTAGGTGTCCGCGCCTGATTGTGTGTCGGGGAATGTCATTTGAACTTGATCGTCAAGTGAAGCGCGAGTAAGAAGAGGAAAGAAAAGCGCAGGAAGAATGGAAAGAGAGAGTCGCATCCTGGCGAATCGCACGATATAGAGATCGATGTCTGTTGAATGGTGGAAGGTGGCGGAGCGCCTGGGCGGGAGAACGCTGTGGGCTCCGAATCAGTAGGTTCCCACGCCTCCCCGCCACATCCTGAGGCCACAAGGGCGTGAGGTTGAGCTTGGTCAATGATTTTCCATCTGCAAGAAATCCCGCGAGGCTGCTTGGTCGACTACATGAATCTACCCCGTTTAAAATGTTCCATTGATTTACTTCGACTAAGGAACAACTTCATCTGCACGATGAGCTGAACCAGCAGTTTCAAAAGCCTGTTGGTGCTATAGTGAAGTTGGACTACCACGACAGGAAGCGGGTTAATTGGTGTGCACTGGATTTTTGCATGAAATTCGGAACAATATTTACTAACAAATGCCTATCTCATCTGTTACTGTCGCGCGACATACGACAAAGTCGCGCCTTTCAGGTGATTTCAACTCGGTAATGGTCCACGTCGCTAGGCATAATCCCATGTTCTTGAAAGACAGAGCAACTCAGTTGTGTTCCCGGAAGTTGGCACGAACTGTACGTCCACGATGAGATCTACGCCTAATCTCCAGTATTCAACTCAGGATCTCTTGTTCTCTATGCAACAGATGTTTCCTAAGCGACGCTCTCGACTGAACCATTCAGTCATGTGAAGTGGCAGATGGCATCGAAACCATACCCATATCCACTTCGAATTTGTAGAGACATAGGAACATCCGGACAGCGAACATTCGATTCGCACATCGCGAGTGCAAACGGCTTTAGCTCCATGAAGCTTAACATTGATATCTGACGTTGTACCGGTTCGCAGGTCTTCGGTGTGATGTAGAGGTCAGGCCAGCCGTTAACAGGACTTCTAGGCCTCAGGCTCGTGTATGCGAATTTCTAATTGTCATGGATGCGTCAGTATCTAAAATGCACAGAGAAACCATTAATACTTCTCCGCTCCTCGGAGAGACTTGTTTAGGGCAGATGTCTGCCGCTGAGGCATGCACCTAGACTGCAGAGTCATAAGTGTGTCGCTGGAGTCTACTTAGTAGACTGACAGCTTGTACAAAATCGGCTTCAGCGTTATACGGAAGCATGCTCTTCAGAACGTCAGTCCGAACAATGATTTCCAATTGAAGGCAGCTGAAGCTGGGAAGGCTAAAAATTTCAGAGATCCACGGTAGATATTCTCGCTGAAGATACTGACGCATCCATGACTGCATTTTATGATGACTCTAGCCTTCATCAAAAGTCGCTCGCAGCAACGACAGGTCCGATACGAAATACGCTTGCGTTTCTCGAATTTCGAGACGTCCATGTCCCTGGCCGAGGTCAGGCGATGAACGCACACCGTGAGTACATGTATGCCATGAATGACTCCCACAGTCGCGCTGATGATGCATGCGCCAAAGTGTAGGTACTCGCTTGCTTGAAGAAGCTGCATACGATAAGCATCGGTGAAGAAGTCCGAGCTTCCACGCGTTCGTCTGACCAATTCATGCATACGACAGCTATCGGAAGAGAATCCGCCTGTCATCATCGACTCACGATTCCTTCCCTGTCACCAGCAGATGGCATAATACAAATGATTGCTCTAAGTTAGCAGAAACCGCAGCTCAGCAAGTCTGAACCGCCCCACCTAGGCCAGCAAGTACCGCTCGGATAGCGACGATCCTTGTTCAGTTGACCATGTCGCGTTTTCGCCATCTTGTTCCGTGCCTGACGATCAGGAGGGCAGGGACGCCTGAGGAGCGCTTACCGCCGTTATGGTCGGAGACTACGCGTCGCGTATGGTCATCATCATCGGCCACCGTTGTGGGATCTCGCTCATCCTTCGTTCCTCCCCCCGCCCGTTCCGTCCATCTGTTGCCTGCGGCGATTGTGCGGCCCGATGCAGTCATGCAGCTACTTGATGTAGGTATGCCTCAAGCTTCGAGTACGTCTTCAACTGGATCTTAGGTTTGTTACCTGCAGGCAAACTCATGGCCGGGGTTAGGATCCACTACATCGGCGCCTGGTGGGGAATTGTACGTCCTATCATGCTCTTCTATCATAGTACAGACTGCTGATCCTATTCCAGTGACCTGGGGACACATGCGCGTGTCTGTGGAGGCCTTGCCTCAAGGGCTTACTGTGGAAAAATGCGCTCGGCGTGGTCTTCGTTTTCTATTCAAAGAAGTCATTGTTAGCGAGACGTGAGCGCTGATGATGGCCCTGCATTCGCTCCTCGCTTGGTATGCCCGGGGCCGAGGAACGACTAAAGTATCTTCGCTGCATTGCTTTCAATTGCAGGATCAGCGCGTGTCGGATCGGGCGATGTAAGCTTGTTGCCTAACGCTCCGGTCATAGCGGGTCGTCGCAAACGCTGACAGCAACATGACATGCGATCGACGCTATCTCCTGCCGTAAGGCGCGATGCTGTCTTCGGAACGCCTTCTCCCGCTCCAAGGCAAAGCGTGTTTGTGGCCTTTGATAACTGGGAGGGTGCGTTCTCCCGTTGTCATCTTGGCATCAGTCGAAATCCACTGATGCCGTGAAGTGCAAACTGTGTTGGCGGCGAGGAACCTTTCATGCAAGAGGTTATGTGTTACAAGCATCACGCCATGGGGTATCTTACTGTATCATCCAATCGGGAAGGCCGATCTGTCCGGACAGAGACAGCCGATAGCTTTGGCGTTACGGTCTGTCCGGACAATACCAAGTACAAATGCTTTCCTCACGCTTTGTCGACGTGTCTTCCCGGAGTCATAATTGCTCGCCGCGACCAGAATTATCCAGATGACAAACTAATATTGGAAGCATTAATCCATCTATCAATCAGGCTGCCGCTTGGGGTTTCGGTTATGATGCTCTAATATGGTGGTTCTAGAATATGCTCTCATCTTGGAAGCCAGTGATTGAGTTTCAATGAAAGGCTCATGCAAATGCCAAGATCTATGTGATCAGAGGAATTTGCATTACTTTTTGAGAAAGATGAGCGAATGTTCTTGAAATTAGAGAACATAAACCTCATTTCTCTCGAACATCTCGATGAACTGCTGCCAAATTCTCCGGAAACTTCAAGTTACCGTTCCAGTGCTTATCGTTCACCAAGGTATGAGCTCCACTTCACTGGCTCGCGTCTATCTCTTCTCTAACGATGATAGGATACATGGCGGTCGTTCATATTGGCGCAATGCATTCCGTAGTCATGTGGACTCTATACGTTCAATGAGGGCAGCCAACTCTACATTTATCAGATAAAACATTGATCTTCTCCTGACCGTTCAAGCGATCGCGGAGATCATTACGCTCTTCATGAAAACGGGCTGCCATGCAGTGGGTTAGTCTCCTGACACTTGATCTCATCTTTCGGTGCTTCATGAAGGAACTTCTCATGTAGCCGACATAAATATGACAAGATAAACGCCCCGTATTCGCGGTCGGTCCGATTATCGGCTGTCATGGGAGCATCTGTTACCCATGCAAGGGCCCGCAAACCATTCTTGCAGATCTAGAGAAACCCCTACTACTCATCTGTAAAGAGTCCATCCAACGAACGACGAACAGTATGGATGCTTGGCCTGCTCCAGGTTTATTCGTAGAGCTTAGCATAATCTTCACAGATGACACCACCGCGGACGCTCATTGAGTTCTTACAGAGGGAAAAAAATAGAGCGGACAGCGTCTATACGATATACGAGAGGACCTCAAGGCTATCTTTGCGGGCAACTCACGGTGAGAACGAGTCTCAAGCCTGTCTTTCTGATATGGGACGGTTTGTTCTTATGCTTGTGAACGATGCAATATCACCTTGAATACTACACCTGCCATTCTTGTCTGTCGATCGAGGACGAGAAACGCGCCTAAATCTTTCGGCCTTGATGCGCCGCGAGAGTGTAACTGCCGCCACCGCACCTGATGCGACGAATGGCCATGTACCGGCCAAGGGTTTACCCAGAGAGATGAATTCTAGCCAAAAGTCGGATGTATCTTATTATTGGGGAGCCCCGAAGGTCGTGCGATGTTGTGAGACTTCTCGTGTTCCGCGTTCCCACCTCGCAGTGTGGCGGCTATCCAGGCATCGCGACCACGACTGTTCTTCTCACCCTCGCACGCTGACCATTACCTGCTGCTCGCTGCTGGCATCGGAGACCATGGACAGCACCATGTTGTGCGCTCTGATAGGCGCGATTTGCACATATGTTTTTGTCTCGTGGTGGAAGGATCCCGTATGTATTCATGAATTTGGCACAAGACGCTCATGAAACGTGTGTCTCACAGCTCCGTGCCATACCGACGATAGGCCCCTCGCTGCCGATATTGTCGTACTTGGGCGCAATCAAGTTCACGCTCGATGCTCAGAACGTCATGCAGGAGGGTTACGAGAAGGTATGCTACCTCCGATTCTGCCAATCAAGAATATTCTGGAATTGTCGATCAGTACAAAGTGTTCAAGGTAGCGATGATAGACCGCTGGGCCGTGGTGGTCAGCGGCGCGAAAATGAACGAGGAGCTGCGCAAGATTCCGGACGAGCAGATGAGTTTCATGGATGCAGCAGACGATGTGAGTTTTCATGAAAGGGCCGTAGTCATGCACTCACCACGAGGTTATAGTTGATACAAACAAAGTACACCATTGCACCGGACGTACTTGTCCACCCGATCCATATTACGGCTATTAAAGAGCGGCTCACGCGGAACTTGGCACCATTGTTCCCCGGAATTGTGGAGGAAGTGGAAGTCGCCCTGAACGATAAGGTTTCTGTGAGGGGCGATGGTAGGTTGATGTTGATTAAGTCATTGCATTGATTCGAAAGAGCTCATTCGCTTGTAGAATGGGTTTCCGTCCCCGCCTATTCAACCGTAGCGCACATCGTATCGCGCGCGAGCAGCCGTGTATTCGTCGGGCTTCCTCTGTGTACGCCACTTGCCGCCGCTTGTCCGGCATTCATCAAATGCCTGATATCTTACCACTTTTAAAGGTCGCAATGACACATACCTGGGCATTGCATGCAACTATTCAAATGATGTTTTGAAAGGATGCATGGTGCTCACGTTCTTCCCCCACTTCATGAAGCCGTAAGTGCCCCTTATACCAAGACGATCAGACCTTCACAATACTGATTACCACCGCTGGCTGGGACAGTCTTGTCGGCCGCATGTTACCATGGTCTCGACGAGCATTCCACAAGACAAAGCCGTTCTTGGACCCGATCCTTGACGAACGTCTGAAGCAGCTCGATAAATACGGTGATGACTGGCCTGAAAAGCCGGTGCGTTAATGCGATTCATTGCACTACGTTCAGATCATAACATCTCACCACCACAGAACGACCTGCTCCAGTGGACAATCGAGGAGGCTAAGCGCTCCGGACTCGGACAGCCGAGAAATTTGTTCGTACAAGCCATGCTAGCGGCCAACTTCACCGCCATCCACACATCGACTATCGTACGTCTGCAGATCTGAGCTCCGAGTCGAGAACAGCATATTGACTCTTTTACCTTTCGGAAGACCTTCACGCATGCATTGTATCATCTTGCAGCAAACCCTGAGTACATCCAGCCTCTGCGCGAAGAGCTCGAAAGCGTGATTAGAGAAGACGGATGGACGAAGATCTCCATGGGCAGAATGTGGAAGCTGGACAGCTTCCTTAAGGAGTCGCAGCGCGTCAACGGAGTCAGTACCAGTAAGTGAGATGTTCATCAGTATGTTTGGTCACAGCGACGCTGAACATACCACTTCCAGTTTCGGTCATGCGTAAGGCCTTGCAGGACGTGACGTTCTCCGATGGTACCTTCATCCCGGCTGGGACCTTCGTTACCGCTGCGGCGACGTCGACGCACTATGATGAGGAGAATTACGATGAACCGAACGTCTTCAAGCCATTCCGCTTCTCGGACATGAGGCTGACGGATAGCGAGAAGAACAAGCACCACTATGTCAGCACATCCTCGGACTACATTGGGTTCGGGCACGGCAAGCATGCATGGTGAATAGCCATCCTCTACATACTCGTTATTACCAGGTATGCTCACGAAGGCATACACGACCGACAGCCCTGGACGCTTCTTTGCAGCCAATGAGCTCAAAATCATGCTTGCGTCCATCGTCCTGAATTACGACGTGAAGTTTGAGAATGAGGGAAAGCGTCCGAACAACTTCATGCTTGCGACGACTGTCCTGCCTGATCCCAATGCGAAGGTTATGTTCAGGAAGCGCAAAGTCGCGAGCGCGTGAGCGCGCGAAGAATTTGCTGTTACTAGACACTGGACATGTTGGCTGCTGTTGTACAATGTAGGAAGTCGAATCTCTGTTTTTGGAACATCGTCAAAAATGCTTCACGTTTGCCGAGCACCTTTTACTGTATACAATTGATCATTTCATTGCGATTTCTGGGTGCAGTCGGCAATCAATTTGTCAACGTTGCGACAGCAGCACCCATTCCAGGAAGAACCGCAGCAATATTGATACAGGCGCAAACGTAAGATGGACCCTCATCAATTGACCGAGTTGAGAAAACGATGAGCCTGACGGGAAGATATCACTGCTTCCGTCCTCGTCAAGTACATAAACACCACGAAAATCTGTGATGATAGTACTCAAACAACGGAATAGTTTTCGACATGCACCGTCGCATCCTCCGAGAACACGACCTCCTCACCGCCTTCCGCTCGTGTGACGCCCGCGACGCGCACGCCTGCGATGCTGCCCTCGCTCACGAATGCGACACGTACAGGGAAGAACGCGCCCGGATCGTCGCCGTTGATCGTGAACTCGAGCGAGCCTGAGCGCTCCTCCGCGTTCACGAGCGGGATCGACCAATCGAGCGAGTGGCTCGACGGGTTGAGTGCCCAGTCACCTGTGTGCGAGGATACGGTAGGGTATGAGCCGTCTCTGCGCAAGCGTCAGCGGCGAGGAAGCAGGAACAGGTGGGCGAACACGCACGGTAACGGAATGGAGATGACCACGTCGTGCAGTGCAAGGCCTTCGTTCTCGAGCTCATACTCGATATTTACCTCGCACGTCCCATCATTCGAAGGCGTCGGCCAGCAGTTGACTTGCGCACACGTTTATTATCAGCGCGCCTCCTCCTACACAGAACTTCAGATACTCACTGGACAGCGGGACATATGTCTCGTCCTTCCCCTTATACCGCCACTTGAGCACCGAGAGGGGCTGGCCGACGGGGAAACTTCGCGCGGGATCCTTGAGTGCGACGACACGCTCGCGATTCGCGACAAACTTGGCGACGTTCGGATGTTGCTTGAACTGTAGTTCGGGGCCAAAGTTTGTGGACGGAGGAGCGAGCGCGAGCCGCACGCGTGCGAGGGCGGGATCGCTGATATGCAAGTTCATGTCGCCCTTTAGCTCGAGGTCGTTCAGCCCGCCGTCGCGCGACATCTCGGCGTTGATTGTCTCCCGCACGACGACGTGAACGCTACGGGATGCTCAATACTGGAGGCGTCATATTAAGGCATGGAGGTCCGCACCTTTCTGGTGTGACGACAGGCAGACTACCTCGTTCATCCTTCGGCGGCGCCTGAAGCTCTGGCGTGCTTGCAACGTTCGGCGTGCTGGGCGTTGACATATCCTCTGAGAGTAAAGCTTCTGTCCCGAGAGCGTCGAGTAGCTCCGCCTGTCGCGTCTTCTTGCCCCCGAGCTTCATGCCGCTGCCCTTGAACGCAGGCGCGCGGAGGGACGATGGCGCTGGAGAGGACGTGCGGGCACTTGTAACGGGCGCCGTGTCGTAGCGTTGTGGTACCGGTGCGTAGCCCGTGATGCCTCCACCGAGGTAGCTCCCCGCTCCAGGACCAGCGGACGCAGCGCGTCGTTGTTGTTCCCGGCGCTGCATCTCGAGCTGCTTCGCGCGCCGCTTGAGCTCCTCCTTCGCCTCTGCTTCTTTGTTCTGTGTCCATGGTACGTGTGTGTAGGCGAGACGGACGAACAAGGCTGGTGCGACTCACCCGCGCGATGATATCCTGGATTCTCTCCTCGTGACTCTCCATCTCGAGAATGTTGCGCACCTGGACGAGGTTGACCTGCTCGCGGTAGCCGAGGCTGACGATCTCGTCGAACGCCCCGAGGAGCTCGAACGCGTTCTTGAGGATCTCGCGCTGCTCGGCGCTGCGGCACATGTCCGAGACGACGCGAGCGAATAGGTGAAGCGTGTCGATGTCCTGGAGGATATTGGACGCCTTGTTGGTGATGAGGAGGATGTAGAGGTCCTCGAGCGGCTGGTAGACATAGCGAGCGTCCTCGGTCTCGACAGATGTGTGTTGGGTGCCGGTAGGGATGAGCTTGGGGAAGGAGGCGAGGAGCGAGTCAATGCGCTCTCGCGTCATGTCGCGGAATTGCCGCGAAATGACGGCTGCAGCATCAGTTAGCTAGAGGATGGAAATGGTGCGCGTACACGTACGCTTCCCTCCTTTCGTGCATATCGAAGCAGCAAGAACAACCTGTATTCCGCTTGTGAGACTTCAACCTGCACGGATCTGGGTGAGACGCACCATTGCTTACTCTCTTCCCTGTGAGCACGAACAGTTGTTCAAGACCCCCCTGAAGCGTTCTGCAAGTCGCTCGGCTTGTTAAAATCCAGAGACGTGGCCGCACGGAACGACACGTCTGTATGAGAAGAGGCGCCCATTGTCTGTGCTCCTAGACGCCGGCGACCTCCATCGTTTGTGCGATTGCCACGACACTCTTCGTAATGACCACTGACTGTATCACTGTCTACTCCTGACTGGCTCGCTTAGCCTTGTTTGCTGACATCGTCGGGGCCAGGCGTCCGATGTCACTGTTGGCGCTCCATCCATCGCCTAGAACCTCTTGCAGCGCTGTGGGTCCCAAGACCCGCTCAGCGGATACCGCCAACCGATGGGTTACAAAGGGCCGACGAATCACTTGCTACAGACTATTCGTTGATTTGTGCACCCGCACCGCTCTCGAGCAATAGCTATGAACGCTATGCTGTGGTCATACCCCTCCTCCGAGTGAGTCGCTGGCCGCAGATATATAAGCGGGACGACGTGCACTGAGCTCATATCCATGTCTCGAATTCTAGGTTACATATATCAGCGCAACAGGCGTTTCGTGTTTTCGTACCGTTGGACGAGGACCGCATACCGCTAACATGGAGGCTGATACCTCATTCCCTGGTGTACTTCGTACCCTTCCTCTGGATGGCTTATCTCGTTCGTAGAGCGCATACCTACACCATCCGCCTGTTCCTCCTGCCAATCGTCATCTCAACAACTATCTATTGCACTTACCGATACAAGGTGCCTGATCCATATTACACCACCGGCGACTGGGGTCGGAGTGAGTGCTGTGATGGGTTGCCCTGTATGCTGTATTTTCCCTGCTGACTCCAGGTGATTTATAGCATATATGGCCTTGGTCATCATAGCGAAGGCCCTAGACTTCGGCTTCGTGAAAGATGGCAGGTTTAAGGTCGGAGAGGAGAGGCTGCCAGAGGTGTTTGAGTCATCCAAGCCGCCTTCGAGTACGCCTACGAGCGAGGATGGAAGCTATTCTCTAATACCGCAAGGAATCCGAGATGCCTTCGAGGTAGCCTTCACAATGCGCGGAATCGGCTGGGACTTCGGAGTAGGTCTTTACGTCCCCCCAGATCCCCGCCCACAGGAGCGCGGCCCCTTCCTCAAAGCCACCGCGAGCAGCCTCCTCTGGCACTATCTCATCGTCGACATCTGCAACTCGCTCCTCAAGCTCACCCCGGGCGTCGGCTCTCCGTCGGGCGGGTCGATGTTCTACACCTCCCTCCCAATCCCCCTCCGCTACGTCGTCTCCACTGGCATCCACATTGTCTGCGGGACGCTGCTCATGTGCGGCATGGACGCCGTGAACGAGCTGCTTACGCTCATCTTCGTCGCGCTGTTCAGCCAGTCTCCCGCCGCGTGGCCGCCGATTTCGCACGCCCCCTGGTGCTCGACGTCCCTGCATGAGCTGTGGGGGCACCGCTGGCACCAGGCGCTCAGGTATGTGTTCTTCGTGTTTGGCGGGTACGCCGGGCGGTGGCTTGCCGGCGGCGTGGGCATGGTGTTCGGCACGTTCCTCGCGTCCGGTTTGTACCATGAGATTGGGATGCGCATGGTCGATGGGCGTGTCACTTTTTGGTTCCTCCTCCAAGCAGTGGGGACGTTGATCGAGACGATGTATACAAGACGTACGGGCAAGCGGGTCGATGGCGTGGTCGGCTGGCTGTGGATGGCGTTCTTCATTTTTGGCTTGGGCCAGATATGCAGTATGTGTTTTGGCTGATCATCAGAGTGTTCGTTTACTGAGGATGGTGTCATCCAGCTAATTCATGGTGCATGCGAGGACTCATGGGGGGCTTTATCGTACCACAACACCTCAGCATCACCAGGCAGGTGGTGTTCCCACTGCTGAAGCCTATATTGGCATAGACATGGATCGTATTTTCACTAAATATCTATCTCTGCATCATACTAGCCAGTTATTGCACCCGATACCAAGGTGACCCCAGCTTGAACTAATATTGTTTCTATCGTTATGTAGCGCTACTCAACGGTACTATCTAGACAATATTTCTCATGTTATGCTGCATATACTAGCGTCGTAATGATCGTAATGACGTCTCTTTAAGAATCAAACCTATGATCATTGTGCTTGACAGTATGCCTGATGCGACATTGCAAGAAGCCACTTATGGCAATGCAGAGAGGGTGTAGCTCTGAATGGCAGGGAACAGCATGCGCCTCACGAGACTGAGCTGCGGCGGCACAATGATCGCTCCAGCCAACCCGCTTCTCGCCCACGCATCCACTACCAGCATCATATCAGAAAAGCCTCCCGACGAAAAAAAAAGAACTCGAGACGCACCGCACATCTGTCCGACACCTATTACCCAAAATGCCGTCCATAACCAACCCACAAAACCGCCCATCTTCCGCCCGGTCCATCTCTCCCAGACCTCCTCAAGCAAAATACCGACCCCATTCAATACGAAGAACAGCGTGACGCGGGGCTCCGCGATCCCCAGGCTGAGCTCGTGGTACACCCCGCTCGCGAGGAACGTGCCCAGCACGGCGCCCGGCCGGCCGAAGAGCCAGCCCCCAGGGTACCCACCGATGATGAGAAAGGTGTGACGCAGCAGCTGGTGCCAGCGTCTTCCCCAGAGGTCCCGGAGCGACGTCGCCCACCACGGGCTGTCATACAGCGGCGGCCACGCCGCAGGCTCAGACTCGAATAGTCCAACAGCGAACAACGAGATGAGGTCGTTCCCGCTCTCCAAGCTGCAGATGATCAGCGTCCCAGCGAGGAGCTGGATCGCGGTGGAGACAGCGTAGCGCTGCGCGGGCGGCAGATGCTGGAGGAAGATCGTACCGCCTTCGGGGGTTCCAACGCCGGGGACGAGCTTGAGAAGTGCGTCGCACAGGTCGAAGATGAGGAAATGCTTCAGGAAGGAGAGCGCTGTTTGGATGAGGAACGCGCCGCGTGCGGACGAACGGGTGCTCGGCGGCACGTACACGCCGCGTCCGAAGTCCCATCCGATTCCGCGCACGGACAGGAAGAGCTCGAGCGCGTCGCACAGCCATGTTGGGAGGAGCTGACGATTTGTGTAGGCCTGCTTATCTGCCCTTAGAGGAGGTTCGTGAACCCTCCGTAGCTGCTTCTCCTCGACCTTGAGCCATCTCTGCTTAGGCGCGAATGCGAAGTAGAGCGACTTCGCGATGATGTAGTACGCTATGAGGGCTGCATTTTCTTTCACTATGGATGCACGTTTATTAAGAACGAGATGAACACGCACTGCGGAAGAACTCCAGGGCGAGGAAGCGTGAGTCCTCGATCTTGAATCTGTAGGTGCAAATGACGGTGCACATGAGCGAGAGCGGTAGAATGAGCAGGCAGATCATGCGGGTATCGTGTCTGCGTGCATAAAAGGCGAGAGCAAGCGAAGGGACAAAGAAAAATAAGGCAATGGGCGCGGTTTTCCAAGTTAGCACATCGCGATGCTCGTATGGTGTTACAAGTTCTCTGTAGGTACGGTACACTCCCCTGAGTAATCTACATCGACAATTTTTAGTGGTCAATGCATCTCATGGTACAGTGAAGCCATTGCGACGTACACATCATACAAGGTCGAAAGCCCCGACAGAGTGAGCATTATCTGTGGACTACAGTGGTCACTGCAAATTTGTGAGCAACACTGAGCAGAGAAAGAGTTTAACCACCTTGCGTGACGAGTGCCGGAAGTAGAGCACTGCCGCGCCAGCACGGCTTCAGCGGCACACAATGAACGAATAAATGAGGAGTCTTTCCAAGTCGAGTTGATGCATTGCTGATGGCTGTTGGAGACGCGACCCAATGTGGCGCGCTCATTCCCCTGAAAACGCGGTCAGCTGACTGGGGGCCGGTCTACTAGCTTCAAGGTTGTTGGCTGCCTGCTGAACAAATCTACAAGCTTGAGGCAGTTAGCATTTCCTGCACAAAGCGTCTCGGTACTATCAGGCTGGCTGGCGGGGCAGAAGTTAGCCGCGCCGCGTCTCCCGATACACGCTCGTCTCTCAAACTTTCATGAACATGAAGACCTCTAAGAACGACCGAACTCAAGTCTGCCAGCTCGAGCTCAACTGAGTATTCAAGACTTGCGGACAAAATAGCCGGTCTCTGCTCGAAAATATAGCAGAGCATATTGACCGCGCGCGGTGCTTCGACTCTTCGTCAGATCACTGCTCGCTTCGTCTTCTCCTAATGCATCTTCATCCTCGACCTTGGTGTCGCGTGATGCAGCGAGCTACCTCGCAGAACTCACCTCTCTTCCTCTCGCTGAATTGCAAGCTCAGCCGACCGAAATTATCATCATCATCGGCACAGCTCACGAACGCCCTTACCACGCTCTGCTACACGTCATATCCGACCTTTCTATCGATTCATGCAACGATCTCCACGCTAACGTCCTCCCTGTCATCGCTATCCTCGTCCTTGGATGCTCTCATCTCGTCTCTTCCAGCCCTCGAAAACTCTGCGCGTTCTTTCGCCGAAGACACGCGCGAAATCCAAAAGGAGCGACGCAAGGCCGCATTCGTCCTCGAGCACCATGACAAGCTCTACGACGTGCTGTCCCTTCCCCTCCTGCTCGATTCCTGTGTTCGGAACCACAGCTATACCGATGTCCTCCTCGCAAACCACTCCAATTCCCTCTCCCAGCGCTTTCCCTCCAACCCGCTCGTGCAGTCCGTCAAGGCCGAATGCGACGCGCGTGTGCAGGCGATGCTCGGCCAGCTTCTGCGCATGCTCATCGAGCAGGCCAAGCTCCCCGGGCTCTTCCGCGCGGCTGGCTTCCTCCGCAAGATGGACGTGCTCACAGAGCCTGAGCTCGCGCTCGCGTTCCTCACTGGACGCGGCACGTACCTTGAAAGCCTCTTCAAGACTGTTGAGATCGAGAAGAAGGCGATTTAAGGTGACAGGGAGCGCGAGATGGAGGTATATCGGAGGTACCTAAGAAGTACGTGGACCTGTGGCGAGAGGGCGTGTACGATGTCATAACACAGTACACAACCATCTTCCTGGAACGAGCGCCTCAATGCCGCCAGACGTCCAGCCACAATTGCGCATGCTCTTGACGACGTTTCCGACGCTTCGGCTGCAGAACTTGCTGTCTCTGCTCAGAGAGACGCTTCCGCATCTCTCTGATCCGTCACTGCTCGCGCCGAAAGGAATTTGAGGAGGCCACCAAAGGCTGGTCTGAGAGGTTGAAGTCCTGCACAGAGAGCGGTACGAATGGTCTAAAGCCAACTTAACACCGTATGCTGCCAGGCCTTCTCAGTTTCTCGCACCCCTGACCTCAGTTGCCTCTCCCCCGCTTCCCACGAAGGCGCAATTAAATTCGATCACGTCTGGCCCACCAAATGTTCCTCCGCCCATACTTGTCTCATATCCTCCTTTATCATCCTACACAAATGCATTCCTTACAGCGCTCAACGGTCTCCGTATGCTCGCTCCAGTAGAACTGCTTGACAACCTTTTTGGACGCTAGAGCGCTCCCTCACGGACGGGCTCACAAAGTTGCTTGCGTTTGCACGAGAGAAGCTGTTGGCGGCAGAACAACATCCAAAGGACGGTGAGGAAGAGGAACAGAAGGATTTGGAAGTGGTGAGGGCAGCGGGAACGGTCTATGGGGAGGTGTTCGTGCCGTTCTTGAGGCGGGCTCTGGTGGAGGGTGTGTATGGTGTTGTGATGAAAGACAAAGAGATTCCGATGGGAAAGGAGCTGCGGGATACCTTGGAAGAATTGAAAGAGTGGGTTGGTGAGAAGGAGAAGGAAGGTGTGGAAGGGACAGATGGAGTGAATGGCAATGACGACGGCATATCATAAAGCTCGTCTGTCTTTACTGGCGCGTGCTCGATGTCATTCAACTCCAAATTGTGAGTCTCGGCTGCATATATGCGCCGTTTACTCATGCTAAAAGAAAATTCAGTGTAGTTTGCGAAGCGATCGCTGCCTAGCAAGGCTCCGCCTTTGAACCTCAATGCATTATCTGAGGCGCTATTACTGAAATTCGCTGCCCTTTTGATGGCCTAGCTAAGCTCAATGCCGATCTCGCTCAGGAAGGAGCCTTGCAGGGTCGTACTCGCTGGAGCTGTGATGGTTCAATGATCGTATGGCTGAATCGGCAGCTCTGCAGTTGTCGATAGGCGTACGATTCTGCGTTGTGCTCGCAATTCCCATTTGCGGTGCCCTTGCAGATCGTCCGAGTCGCTGTTTCAGGGTCAGGAGGGCGTATGGCGGGTATGCCAGGCTAGTCGACGTCAGGAGCGACTGCAGAGACGTTGGCGTCTATCAGATGCAAGACATGCGTTTATGTGGTTCGGAAGTAATGCGGTGCATCATCGAAGGCAGAATATAGCTGAAGGCGTAATAGGACGACCTGGACTAGTTTACCGTCGACGGCGGTGCAGTCACGTCAGATTGTACCCGTCTGTCCAGCTGTAGCGAGCAAAGGTCAAAGTGAAGGGGTCAATTCTAGGACAACTTTACACCGCCCTTGGCTTCAAATCTTCAAGCGTCAAAGCTTCATGAATCATGTTAGTCACAGGCCTTTATACAGCCTCCAGCCTGATCAAGTTTGCGGAAGCAAAAACGAGCGACAACTCCCGACGGCCAGGTTTACGACTCCGCGAAGTGTCGAGAGCTATGAAATCTAAACACCACAGCGAACATTACACAGTTCATTCAACCAATCACCACGATTTCGTACAACACGCGCACACGATCTTTGCTATCCCTAGTGTAGACGTCAAGAAGTCGATACTCAAGATCTGAAGTACGACTAAACAAACAACGATCCTGTAAAGTACAGTTGTAGAGGACCCACGCGGAGGCGCTGAATACAAGTAAGAATGCCACGGTCTTCTCGAAGCCGTATTCGACGACAACTGATACAAGCATTTGAAGGGCAAGGACACACACTGACACGATCCATCGAGGAATTCGGACACATATTCGCCCACCGCTTGCTGCTGCAATGTAGTGCCTGTCATTTTGTTAGCCTACCTGCGCATGCAGAGAGAAAAATGGCTACCATAGTTCGTGGCGCCAGTAGACAAGTTGCTCGAGTGCACGAGCGGCTCTCGCTCTCGCTGGAATGGAGATTCAGCATAATCAGTCACAGGCGAACTCGCGCTCGGCGTTGTGTAGGCTTGAGAATGCGGCATCAGCATGATTCCTGCATCAGACATATTCAACTAAAGATCACTCACCAGGCAACGGCGTAGTCGGAGGCGAAGGGAACCATTGCACTCCATCCTGCGGGGAATCTGTTGGCTGTATGACTACTGAGACTCCAGCATGCTGCGTCGCAACAGAGATGCTCGAGGATACAGCTGAGTCAGTCACATGAGCGACCAATTACACTGTACGCCGATATCGCTCCCTCGATGTTCCATGATATTCGTCAGCGGGAGCTGGCGGTCATGAAAACATACGATGGTTCTCAAAGCAGGACCATCATGCCTCGCCATCTTCGACTCAACCTCGCGCAATGCCCTGTCCACTGGCTCATTATCGCTGTTCGACCCATCATCATGTCCACTGGCAGGTTCCAGTCCGCAGCAAATAAGGGACCGATAGCATCGCATCGCGGGAGCACTGAAAGGGCCTGCGCCGTCTTGGTGAACTCTAACCTTCGCGACGACCTGTGAGGAGTCGTGATTGATATATTTCATTGACACGTAGACGATGGCATCCCTGTGGTGTGTCTCACCAGTGATCCGCTGCACGGCATCGTTACGATAAGAGAATGATCATTCGGACAGCGGCTGCCGTCAATACACAGCCCGTCCCTATTGTTCCTACAAAGTTCGATACATGTCCCCCTGTCAATTCAATGTCATCAGTGCCGTTGCATATAATGTTCAAAGCCGGAGATTAAAGATATACCCTTCTGGCCATCCGCGGAGAGTTAGTCATACCGGGGGCAGCCACCTTGTCCTCAAGATTCCTGATGGCGACATTGATAGGAAGTCCTCGACCGCGATCGTACGACTGTCGGCGGCTTCATGACCGCCGTTGGTGCGCTCTGTGAGCACGAGCCGCCGACCACTGGAATTGCGCGCGGGGACATCAAAGGCGTCCCTTCCAGCGATGTATTCTAGCACAAGCTCGCGGCTGACTGGGGATGGATTCGCGACATCCACAAGAGCTTTCAATTGTGCGATATCCGTGATTGTGTGACTACACCCGCGATTCGCAGGGCTTCCGGTGGGCGTGCGTTGCTGTAGTGTCACCACATCTGCCGTATTATGCAATGTGTAGGCAGATCGTGAGAGTCGCGGCTCTTAGTGTACGGGAGACGTATTGCGCAGGCTGATTGCGAAGAGCGCACTTTGAGTCAGAGTTATTTGGCGGCGTTCAGTAATAGAAGGCGTTCAAGGATGCTCCAAGTACTTCGAGGCATATGACAACATCGCGTGGGTCCTCGAAATTTCCACCGCCGTCACCAGGATCTTCCACGCAGCGTTGTTACCACAAGGAAAAACAACTGACTATTGTAGAGGAAGTTGGCCGTTGCCGATCACTCGGTTGACTGGCGCCTCTCGGGTCCCACTGAGCCGGCGAAAGATTTGCGACTCGCAACTCGCGACTTGAGACGTGCCAGGAGGTGTGGGAAATAAATTCTGATCCCCCTGGGCAACCGTACTCCAGTTGACAGAATCAGACGTATCATATCTGATATGGCTGTTCTGTTTGACAGATGATCTTTTCAGCAATCTCCAATATCTATGCTACTTCCGGAAGCACCCATCTGAACCTTACTCTCTGCATTCAGACGGGCAGTGGTCAGAGCCCGCAATGGGGTTCTCCTGCTTGGATGCTCGAGTGCCCCGCGGATGTTGAAAGATCGGAGCGGCGTGTTGCGCGGCTCCAGGACGAAGCCATCCTCTAGGTTCATAGCGGAAGGCCTGCAAGTTCGAGAGTGACGGCGCCCTTCATTACAAGTACAGGCGAAGAGCGATCGAGTGATAAAACAGGTCTGATATATGCAAGTTGAGCATGAGTTGCCTGCTCACCGAAAATCTATGTTATACGGGAAGTGCTCACGGTCATCAAGAGCATAAATTTCTTTAGCATCGCAATCTTGGATGCCACGGCGAGCTCCTGCATTGCTATCGCACTGCTCTCACGGCGACTTCTTCCTTAGCACCTATCTGCTAGAAGCGAGGCATTCCCAATGTACTCACGCGCGCATGATGAGCCAGACATATCGTATCTAATACCCCCGTTCTGTTTGACAGATGGTTTTTCCTGAAATCTCCAATACCTGTGCTGTGCGTAAGTCCCCATCTGAACCTTATCCTCTGTGTTCATGTCCGGTCAAAATCAGGCATTGTATAAAGATGAGTCGCGCACCGATGGGCATCCTTAAAGTCCCTCCGAGAACTGTTCGATTTGGCATTGACTGTTGTCACCGAAGTTGACACCTCTTCAATGTCGAACGTATCAGCTGCAAGCATATTGGCTCAGGAAGAAGCGGACTTCTTACAGGCAATGTGAGGACAACGACACTTTCCGAGGCTTTCAACCGACGAGTTTGAAATTAACGTTATAGATACGCCGATGCGTACTGCAGTATCGCAGTCACTGGTACGTCCCCGGTTCGGACCATCCTAAGCGATCGGACTTGACTTACAGACTGGACATGTTCAGCCCTCATCTTCTTTGAGTACATTGTGACTTTCTCTGAAGAGGTTCGCGTCATCTGGGGAGCCAGGTTCACCACTGTCAGCGTCATCTTTGCCTTCAACCGTTATCTGCTCATGATACAAGGCATAAGTTTCGCACTGGATCTCGTCTGGTGGCATACTCCACTGGTAAGTCATGTCGTGTCGTGCTGCAAGTGAATCGAGCACTCACGATCTACATGCACACAGAGGTGAGTGGCGACGACCGCACCGTATGTTCAGCGCAGTTTATAGGTTGTCGCAGCTGTGAAGTTGAGAACATATTTCAGGCAGTGACAGTTATGGTTCTTGAGGCTCTGACAGCAGGTCAGTGATTGTTTGACCTTAAATTTAATGAAGACATTGATTAATAAAATTGTTAGGCTTTTCCGCGTTCCGCACGTATGCTATAAGTGGACATCAGATCGTCCCTGCATTGCTAGTATTGCTACTGGGGCTAGCGCCAGTCGGTGTCAACGTCGTGAGTATATATGTTCTCAGCCATCACATGTCTATTGAGCACCTCTGGGCAGTTTGCAGATGCAAGAACTTCATACGCGTTCGTCACTTACGTAGGCAGCTATCCAGTCTGCGACTTTAACGCCGGCGAGTCCATCGCGATACAGAAGAAGTAAGTGACTGGTCCACCTCTCCGACGTCGGCACTTCTAGGACTAACCTTCCTTCGCATAGATGTGAGTTTGAAGACCGATGAGTTGTTGCTCTGACACGCACGATTCCCGCAGTCATCCTCGTCGCGCGCATCTGCCCGGTTGTATCCGATTTGATCGTGCTGCTTGTCACTTGGTATAAAACATCTGGACTCGCCATTCAAGCGCGCAGATTACGGTTGAGAGCAAAGATCGCGACATTGCTGATGAGAGACGGTGAGTATGTGTGGCCCTTTGAGTGCACGTGATGCCTTACAAGCAGCCAATTCAAAGGCACGCTCTACTTCATGTACGTCTGGCTCTGTCACAGTACCTTGTCATGACTTTGTTCTTCCACCGTTCATCAGGGCCCTTTTGCTTCTCAACATCCTCGATATCGTGATCAAAGCGCGCTATGAGGATTCGCAGGGAAGTCTACCCATACAACTGCATGGCCACTACAAATTAACGTGCAAGCAGGATACCGCAGCCTTCATCACAATTTTCCTGCCAGCGTAAGCGACCAATCATACCCAATTCGGCTCAACCCATGCTCATCTAGTCAATCAGAATCTCATCAATCCTGGTATCACGCTTCATCCTCAACCTACGCCAGGTGTCCGTCGGCAGCGTGGGATTGAATACAATTTCTCACAGCTCCCAGAACACGCCGGACATTCCCTCTCGCCTGGTTGGCAACTTTGGCGCCGAGGTCCAACACACGTCTCTTGTTTTTGAGGACTTCGAGGATAACGCTGAGGACGAGCAGAATATCAGTGGGAACTCTGAGGCCTACGAGTTGGCGCAGGTGCAGTAGCCATCATGCGATCGTTTTCGATAGTGCTGGCTCTGACTGTAACCCGCATTTGCACGTTGACATAATTTCCCAGTCGCGATATCCGAGCAAAATATTGTGCTCATTTTTTTTGCTAAGCTGGCATGAAGCATATGCTCAATATAGCACAGACAGCAAGGGAGAGATTCGCCAGGCCAAAAGCTGCATCCAGCCACCGCATGCTGAATGTTGTCCTAGACATAGACAAGAGTCAATGAATTGGTAGCAAAAGTGACTCAGTTGCACGCTCCAAACCAATTTTACAGCATGGCAGCTATCATTCAGACCATTGCAGGTAAAGCATCTCGCGAACAAGTGCAGACGTCGGTGGTCGTTGCGGAGTTTGGGAAATTCAGGCACAACTCGGCAGCCGCCACGAGCATGAACCTCTGAGCTATTGCCAAAAGTCTGCGATTGCCAAAGCGAGTTATGTCGAGTACACGTTCCTATAGAGCCCTTCAATCTGCTTCCTTCTTCTCATAATGCGCGAGCAACGAGGGAGCACTCATCTTTGCAACTAAATAGTCAGTCTCACAATCTACACTCGCATATATTTAGGCACTCGCCTTCGGGCTAAAGGCAATCCCTTTGGACTCACACAAAACGCTGTGAGACAAAACGCTGTGGGACAAAACACTGTGAGACTAGCAAAGTATACGCCCACTATAATGTCAAGCACGGTGAGCGCCACATCACTTCTTGGGTCGCCCGTCATGATGCCGGGGTTCATCGTGTGTGCCGTGTGCGGCGCACCCTCTCGGGAGTGATTATTTGCTCCACGTCCCATGGTCCGCCGAGATGAGCTGGATATACTAGCCCGCCTCTTCACAGGCCTTGTACGCCGTCGCGACGGCCTTGTCCGTTGCGGAGAGGCCCTCTACAGCTGCTCGTACACGCCCATGTGGGGGCCAACCATATCCGGCGGTGCAAAGTTGTTGACTTTCCCGGCCAGCCCACTGCGCGGCCAGGAATTTGGGAGTCGCCCGCTCTCTAGAAGATGGCTCCACGGAGCCAAACCGATGGCCCGTCCCATTGTAGCCGCACCCTACTATATACGTGCGCGCTACTACTTTCCCACGCCGGTGGCGCAGGTCGCACCGGGGCCTCTCGCATTCGCGCTCCGCGCCCAAATGCCAACAAAAGTTACACATCACGAACTCCTTGTCACCCTTGCGTATGACCTCCGAGTCCGCAACCTTTAAATTTGCGATGGCTTGGACGCTGGCGCTCATCTTTCCGGGGTCATTGTCGTACGTCGCGACCTCAGGCGAGGGGATCATACGTCGCTCCTCCTAATTAGTTGCTCAACACGACGTGTGTCATATCTCATAACCGCCGTTGAAGAACTAAACGTAACGTGTGCGAATTCATCAGTTTTTAGACACGATCGGAGATGTGCTCGCACGATAACACACAATGTGTCATCAAGAGCACTGCAAAGTTCGACAGCACCGTGATTTTGGACGCCACGGGGAGCTGCTGGATTGGTAGTACCGCCCAGCCGCTTCTCATGACTTCTTCTTTAGCTTCTCTCTGCGACTAGAAACGAGGGTTTCTCAAATCACGCGCCCATGATGAACCAGACGTATCATATCTGATACGGCTGTTCTGTTTGATAGATACCGATGGTCTTTTTCAGCAATCTCCAGTACCCAGTGTGCTATCCGTAAGCCCTCCATCTGAACTTAACCCTCTGACGGTTCGTGTCTGGTCAATCAGGCATCATATAGCGATGAGTCGCACGCCGATGGGCATCCTTAAAGTCCCTCCCAAAACTGTTCTCTTTCGCATTGACCGCTGTCACCGATATTGATACCCTCACAATGTCGAACGCATCAGCTGCAAGCGTATTGGCTCAGGAAGAAGTGGACTTCTTCCAGGAAGCGTGAGGACGAGGATACTTTCCGAGGCGTTCAACTGACGAGTTTGCAATCACTGTCACAGAAACATCTATAACTACTGCTATCTTGCAACTGCTGGTACGCTCTCGGGTTGGACCACTATAAGCGATCGAACTCGACTAACAGACTGGACGCATTCAGCCCTCATCTTCTTTGAACACATTGTGACTTTTTCTGAAGAGGTTCATGTCATCTGGGGAGCCAGGTTGACCACTGTCACGGTCATCTTTGCCCTCAACCGTTATCTGATCATCGTACAAGGCATTAGTTGGGCAATGAGTCCCGTCTTGTGGCATACTCTACTGGTAAGTCACGTCGTGCCGTGCTGCGAGTGAAACGAGCACTCACGATCTATGTGTGCACAGAGGTGAGCGGCGACGACTGCACTGTATGTTTAGTGCAGTTAATAGGTTGTCGCAGCTGTGAGGTTATGTTCGTATGGCAAGACGCGACGATTAATGTTGTTGAGGCTGTGACAGCAAGTCAGAGATTGTCTGACCTCAAATTCAGAAAGAGACTGATCGATAAATCAATAGGCTTTTCCGCGTTCCGTGCATATGCTATTAGTGGACGCCAGATCGGCCCTGCATTGCTAGTCTTGCTACTGGGGCTAGCGCCAGTCGGCGTCAACGTCGTGAGTATATATGTTCTCCGCCATCATATGTCTGTTGAGCACCTCTGGGCAGTTTACAGATGCAAGAACATCATATGCATTCGTCACTTACGTAGGCAGCTATCCAATTTGTAACAATAATACGCGCGAGTCCATCGCGATGCAGAAGAAGTAAGCGCCACGTCCATCTCTCTGACGTCGGCACTCCTAGGACTGACCCTCCTTTGTTTAGACGTGAGTTCGAAGAAAATCGACAAGTTGTTGCTCTGACACGCACGATCACTGCAGTCGTCCTTGTCGCGCGCATCGGCCCCGCTGTATCCGACCTGGTCGTGGTTCTTATCACTTGGTTCAAAACAGCAGGGCTTGCCATGGAAGTGCGCAAGTTACGGTTCAAAGGATCGATCACGACAGTGCTGATGAGAGACGGTGAGTATGTGTGGTTCTTTGAGTGCACACGATGCCTTACAAGCAGCCCGTTCAAGGCACGCTCTACTTCATGTACGTCGGGCTCTGTCGCAGTACCTTGTCATGACTCTGTTCTTCCACCGTTCATCAGGGCCCTTTTGCTTCTCAATATCCTCGAGATCGTGATCAAAGTCCACTATGAGAATTCACAGGCAAGTCTACCCGTACAAGTGCATGGCCATTAAGGTAACGTGCAAGCAGAATGCCGCATCATGGGTCTCCGTTTTCCTGCCACCGTAAGCGACCGAACACACCCAATTCAGCTCAACCTATGCTTACCGAGTCAATCCAGAATATCATCAATCCTGATATCACGCTTCATCCTCAACCTACGCCAGTTGTCCCTCGGCAGCGTGGACTTGAATACGATTTCTCACAGCACCCAGAACACGCCGGACATTCCCTCTCGCCTGGTTGGCAACTTTGGCGCCGACGTCCAGCACACGTCTCCTGTTTTTGAGGATGTCGAGGATAATGATGAGGACGAGCAGAATATCAGTGGGGACTTTGAGGCCCACGAGTTGGCGCAGGTGCAGTAGTCATCGTACAAGCTATGCGATCGTTTTCGACAGTGCCAGCTCTGACTGTAACCCGCATTTGCACCTTGACATGACTTTCCGATCGTGATATCCGCCTCCAAAATATTACTGAGCTAGGACGACGCATACACTCAATATAGCATAGACAGCAAGGGAGAGATTCGCCAGGCAAAAAGCTGCATCCCGCTGCCATAATGGCCTCCACGGCTACCTCGTACACGCCCATGTGGCCAACCATATCCGGCGGTGCGAAGTTGCACATCACGAACTCCTTGTCGCCCTTGCGTATGACCTCCGCAACTTTGTTCATGACGGTCTGGACGCTCATCTTGGGGTCCATGTCATACGTTGTGACCTTAGGCGAGGGGATTATATGCCTCTCGTTAGGATATTGTTTCTCAGCACCGCCGTTGAAGAAGAACGTCTGCATACACCTCGGTTCTAGGCATGGTCAGAGACGAGCTAGCACGATAACACACAGTGCACATACCGGCTATGTGTGCCTACTTCATGCCCTACTTGGCGAGCCATTCGGCGAGGACATTCATCATCGGTTGCGGCGGAAAAGCAACCGGGAAGGCTAGAAAGCAGTCACGAAGATCAGAGTCATCAGTCACACGCGAGAACATCTACATACCAGGTCTTTCGGCACATAAGAGCGTGTCGCCATCCTTGATGCGGCCCTCATCGCCGTTCACGACGATAGGTTTCAATACTTCGTCTGTCTCATCCTTCTTGTATCATTTCCCAATCGCTTTCACAATGTCTTCGCACTTCTCGCCCACGCCCTTCACGAGGCCATCCACGGCGATCTTGATGCTTGTCGCGGTCCATTGCGTAGTAGCCCCCACGACGATCGCGATCTGGCCCGACTTCTCCTTCTCAGTGAATGCGAGGAGGCCCTTGACTATCCTGTGGCCGAGTGGGGCGCCATGTCCCGCCCATCGCCGAAGAAGTTGTTGTAGACGTTTGGGACGCCGACCTCTTTCGCAGCCTCGAGCAGCACGTACAGGCGGTTTATGTGCGAGTGCACGCCACCGTCCGAGACCTAATGTATCAGAGTACCGAATACATCAGTACCGCACGGCCAGCCGCCCTAGCAGAAAGATAAATCCATACGAGACCCAGTAGGCGCAGACGGGCGTACCCCTCCGTTCTTGTAGAACTGGCGCTTCTTGATCGACACGTCGATCCTCACGATATCTTATCAGACGACCCGCACAGCACCGATGTTCAAGTGCCTGAGCATCTGCTCATTGAACGCGCCGTCATGAAAGCACTGTGAAATCGCACATACCCGACCTCTGAGTTGCCCATAAGCCCGTCACCGAGACCCATGGCGATGCCGTGAGCATGCAGCGTGCGCACGCTATGCTCCTTCGAGATCGTATTCATGTTCATCATGTTCCCAGCCACGATAGCGTCGCGTTTCATGTTGGGGCTCCGTGACAATGCCCCAGCCATCGTTTCGTCGCTTCTGAATGCCTCACGTCCATCTCCGCGCTTCGGCATCATGATCTCGGTGGTCTTCCATACCTTGCATCGCTTCAGCCCATCCCAAAGCACCGTGCTCGAGGATTTGTATGGCAGGTAGCTATGCTTGGATGCGAGAGTGCCCGCGGATGTCGAGCGGAATTGGGGCAACAGGTTAGGAAGCTCCAAGACGGGGCCATCCTTTGAATTTATGGCAGAAGGCCTGCAAGTCCGAGAGTGACGCGGCGCGCCTCACTCTAAGCACAGGTGAAGAGCTATCGAGTGATCAGACAGGCCTGTGAGCTGCCTGTTGGCCGAAACGATGAAAAGCGGACGCGGTCATTAACTTAGCACAAAGTGCCACACAGCACCGCGACTTTGGCCCATTGCTACAGCGAGCGCCTGGATTGCTATTGCACTGCCTCCTTAGCTTCTCTCTGCGACTAGAAGCCTTCAAGTGAGGAATGTACTCACGCGCACATGATGAACCACACGGATCATATTTGGTGGTTCTGTTTGACAGATGGGCAATCTTCAATGCCTGTGCTATCCGTAAGCCCTCATCTGAACCTGACCCTCTGCGTTCATGTCCGGTTAACCAGGCATGGTATAAAGAGCCGTGCACCGATGGACATCCTTAAAGTCCCTCCGAGAACTGTTCTATTTTGCATTGACTGTTGTCACCGACGTTGATACCTCCACAATGTCGAACGCGTCAGCTGCAAGCATATTGGCTCAGGAAGAAGCGGACCTCTTACAGGAATCGTGAGGACGACGATGCCTTCCGAGGCGTTCAACTGACGAGTTTGCGATCACTATCACAGATACATTTATGCCTACTGCTGTCTCGCAACTACTGGTACGCTCTCGGGTTGGACCACTATAAACGATCGAACTCGACTCACAGACTGGACATGTTCAGCCCTCATCTTCTTTGAGCACATTGTGACTTTTTCTGAAGAGGTTCATGTCATCTGGGGAGGCAGGTTGACCACTGTCACGGTCATCTTTGCCCTCAACCGTTATCTGCTCATGGTGCAAGGCGTTAGTAACGCACTGGATGTCATCTGGTGGCGTACTCCACTGGTAAGTCATGTGTGTCGTGCTGCAAGTGAATCGAGCACTCACGTTCTACGCGCACACAGAGGTGAGCAGCGACGAGCACGCCGTATGTTCAGTGCAGTAAGAGGTTTTCGCAGTTGTGATTTCGTGCTCTTATTGGAAGACGTGACGACTATTGTTCTTGAGGCTGTGACAGCAAGTTAGAGACTGTTTGACCTCAAGTTTGATGAAGAGACTGATCGATGAATTGTTAGGCTTCTCCGCGTTCCGCACATATGCGATTAGTGGACACCACCTCGTCCCTACATTGCTAGTATTGCTACTGGGGCTAGCGCCAGTCGGTGTCAACGCTGTGAGTATGTATGTTCTTCGCCATCGCATGTCTATTGAGCACCTCTGGGTAGTTTGCATATACAACATATTCATATGCGTTCGTCGCTTACCTAGGCAGCTACCCAATTTGTAACGTTAACATCGGCGAGTCCATCGTGACACAGAAGAAGTAAGTGCCACGTCCACCTCTCCGACGTCGGCACTCCTAGGACTAACCCTCCTTTGCTTAGACGTGAGTTCGAAGAAAATCAATGAGTTGCTGCTGTAACACGCATGATTCCTGCAGTCGCCGTTGTCGCCCGTGTCTGCCCCGCTGTATCCGACCTGGTCGTGGTTCTTGTCACTTGGTTCAAAACAGCAGGGCTTGCCATGGAAGTGCGCAAGTTACGGTTCAAAGGATCGATCGCGACGGTGCTGATGAGAGATGGTGAGCATGTGTGGCTCTTGTACGTGTGATGCCTTACAAGCAGCCCATTCAAGGCACGCTCTACTTCATGTACGTCGGGCTCTGTCACAGTGCATAGTCATAACTCTCTTCTTCCACTGTTCATCAGGGCCCTGTTGCTTCTCAACATCCTCCAGATCGTGATCAAAATCCGCTACGAGAATTCACAGGCAAGTCTACCCATACAAGTGCATGGCCACTCTAGATTGAAGTACAAACAGAATACCGCAGACTACGTCGTACTTTTCCTGCCACCGTAAGCGACCGATCATGCACAATTCAGCTCAACCCATGTTTATAGAATCAATTAGAATCTCATCAATCCTGATATCACGCTTCATCCTCAATCTACGCCAGGTGTCCGTCGGCAGCGTGGACTTGAATACAATTTCCCACAGTGCCCTGAACACGCCGGACATTCCCTCTCGCCTGGTTGGCAACTTTGGCGCCGACGTCCAGCACACGTCTCTTATTTTTGAGAATGTCGAGGATAACGCTGAAGACGAGCAGAATATCAGTGTGGACTGTGAGGCCTACGAGTTGGCACAGGTGCAGTAGTCATCGTACAAGCTATACGATCGTTTTCGACGGTGCCGGCTCTGACTGTAACCTGCATTTGCACCTTGGCGTGATTTTCCAGTCATGATATCTGAACAAAATGTTACGTGAAGTTGGCGCGAAGCATATAGAGTTCATTTTAGGATAAACAGCAAGGCGGAGAGGCCAAAAGCTGCATCCCGCCGCCGCAATGCTGAATGTTGTCCGAGTGACCAAAGTCATGGATTGGTACCAGCAGTAGTCCGTTTAACGTCCCAGGTCAATTTTACAGCATAGCAAATGTTCAGACCGTTGCATATAAAGCGTCGCAGTCTCACAAAATAGATGACACACGTCGGTCGCTGGAAATGCCGTCGGTCGTTGCAGAGTTTCATAAAAGCAGGCACAACTCGGCAGCAGCTGCGAGCGTGAAAGTCCTGAGCGATGAATTGATGACGGTTCAAGAAGGAATGCAAGCGGCTGTCCAACGTAAAACCACGTTTGCAAGTCTGTATACTGTCAACAGAGTTCCAAGGTTTCTAACAGATTTCTCAAGCCATCCGGCCCGCATGCAACTTGAAGCCCAGAAAATCAAGCATCATCACTTCATCTATTAACAGTGTTAGTACTTCAAATCCCGTCGTCTACTTCTTATATTTATGTCAAGTACACGTTCTACAGTCCTTCTAATTCGCTTCCTTCTTCTGCTCATTATGCGCGAGCAACGAGCGATCGCTCATCTCTGCAATTGAAGTCAGTCTCACAATCTACACTCGCATATATTCAGGCACTCGCCTTCGGGCTTAGGCAATCCCTGAGTCATACAAATACGTTGTGAGAGCACGAAAACATTGTAGTCACATATGCACCCACCATAATGTCAAGCACCGTCCCCGCCACATCGCATAGCGCGCCTTCTGTCTCCTCACCGTCCTTCTTGTCGACAGTGAAGTGGAATTTCTTCGGGTCGCCCGCCATGATGAACGGCAGCGGGTTCATCGTGTGTGCCGTGTGCCGTGTGCGGCACACCCGTCTGGGTAGATCATCTGCTCCACGTTCCCATGGTTCGCCGTGACTCTGAGCAGTAGCCCGCCTCCTCACAAGCCTTGTACACCGTCCCAACGGCCTTGTCCGTTGCCGTGATGGCCTCTACGGCTGCCTCGGACACGCCCGTGTTGCCAACCATATCCGGCGGTGCAAAGTTGCACATCACGAACTTCTTGTTGCCCTTGCGTATGACGCTCATCTTGGGGTCCTTGTCGTACGTTGCGATCTTAGGCGAGGGGATCATATGCTGCTCATTATGATATAGCTTCTCAACGCCGCCGTTGAAGAACGTGACGCGTGCATTCTTCACGTTTTCTAGGCATGGTCTGAGATGTGCCAGCAGGATAAAACACAATGTGCATACCGGCTATATATGCCTGATAAACACCCTGCTTCGCGAGCCATTCGGCGAGGACATTCGTCATCGGTTGTGGCGGAAAAGCAACCGGCAAGGGGAACGGTGGTATCGTGACATGGTGCTGATGTGCTAGAAAGCAGCCGCCAAAATGAGAGTCATCAATCATACGCAAGAACACCAACATACCAGGTCTTTTGGTACATCGACCAATGACGAGGAAGGTGTGACGCAGCAGCTGGTGCCAGCGTCTTCCCCAGAGGTCCTAGAGCGACGTCGCCCGCAATGGCTGTCATACAGCGGCGGCCACGCCGCAGGCTCAGACCCACATAGCCCAACAGCGAACAACGAGAGGAGGTCGTTCCCGCCCTCCAAGCCATAGATGATCAGCGCCCCACCAGGAGCTGTCTCGCGGTGGAGATAGCGTAGCGCTGCGCGGGCGGCAGATGCTGGAGGAAGATCGTGCCGCCTTCGAGGGTGTCGGCGCTGGGGACGAGCTTGAGAAGCGCGTCGCACAGGTCGAAGATGAGGAATTGCTTCAGGAAGGAGAGCGCTGTTTGGATGAGGTTGAACGTGCCACGTGCGGACGAACGGGTGCTCGGCGGCACGTACACCCCGCGCCCGAAGTCCCATCGGATTCCGCGCACGGGCAGGAAGAGCTCGAGCGCGTCGCGCAGCCATGTTGGGAGGAGCTGACAGTCTGTGGAGGCCTGTCTATGTACCTTCAGAGGAGGTTCGTGAACCCTCCGCAGCTGCTTCTCTCCGACTTTGAGCAACCCCTGCTTAGGCGCGAATGCAAAGTAGAGCGACTTCGCGACGACGTAGTACGCTATGAGGGCTGTATTTTGTTGCGGTCGTCGACTCGTCACAAACTTGTGCAGGACAGAATGACCATCTTGCACGACGATTGCCAGCGGGTGTTGTCGCGCCAGCACGGCTCCATCGGGAGTTTCCCAAGTCGAGTATGCATCGCTGGTGGCTGTTGGAGATGCGACCCAATGTGGCGCATTCCTGAAAACGCGGTCAGGTGACTGGCGGGTCGCCGTGTATTCAAAATTGACCGGGCGGTGCAATATTGCTAGAGATCTTCGAAGAAGTCTAGGCTGACTACGTTCTGACAATGTATACACGCTTGAGAAGGTATTTGCCGATTTGCACTGTCCGTTATAATGTGTCACATAAAGCATCTGAATGTTGGTCTACCGTGGCGAAAAGGGTCAGACAGTCGCGACGTGTGTCATGAATGGCCCCTCTTTTCCCTCCTCACATAGTTTCCCGTAGTATTTCTCCATCTGAACCCCTAGCCTGTTCCACTTGTGCGACAGGACCCGGGCGGATCACGATGCCTTTCTCTTGCAGTAATGTCAAGGCCTTCATAGCCCATGTGCGGCAACTGGTACCATTTCTCCTGTTTGACCGTATATCAGTATACGTGTCAGGGAAGACAGTCTTGAAGTGTCCGACGAAATCGAAAGCATTGTCTGGAGGGTTGTAGCCGGCGATCTTGATCAGTGCAAGTATCATACTGTTCGTGCCGGTGAACGTGAAAACAACAGGAACTACACGCGTAGTGTATTCCTCGACCGGTTCGTTGGCCTCGCGACGACCCTTACGCTCAGCCCAATGATGACGGGTCGCACGTCCTGCAGCGTCCGTAATCCATAGGGACCAATGGAAAGAACCTTTCTGCAGAAGCGTGCTGAGAGTGACATAGAGCGAACTCGGCAACAATGGGAGGACAGGGTTAGCATCGGTGGCGGACATTGTGGCTATCTGTGGCGGTATCAGTTCTTGAAGCAGTGAAACATACGGCGCGGAGGGCACTTACGTAGAATGTGTATGTGTATATATGCGACTCGCAAGCTTTCCACGTTGACGATGAATCGAGCAGACACTTAAGGAATTTGAACTGTGTCGCAATGAACATGACTTGAAGGAGAGCGCCACGTTCCAGGCAGTCTACTGCAACGATATTTTTAGAAGGGGCCGCCCTCAATGGGAGGATGTGAGATTGTACGGTAGTTAGCCGAGATCCCTGTGGAGCGGAATGATGGAGACACTGGGCATACAAACAACCAAGTTTATTCCGCAGCAGAGACCTGCCCGAATCGTCCCCTCTCGGCAGCGCGCTCCATGTTTCGGTGTGCCAGATATTGCGATGGGCGGGGCACATCAACATCAAGAACGTGAAACGTCAATGATATCTCGCATGGTCCTCGAATGGAGAGAAATTTCGAGCCCAGCTGGAACATGCCAAATAGTCAGTCTGGCTTACGGTAGCATATCGTGTAAGCTTGTGAAAGCGATAGGCGCAGATACCTGTGGACTGGGCACGCTACGCACGGCCTCGAATCATCGCTTCTGGTGCAAGACAAAATGATTGCAGCCTTGCTTACATATGTATGAAGAGTCGAATCAGTTCTGTCATAACTGATTGAAGCTTCCATTCTGGCAGTGATCCGAACTGCGTGTGATTTTTCATCAGTGAAATGGTCGTTTGCTGAAACAATCATATACAGATGAGTATAGCGCCATCGATATATCCGGATGCCATGAGTATGAGTCAGCCACCTACATCCAGCAAGATCCAGCAGCTTCAACCGTCAGGGCACACAGTACAGACTCCGATGCAACACATGACTTCCAAGTGCATAACCGTAGAAGACGCAGCCGTATAAGGGATCATTATTCCTATGGGACAAGCGGATAGAGGAGAACTTTCTGTGAGGCCTCGTAGGCTCTTTCGGCCTCAACAGGAAATTCGTATTTTCTCCAGAACGTAAACCACTGCCCGCTTCCGCCTTGTACAGGGCGACACTTCAGTGACCATAGTTGCCATTGCATTGGATACCATCCTGAGTCCTCCCAGTCGATTATTCCGGACAGGCGATGGTCCCGATCGACGAGCACGTTGTACATGCGCAAGTCAGGGTGAACCCAAACGATGCGGTCTGCGGCGAGGCTCTGTCTGTCAGAGTCTACCGAGTTCTCCTCGAATTCCTCCATAGACTGGCAGGAAGAAATGTTCTGATAGCATTCGAGGATGGAATCGTACGGTCCAGAGCAGTCCTCGTGGAAGAATCGAGGATCAGGGAGCCCATCGCCAGACGCACTCAGCATCACTCTGCCGGCATCCGCTGGAGACTGAGGGACAGCCCACAGTTGATGCATTACAGACGCCACCTCGAGACATATGGCACGCATACGTGCTTGATCTATCTCGCCGTCACGCCACGCGAAGTAGAGCAGTCTACCGGGGAGTTTCGTCATGATCGTGTACTGACTCTCGCCGACCCGGATTGAGTCAACGAGGCGAGGAATTGGGAGTGTTGAGCATGCAGAATTGAGAAACTGAAGGGCGTCTGCCTCTGTGCTGTAAGATCTACCCCATTTAGACGTCTTCATGATCAGTGGGATGCCGAATCGGAAATTGCGGATGTGCGGCTGTGGCGTCGCACGAGTAAGGGCGAGATATACGTAGAATTTGCAGCGGTCCAGTCCTTTCGAAAGGGCGGACAATACGAAGGAGAAGATGTCCACTGTCTCTGCAGGCCATAAAATGGAGTTTGAGGACAAGAAAAGTCGAACAAGGGACGCCTACCTGGACCCAGCATCGACATGAATTATGACTGGCTCTAGAATTATGGCACCTCAGACGCTCAGTCAAACGAGGACGAGGTCTTCACAGCGATGTCGTTATGAGAGGGTAGAGGAAGCGGGTCGCCACCTGCCGCCACAATCATGAGACCAGACGCGATCACATGACCATCCGTCGTTGCGCTCAGGCTAAGGCAGTGGCGCGTCGCGCGTCTGGTGGCACTGTGTCCGAGTCACTAGCGTAGAATCACTCCCTGCGCCTGCAACATCGCCAACACCTTCGTCGCTCACGTTCGGCAATCTAAACTCTCTTTCTAATGTCATGAACGTCGTCGTGGCTCTCCGTGCAGATCGTGCTGAACATCGGCACAAAACCCAGCGACGTGCCCGACGCAGTCGCAACGTATCCCCGACGACCTTAGCAAAGTGCGAGCATGATGTTGTTCTCACCGGCATACACAGGTACAAAGTGCACCACACGCACGGTATACCCTTCGATCACTTTGCCTTTCTGATGCCTGCAGCGTACCTTCTGCGCCACTCTTGTCGTGTGGCAATGGTATTGGCATCGGTGAATCAGAGAGACCAGTGGATTTTACCTTCATTAGGAGCGAGCTGATGCTAATGTAGGGGGGGTGGGGGTTGGCGCAAGAGTAATCACATCCGTGTTAGAGCTGCAGTGTCAACGTTTTGCGACGTCAGCGATTCCAACAATGTATGTTTATGAGAATTGTGCGGTCGTGGAGGCGATGTCTGCGACTTGCACAGGCATTGAGCTCGACACGGATGTAAACGAGCACCAGGCAGTGTCCCAATTGATAGTCAACGTCGCGACACCGGCAGGTTTTGTTCTGTGTCCTGTTGACGATCCCTGCAGGTGATGCGATTGTCATCTTCCTGTATCCTGACTCATGAGTCATCAGTCGGGTCGCATCAGGCACGCATTCGTGAATGAGGTACTGCACTCGCACTGTGTGGCAATACGATCTAGCATTATTATATCCTTTAATATACACAAGCCAAAACATGAGACAACGAAGAAACTCAATAAACAGTCATCAAGATCAGACATATCAAGTTCTTCTCGTCACCTAAATAATAATAGATCAGTATCCTAGTTGGACAACGCAGGAGTGAAAGATCAGAGACTTGAATGGTTCCAAAGGAATCGCACCCATCGTGCAAGCACGTCATGGAGTTTGTAGAATGTTTACATCCCTTCAATCAATTGAAAGAACGACTGACCTGAATGAGTATCAACGTCGCCGGGTAACAACGGCGGAAAACAAATTGTCGCAACATGTACGACGTTCTACCAAAACGAAGCACAGTTAGCTGGATGCATCATTGGAGCAGTAGGAAACATGATCAGGTAAGTTCTCTCATTCTTCTCATGACCCATTGGGCTTCGAAGTGAGCTGAGTTGATGTCTCATCACAGGATGGGTCGAAGGGAATATCAAGATTCAAAGACGTGTCTCACCTCGTTAGAAATTTTCAGTCGAGTATTGCATCGCGTAACGATTGAAAAAAGCCCGAGGAGCCCACCGCGCATCGAGCCTGCAACTGCACCAGGTTCGTTAGGAGACACAGTTCATAGCATCCTCCAGTAAACTCGTGAGTCTTGGGGTCGCCGACTCTAAGAAAAGTCCGTGAAAAACATGGCGATGACACACTGCACGGTGACAAGAGGATGCAGCATTGCTGTTCGAAGGCGCCTTCGAACGTCGGACGAGGTGCGGAATTTGCCTGGCCCGCTAGATCACGTGAATATTTCAACCTGCCCTAAATTCAGCCACGCTCACCGACGGCTATACAGTCAATTCCCAGGGTCCGCCGAATCTCCTAGTGACAACATCCTCCAAATAACTTAGGCTAGCTGCTGCTACAATGCAGATTTTCGTCAAGACCCTTACGGGGAAGACCATCACCCTCGAGGTGGAGTCTTCCGACACCATCGACAATGTGAAGGCCAAGATTCAGGACAAGGAAGGGTGAGTTACGCCCGTGGCCCAAGAGATGGTAACGGGACTGACGTCAGGCTGCAGTATCCCTCCAGACCAGCAGCGACTGATTTTCGCTGGTAAGCAGCTCGAGGACGGTCGCACCTTGAGCGACTACAATATCCAGAAGGAGTCGACGCTTCACTTGGTCCTCCGGTATGTGATCTGCTGATGGAAATCGAAGTCTTTGCTGACAGCATCGCATAGTCTCCGAGGCGGTATCATTGAGCCCTCGCTTAAGGTTCTCGCTGCCAAGTACAACTGTGACAAGCAGATCTGCCGCAAGTGCTACGCTCGTCTACCTCCCCGTGCCACCAACTGCCGGAAGCGAGGATGCGGTCACTCTTCGCAGCTCCGTCCGTGAGTCCCCTGTTCGTTCTGGTATCACAGTTGTATTCTGACTACGCTATGTCATATAGCAAGAAGAAGCTGAAGTAGTGGTATCGCTGTTTCTCTTCGGTCCGGTCAACGTCGTGTGCCAATGGGTACGAGGAGCGCCTTGGGGGAGGGCTATTCTACATGTGCCGCCTATGATATGCGATGTATGACATGCGCTTTTTCCTCCCTGTATCAATGCATTTTTATGAGTATGCCGTCCACGTCTGCTACATAGTACGCACTCGGCGCAGCGCTCAGCCTTTGACCGAATCGAGGTTGAAACGGTGCGTTGGGTTGAGTCGGCAATTGCCGCGTATACATACACTGGCCACAGGACAGATTAGCCAGTGCTTGACCGCTTAATCCTTCCGTCCCTCCTCCGTCCACCATGTTCCGCCCAACAGCCGTTCTTTTCAAGATATCCGCAGCCGTGAAGGCGGTCAAAGCGATAGCCATTGCTCCTAAGGGCGAGGTCAACGAAATCAGTAATGCACTCGGCGGTTTGTATGATGCCACTTTCGCGGCCTGCGATCTTTGTTCTGACCAGATCATTCTCGTCTCGTTGCGTGCAGAGTGGCGAATGAAGTTGCACGGCGTGCTGCAAAGGGAGTCTAGTCCGATGAAGAAAGTGGATCTAGACTATGATATCAGCTACGAAGGACCGGGAGATTACCGCAAGTACATGGCCGTGGCGAGGAGTATGTCGTGTTGCTTCTGGATTTTGTTTGGAAATGCGGGCACTCATCCCAATCGCGTTCGGGCAGTCAATGGTGTTCCGTACGGGAAGGGCGTCGCTTGGCCACACAAGTCCGCTGCGAAGGAGCTTGCGTGTAAGGAGGCTCTGGAGAGGTGGAAAGCGAAAACCCCGTTGGAAGGGATTCCGCCGAGGGAAGAGGAGCCTCGAGGTCGTGGAAAGAAGAAGAAACCTCGAAAGGATAAGAACATGAATCTGGAACGAGAAGGCAGTGCAGGGTCGCTGGTGACGAAGATGGACGATAGCGAGAACCTGCTGCTGATCCGTGAGCTCTGACCTGGTTGATTTGCTGCAAACTGTGCTCGTGCGTGAATCTCTCTGGCTGTTGTTGTGTCTCGTCAAAGTTCTGACGTCGATGTGACAAAGCAACGGCCATGTTCATCTATTTTGTTTCCTAGCGCAATATATGTACCACCAATCACACGATGAGGGAGCTCCGATGCGCTGCATGCGGGATTTTCCTGCCATGGCTTTCCATGTTGTATTCATTTCTATCATATCATTATCCACTGCATTCGTGCATGAGCTGAATGGCAGCCGCTGGCCTTTGCGCTTGTCTGCGCATTCGTGCGTAGGTGCGTACACTACTCAATGCTGCTTCAAGTGCACAATTAGGTGAACGGGCGCGTCAGGCGCTGCCTTTGCAGCACCACAATCCACTGGCAAAAAATCGGAGGCCATGAGGACGGGCTCTGCAGACGTGCTTCGCTGGCAGAAACATGCTTTAGATGATTGTGAACTAGACCTTGCGGTCTATTCGACGCTATGCCATCAACTTAAATGCAATATCAACGTATCTAAGATGCTTAAGGGCTGCTCAAAAACTGTTGAACAGATCTCACCATGCATCCTACGCGCATTCTGCTATCGGGCGGTGTGTGTTTCACATCGTCCTCTAGACTTGGCTGATGAAGGTGCTGGAATGTGGTACCTCGTAGTTCACATGCGAACTTGAACGGCCAGCTCATTTTCATGAGGCGTGTCTTGAACTGGGCGACGACTCCGGCGAAGTCTATGTGGACTGCCATCGCTCTCGGCTGATCATCCCGCCAATGCTAGTTCGCTCAGGATGCGCTGGTAAGTCATCATGCTGCAGTCGATGGTAAGAAGTACGACCGCGGCAAAGGACCGAACAAAGCTACTGAAAATGGACATGCCAGCACTCTGCAAGCTAGCAGCCGAACTATGTAAGATGGGGAAGTAAGCTGCAAACGCAAGAACGCAGTAGGCACTGCCTAGGGTTGCCATGATTCCAACCTGACGCTCGTTATCAAACTCGCGGCATACTGAACGAGAGCGCAGACACATTTTCCAGCTACCGTACGAAGAGGACATTCACAGGGACATAGTGACAACGCTCTGCTGCGCTCTTGACATTGCGCTGCCGGAAACCTGCATCTGCTACATGAGGCCCCTAGTATACCTGGCTAGTCGAATTTTATAGGCCTGTGCAACCGAAGCCTGCCAGGAAAGCTCAAGCCTACGACGACAGCCCGTCATTCTCCAGCAAGGCTAACATGGCCCGTAGCACTGGATTATGTTGCCCTGCGTTCAAGGTAGCACCGTCTTCGATGCAGCGTTTGAGCTGCGCATCAAGTAATCGACTGCGAGTATATTTATTAACTAGGCACGCTTCAATTGAACGGAAAGCGCCTACCGCAGCTGATTTACCAGCACTCCAATGCGAGGCCATGCCTTCAACTTGATAATGGCATCTTTGGTACCAACCGTCAATCCTCCACCGATGTGATTCACCAACACGGGACCACCGAATAGCAACAGTGCATACACGGGCACCTGCGGCCGTCACAATAAGGACACATACTTCGGCGATTATGTATCAGTGGATACGCACCTCCGTAGCATCCCGCAGGAAGACCTTGGATGTCGCCTGTTTCAGGAAATACGTGACGAACGGTGACCGCCATACCGTCTCGTTGAAGAGCACGGATGCCGGATGGAGGAACACGCGGCCGTCCTTTAAGTCATACAATTTGTACTCCTTCGCCGTGTTTTCACGCTGTACCGTCCCTGCCTGAACCCGATCGAACTTGATCGCGGATCGTGGCAGAGAGACCCGCGCTACGCGGGGCCAAAGCCCGCCGAGAATTACCGCTTTCAACAGGTTCGTGTTCGCGCTGTGCACGTTGAGCAGATCGTCGTTGGGCTTCGAGTACCCGGAGACAAAGCCGAGTTCGGAGAGGGAGGCCAGAAAGTCTTGTCGGAGGGAGGTTATATCACGAATAGTAGACGGGGAGATGTAGTTCTGTGCCGGAGGTATGTGAGGTCCCAATTTGGAATTTGGAACGTAACTATTTGGGACATTACCTCCTCGCAAAATGCTCGGATTGCACCCTGAGACTTGCCCTCAGAGTGGAGACGCGTGCATTCATCATATGCGTTCATGTCGGTGAGCAGGTCGCTGCTGCCTTTGGCAAAGCGAGCTCGCGCGCTGAAGGCCCAGTTCAAATAGCCCGATTATATGCTACCCAAAACGTATGCGACGTACCGAGTTGCTTCGTCGCGTTTGTCTATCGGACTGACGAAAAGCGGCTTGGAAGATAGGCAAGCGGCTATTGTTAGAATAGGACCCAGACAATGGAATATCGTGCTTAGGATCAACATCTGCAAATAGTTAAATGTTAGGAACAGCAGTCCCCCGAAAACATATCGTACCTTTCCGAGCCTCAGATCGACGGGGAGCATGGCCTAATTCAGGTATTTAGAGCTGCATTGTGAAGGGCTGACATCTGCAAGGTCGATTGTATACCATCGGCTGTATTGTGCACATTAGCACAACACAGCCGCCAATGGCATCACTAGGACAATCAGGCTTGCAGATGATGAGTTCGCTTACCATATGACGACCGAGGGGCGTTAGTTCGCCATTCGCATCGATGGCGGCGAGTTCTTCCAGGACTGTGAGAGCTTTATCCACAGCCTGCGTCTCTGGCGGATCGATAGCGCGAGAAAGGAAGGTCTGCTCCACGTTCGCTGTCAGCACGGATCCAACTCTTTCAGGGACTTAGCGAACTTTGATGTCCTCATGGACCACCTTGACTGTGAGCGCGACGCTCTCTAGAGGCACTCTCTTGATCTCCGGGACAGGAAACGCCATCATCTTCTTTTCTTCCATTCGCGTGTATAATTTGTAGCAGATCCCTGGTTGCGTACGACCTGCACGTCCGCGTCGTTGCCGGGCGGCAGCACGGGTTATCCATTGCTCAGTCAGCTTCGTCAAGCCAATTTCTGAGTCGTAATGCGTCTCTTTGACTTTTCCAGAGTCGATCACATAGATCACGTCGTCGATGGTGATAGATGTCTACCGAGAACTACTGGTGAGTAACTGAGTGAGACATGAACGAGTGCGAAAGTTTGCTTGCCTCCGCCACATTTGTAGCGACAACAATCTTCCATTCGGAGAAAGATTGGAAGACAAGGCGTTGTTCATCATTAGAAAGATTTGCATGCAGAGGAAGCATTCGAGTATTTGGAATGTTTCGGAGCTTCTCCATGCACTGACGTATTTCTTGCACACCTGGAAGGAAAATCAACGTTGCCCCACGCTTCTTCGTTGTCGAGACAATCCGCGAGACAATTGCGGAGATGAGCTAGGGAGCCAGGTCATCAGAGTAGTCAACAACAGGAGATCCTTGACGCACATCAAAGTCTATTCTGTCGGAACGGCTGATGCTCTGCACAGCTCTGAGGGTGTCCTCGTTGAGACCTGACTTGGACAATTCCTGACGCAATGCCTTGGACTCTTCCTCTGCTTCTTTTCCTTTCCTTGCTCGTCCGCTAGAGCCTGAAGGGCTATATTCGAGCTCCGAAATGTAGTCCTCCAGGTACCTATCAGGCCGTTCAAATCACATTGTTACCCAGAGAAGGTAAGACCCACTTGTCTTCAACTGGATAAGTAAATCCAGGGATAGTGAGAAGTCGGGCATTGTTGAAATACTTGACAAATATCTCATGGTTGATTGTAGCGGACATCAGAACAACCTTCAACCTGGGGTGCGTTTTCAACAGCTCCTTTAGCTCAAGCAGGAGGAAGTCGCCGTCAACCGAGCGTTCGTGCACCTGAGGTCGATCAATTAGGTAGCCCCGAGAGACAAAAACAAGGAAATCTGACCTCATCTACAATAATGTGCGTTACATCACTGAGCCTGTCTCCAGATCCTAATCTTCTCAGTACGACACCAGTAGTGCAGAAGAGTAACTTTGTTCTCTTGCTCTGCTTGCTCTCACCACGTATCGCGTATCCAACTGAACCGTCGTCCAGGCGTTCGGCCGATACGCGAGCGGCTACACCGAGAGCGGAGAGCCTCCGCGGCTGCGTCACGATGATTGATGCCCTAGAGCCATTTCCTGCCAATATCATAGAATCAAGTACAAATTGAGGCACTGCAACAGCCATTAGCGTAGCGACGCATAAAATCAAGCGAGGACGTACGCTGCGTTGTCTTTCCACAGCCTAGAATGAATGTGAGAAAAGAGCAAGACTTCTGCCGCTATAACGCATGTACCTGTTTCTCCTATTACCACGACGCATCTATTATGCTCCAACAAGTCCACGAACTGTACGTGAGCAGAATATGCTGGAAGTCTCCTCCGGGCTGCGAGGATCTGGGTATACTGGTCATTTGACTGCATGTTCAGGAAAGCCTCTTTTACAGCAGAGTCTGAACGATCGTCCCGCCGCTGGGGACCACCCTGTTTGCGCCTTGTTCCATAATCTATGAAGGTAGCGTCATGATATGGTACCTCTTCGGCCACTTCGGTGCCGGAGGGACTGGGTATTAAATGCGCCAGAACAGCAGATATATCCGGTGGCCCTCTGTCCTCGATATTGACCCACTCTTCTTCCAGCACTCGTACAGCAGCCATTATGAAGGTCTCACCGAACTCCAGTAGTGTACCAGATATGAAGGCAGAAAGCAATTTCGACACTAGGTGTAGTCGGATATAAGCAGGTACCGATGGCGAGGTGATATAAAGAGGCGGAGGAACTCCATTGATAGGCACGGTACGGTTCTGAGTGGTCAAGACGACAAGCTTAAGGGGAGCGACAGGAAGAGGAATGACGATTTCGTTGTTGTCCGCACATTCGCCTCCAAGTGCATCTAGTTCATCCTGGTCCACTTCTTGCTCGTCATGCGAGTATGCGTCCATAGAATCCAGCCATTTTTGGCCAAGCAATCTCTGATCAAGAGAGGATACTAGCATGGCCCAGTCTCCCGCCAACGTTACGTCCGACATGCACTCCTTCACGACGTGCGCTGGCCAGCCACATTCCTTGACGGCCTTTTCTTCGACCCATCGCTTCTTGAGGTCATCGGTACCCGCATGTGTGGACGTTACAAATGATTCCGACGTGTTGGCACTGGGAAGGAACCGTTGCGGCAGATCGCATTCAGGGACTTGGAGAATCAGATATTCGATGCAGGCCTGTAGGGGTGCCAAACAGTGTAGAAGATTGGAGGCCAGTAATGAGGGCCGAGACAATGCCTCGACAGCGCTCCGAGCCTGAGAGGGCTTGAACCCCAGACTACATAATTGTTGCTGTACTTGCGGGCCATCTTCTGGATTTATGACGGCTGGTTTAACATTATCCGCGTCTGGATAGAGAGCAATACCCTGACACAGAAAGTTAAACATTAGCACATACACAAGGAACATCGACGGCGAACCTTTTTGATGGAATCCTCGACAAGATCTCGCAAAGCGCTGGCCATCCTTGCTTCGGGAGCGTTTTCGAATTCTCTTGACGCTCCTGTGCTTCCTCTGGTCCCCTGTCCTTCCTGACTGGACTCCGCTCTTTTCGCCGCGGCTTTGGCCTGCCTTTCTTCCACCGCCTTGCGTGCTGCGAAGGGATCAGCATCATACATCCATTTCTGGTGCTCGGGCGCATCCTGATGTTCAGCAGCCAGCTCGTTCCAATACTCTCGCGGTCCAGGAGGTAGCACTCGATTTAGTTGTATGCCGTTGCAGAACTGTCATGATAAGGTGAAGCATTCCATTCTGTGCCGATCGCAATATGCCAGACACACGAACACGATACAATGCATAGGTTGCGCCCCAATGGCGGGCTTCTAGAGCGGTAGGAAGAATCTTTGACGGGTGAGGTTCAAGCCGCACGGATTCTTGCTGGGACGTCTTCTTGCTCATTCTCTTCAGCGTCACGACGAAGGAGAATCCATTGCGTTCCTTCCTCTATGATATGTACAGGGAGATGTGCGAAAACTTTCGCTATGCGGGAACGTACCGTGTCAACTTGAGGTTTCTCCCACCCATTTTTCTGACATCTGTAGGAATACGCCACACTGAGCTTCTTCACATTTGATGTGACGTATCAGTAACTGACCTCTCATGAAGCAGACTCAACGGATACTTCGAACCAGGCGGGAAGAGCGGTTTCTCCTCCACAATTGTAGTAGCAGGGGCTGCATCTTGAGGCTTGGACGCTTTAGAAGAGTTGCCGGCGTTTCCTGACTTGACGATGCCTCGCTTGGGAGGCATGCAAGATAGCGGCACTGCTTGAAGTAAAGGTCAAACACAGTGGTTTGAATGTAATAAGCACTGTTATTCACTTTGAAACTCCGATACAGGCAAAGCTACCACCCTCTTCCAAATGAATGTGTAATTGAGGCGGAGTGTGAAAATGCCTAACGCATTACTAATGCCACTCTGGTATATATAGATAGCGCACGCTTGTCGACTCTCACAACTCACACCTGTACCATGGCTGATGCTGATCTCTATAAACTCGAATTCCTGTCTCTGGTTGCAAAGATCACTCAGGAGATTGACAATCATACCGGGATAAATGACAAAACACTTGCCGAGTTCGTCATCTCTCTCCACGACGAGTCGAAGACATTAGCCGAGTTCAAGCAGAAGATCAAAGATGCTGGGGCGAATTTTCCTGAGTCTTTCATCGAGAACGTCGATCGGCTCATTCTAAGCATGCATCCAAAACATAAGAAGAAACCAGCTGCTAGCGGCAAGGAGAACGCTTCGGCGGCAGACGGTGGACTGGATGAGCTGGACAAGCGGAAACGCATATTCCCGGGTCTCGCTTTGAAGGACCAGGAGCGGCAGCCGAGTGCCACAAAGGATGCTATAATGATGGAAGTTGATGATATGATGTCTCAGCTCGAGGGCGCAGCAAAGAGGGCGAGGACAAAAGAGGTCGAGGAGGAACGCTTTCCGAAGCGACGTCGGTATTCGCCATCCCCGCCTCGTCGTCGTAGTCCCAGTCCTTTGCGTGGAAGAGGCTATGGGGACAGAAGAGATGACTCGCGAGGAAGGAATAGCGTCCACGGTCGGTCGTTGGACGAACGGCCGGCGTTGTACAAGATCTACGACGGCCGTGTCTCCGGCTTGAAGGACTTTGGAGCTTTCGTACAGTTGGAAGGTGTTGTCGGACGAGTAGAAGGTACGTTCATTGTGCTTCGAGTCACTAATCTCAACACCCACCTTACCCTCTGTAGGTATGGTTCACGTCTCCAATATCCAGCAAGGAGCGCGGGCCAACTCTGCATCTGACCTCATTAGTCGTGGACAGTCCGTGAAGGTCAAAGTAATGAGTGTAGCGGGCAATCGGATAGGTCTATCTATGAAGGACGTCGACCAGGTGACAGGTCGTGACCTCACTCCTCACTTACGTATCAAATCAGAAGCAGAGCTCGCGGAGGAAGAACGCCTACAGGCTGCTCGTGGTGCTAATGCTGTGCCTCTTAACTCCCGCGAGACCGGAAAGAAGGAGGTGGTGCGTTCAGCCAAGCGCCTAACCTCTCCGGAGCGGTGGGAGATCAAACAGCTCATCTCATCCGGCGCCATTGACGCGTCAGAATATCCGGATCTCGATGAAGATTTTGCAAATCCAATGGCTCGTGCAGAGGTAGAGGAGGACTTGGATATCGAGATAAGGGAGGAGGAGCCGCCGTTCCTGGCTGGTCAGACGAAGAAGACTTTGGACTTGAGTCCGGTCAAAATCGTGAAGGCGCCCGATGGCTCACTCAATCGGGCTGCTCTTGCTGGTGCCTCTTTGGCGAAGGAACGAAGGGAGCTGCGACAGCAGGAGGCCAACGAGGAAGCCGATTCTGAAGCTCGCGACTTCAGCGCTCCTTGGCTGGATCCTATGTCCAAGGAGAGCGACAGGATCTTCGCTCAGGATCTTAGAGGCAACCTAAGAGGCCAGAAGGCTGGTGAGCAGCCGAAGTGGAAGGAGGCCACATTCAATAAGGCGACCACTTTCGGTGAGATTACTAGTCTCAGCCTCCAGGACCAGCGTAAGAGCCTGCCAATCTACAAGCTTCGTGACCCGCTGTTGCAGGCGATCCGTGAGGTATGTTTCAGGTGTCCCATCGCAGCTGTGATGTTACTCATTGCTCCCTTAGCACCAGGTCCTCATTGTCGTTGGCGACACCGGTTCGGGTAAGACGACACAAATGACTCAGTACCTTGCTGAGGCCGGCTTCGCGGACAAGGGAAAGATTGGCTGTACTCAACCTCGACGTGTCGCCGCTATGTCGGTTGCAAAGCGTGTGGCCGAAGAGGTTGGATGCCGTCTCGGTCAAGAAGTCGGGTACACAATTCGTTTCGAGGATTGCACCAGTCCAGAGACACGGATCAAATACATGACTGATGGTATGCTTCAGCGAGAGTGTCTTATCGATCCGGATGTTAGCGCATATTCCGTGGTCATGCTGGACGAGGCTCACGAGCGGACCATTGCCACCGATGTGCTGTTTGGCCTTCTGAAGAGTAAGCATTTTTCCTATTGCAGTTGCTTCACTTGCTTAACGTTTGTTCACAGAGGCCATCAAGCGACGGCCAGAACTGAAGCTGATCGTTACATCGGCCACTCTGGATGCTGAGAAATTTTCCAAGTACTTCTTCGGCTGTCCGATCTTTACTATCCCTGGTCGTACATACCCCGTAGAAATCCTCTACACGAAGGAGCCCGAGACCGACTATCTAGATGCATCGCTCATCACTGTCATGCAAATTCACTTGTCGGAACCTCCCGGTGACGTCCTGCTATTCTTGACTGGACAGGAGGAGATCGACACCTCATGCGAAATTCTATACGAGCGCATGAAAGCCCTAGGCCCGAAGGTTCCAGAGCTCATCGTCCTTCCCATCTATTCCGCGCTGCCATCGGAAGTTCAGTCGAGGGTCTTTGAACCTACACCGCCGGGAGCTCGAAAAGTCGTCGTGGCGACTAACGTGGCCGAGACAAGTCTAACAATTCCCGGTATCTACTACGTTATCGATCCAGGTTTCTCCAAGCAGAATGCATACGACCCACAGTTGGGAATGGACTCTCTCGTTGTCATGCCCATTTCACAAGCACAGGCACGGCAACGTGCAGGTCGCGCCGGCCGCACCGGGCCTGGCAAGTGCTATCGCCTGTACACGGAGGCCGCTTTCCGGAACGAGATGATGCCCAATTCGATACCGGACATCCAGCGCACGAACTTGGCCAACACGATCCTAATGCTCAAGGCCATGGGTATTAACGACTTGCTCAGTTTCGACTTCATGGATCCCCCTCCCGCACAGACGATGTTGACTGCGCTGGAGTCGCTCTACGCGCTCTCAGCGTTAGACGACGAGGGTCTGCTGACACGGTTGGGCCGGAAGATGGCGGACTTCCCAATGGAACCGCCACTCGCGAAGATGCTAATCGCATCCGTGGAGCTGGGATGTTCGGAAGAGATTCTGTCCATCGTGGCAATGCTATCTGTCCAGAGCGTGTTCTATCGCCCGAAGGAGAAGCAGGGTCAGGCGGATTCCAAGAAGGCGAAGTTCCATCAGCCGGAAGGCGATCACCTCACCCTACTCACGGTATACAACGGTTGGAAGGCGAGCAACTTCTCTAACCCTTGGTGTTACGAGAACTTTATCCAGGCGCGGAGCATGCGGAGAGCGCAGGATGTGCGGAAGCAGCTGCTGGGCATCATGGACCGGTATGTGTTACTCTCTGGGCCCTTCCCTTTGTCGGTTTAGTGTCACTCACACTTGGTTATTCAATAGCTATAAACACGACATAATCTCGGCAGGTCGAGATTACAATCGCGTCCGTAAAGCGATTTGCTCCGGCTTCTTCCGGAACGCCGCAAAGAAAGACCCGCAAGAGGGTTACAAGACCCTTGTGGAAGGCACTCCTGTCTACATACACCCGTCTTCCGCGCTGTTCAACCGCAACCCTGAGTGGTGCATCTACCATGAGCTGATCTTGACCACCCGAGAATATTGCCACAACGTTACAGCCATCGAGCCGAAGTGGCTCGTGGAGGTGGCGCCACAATTCTTCAAGGTAGCCGACGCGAACAAGATTAGCAAGCGGAAGAAGCAGGAGAAGATTGAGCCGTTGTACAACAAGGTACGTTTGGCTTTCCGATTGTGTCCATGTCGTTGCTAAAATCCTCGTTCTTCCAGTATGAGAAGCCTGATGAATGGCGGTTATCAAAGGTCAAGCGAAGTGCTCGCTCGGTACGTCCTTCTTCCGTCCCGCTCCCACCGGACGATTGCTCACAATGTCTTTGCAGAGTCAAACATTCGGATGATGATGAATATTCAATTTCTGACATATATTTCATTCTTGTTATTTCTGTATCCGTTGTTGGTTGTAGTACAGTATCATTCCAATTGCTAGTATACCCTCCAGGCTGGTGGTCATGAAAGTGAACTACATCTCGACCAGCCCTCCAAGAGCGTCCCTGCTCGAACGAGCCATGCAGCGACCATATTTGCACAGACGGTGCTGGGAACCCGCGATCTGCCAAATTTGCCGTCAATCTGCACTTGCTTCAATATGCTGCAGTCACGAATAGCAGTTTGCATTCGGAAAGTAATCCCGACCGGGATCATATCGTTGTAATATTTTGTTGTCGATGCTTTCAGAGGCATGAGCGGACCACATCGAAGGGAACAAGGGGTCATGGAACTCACAGACTCTGAAACTATGCTCATCCAACAAATCTCATCGCGTCCGCGTTCACATAGTATTTGGCCACTTCTCCGGTCTTCGACGGCGGTGCGGTTGGATCGGGGACGAGCATGAAAGTTTGCGAGAAGACGCGCGGCTGGCTGTCAACCGACCTGCTCGATTTGCCCGATGGTGCGCGTCCGTGTGTGACAGTGCCTGACACGGTGATGAGAAGGTTCGGTGGCTGGCTCCCTGCGATGCAGATGAGCGTCCCGAGTAAGTTCGAGGAGCAACAGGCGACCGAGCTGACCTGGTATTGGATGGCAGTCGAAAGACTGCACTTCGTGTTTCGTTATGGGCATGGAGCTGATGAGTTTGCGCACGCCCTCGGAGCCTTGATATGGCGTTCCATTCCATGTCAGCGCAGAAGATGGTCGGTAAAAGTTGGGCAAGTCATCCACACGGGTCGGCGAGTCGTAAGTCGAGTAGTATAGACGCGTGAAGTTGTCTGCGGCCCGTGCGGCGATCTCAATGCTGTCGTTTCGTAGTAGACATCAGCTTCACGGTATATTTTCGGACATCTTCGATAAGCTTACTCATTATCTGTCAGAGTGGTCATGATGGTGGTGGTATGCAAGATGTGTCCGAGACCGTCTCTCGCTCGGACGTGTGGTGGCTGAAGAAAGTATGCCACCAGCCACGTGCTGGGCTCCTGGCACGTCCTGACACCCTGCAAAGCGGCCGGGGCTTGCTGGACAGATCTAAAGTAAGCCATGTGGGGATCGACCGTGCGTAAAAGAATTCCACTCTACTGTACACATTATCACATCGTAGGTGTATTTCATATCCAAGCTACAACAGTCCTCGGTTCCGATCATATCCAAGCTACAACAATCCTCGCTTCCGAAGCACCGGTCACGCGGCGGCCTGAGCTCGCATAACGCCACCACGACGACCAATGCCCTCGTGCTCCGTACCCATGCTCGCGTACCACGTCTCAGGACCCTAGGGGAAGACGTCGGCCATCAGCGCATGCTTATCTCCCAGTCTCACGCCGCTTACCTGTCTGTTCTTCAGCCTGAGCTTCCTAATTCTCCTTGAAATCCAGTCTGCCGAACTTGTCCCCGTTTCATATTGTGCCGCGGGAGCCATTGCAATAGCCTTTGCGATCAGCTCGCTCTTTTCTCCCAGAGCGCGGAGCACGACGGAGTCCCTTGGACGCGTGAAGAAGGCGATGGAATATCTCTCGAACCGCGACTGAGCGCCTGGAGGAGGCCTTTCACATAACATTTAGGCTCTGAGTTTGTGAGAGTAGATGATGTTCGCTTACATGACGCGATGGAGATTCGACCGCAAAATCCCGCCGCTAAAAATTGCGAGTGCGTCACCGACGTTGCAGATGGCATAGCCAGAAAGTGGCTGCGTTCCAATAATCAGAGCCTTGAACGAAACACGAGGCGCTGTAAGAGCCCACCTTAATGTACAGCCACTTCTGCGTCCCTGGTGGCATCACCTGCAAACCACCCAGACGGTTATGCAGAAATGTCTACGGAAAGACGTCGGTTTAGAATGCCGGAGGGAACAGAGATTAGGCAAGCTGCTCACAATAGTGCCGAAGTCTGTGTGAGCACCGACACCGGTTGAAGACTGATTTGGAGGGGTCTTGATGCAGCGTGCTTCGCTGCCGCACGGCTCGTCCATAGAATGCAGCTTTGACAGCTCACCCTTTGGCAGGCCGAGTTGCCGTTCGAAGATGGTTAGGAACGTCAAGTTCACCTCCATAGACTTGCGGACGAAAGGTATGATGGTACGCTCCATGCGTGCATTGACTGTCGAGGGGTACATGCGGTGTGTGGTTCTCGGCCAGGAGAGCACGTCGTCTTGTGCGATATTAAGGAACTCGACGTTGTCACGGGTGCCGTTGGCGTCTGTCTGAATCGTCCCGCGGGCCTTGTATCTGCAGCAGAGATAGTCAGCTCAGGCACCACGCCATGGCGGAGCAGATTGCCTACCCGAAGGAGTCCCCGTTGTCGCCCTGCTCGTATCTCATCAGCTCTTCCAGGGGCAGGTCGAGTGTCTCTGCACCCATGTCGAACATGCCGTCAACTTCACGCTCGACTCCATGGTTCTTCAGGCTGTACGTCGATTTATCAATTCGCCGCGTGGTGATGGAAGGTGGCGTCGACGGAACTCACTACCAGAATCCGAGCTCGGTGCCTGCTTTCCACAGTTTCGCGATCTCCTGCTTGTCGCCTTGTATGAGGAGAGCATAGTCGATGACAAATAGCGGGTGGGTCGGGACGTCGTCGGGAAAAGGAGCAGTTGCAGTGAGGCCGGGCATTCTGCAGTGGCGGGCACCAATTTGGTGTTTGGTCTGCACGAGTTCGTTGGCTTCCTTTTATCATCCTCCAGCGTGCCTCCCGGAAAGACAATCGCTGGAAATGCGCCGATGGTACTCGGTCCAGCCGAGTGAACCTCGCGACACTAGCCTGATGGAGGCAAGCCGAATTGACATTTCCTATTCAATGTGGTGTCCCAAGACTCGGGCTACGCCCTGGAGCGCTTCCCGCAAAGAGAATCTACGATGGCGCCGCTCGGAACTGAATAAAATGACAAGGAATGGTCAAGATGGTGATATCTAAGATCAGCAGTTTCGCGCATCATCGGCAGTGCCTGACTTCTCAGCAACAACCGGACTATGCAGTGTTCCATACTACAAGTCGCCGGCCCACGTGTCGAAATGACGCGCTATCTGTCAACTTGACGAGTCTATTGCAAAGCTTGCTTGCCAGTATCCGTCTGCCCACGGACACCTGGTATTCGCCCCGGGTATCGGCCTTCGAGATGTGCCCAGATACGCATAGTGCGGCAGGGCAACAGCATGGCTACAATTGACCCGGATGTGTCTAGATCGCTGCAGCGCGCTGAGCACTCGGGAGTATGTGGTAAATGCATGAACCTACTTGGCACCCGTTTGATTGGCAGGTGACCGGTGTCTTTACCATTGCAGGTAGACTAACACGCGCTTCAACGATGCATGCAGGAAAGATATCGCGACGCTGCCCTCGGATCCGATCTGTCGTTCTTCCAGGCTTCGTTCCTAGCTTGAAACGACGGGATGTGATCCCCAGGGCGCTCAACGCGGGGAGATCTGCACGCTTGATTTCGGCAACATACCGCGTGCAGAACTGAACAGCCATGGACGTAAGCTATGACAAGTTCGGATCGCTAGTGCTTGCTTCGCGCAGCATTTCTGTCAACCTAACCCCCCGGTGTTCTTCCGAAGGTCTGGCAATACGGGGCGAACCAGCGTCCAGACATTCAAAGAAGGTCGGATGAATTAAATGATGCATGCAATGAGACACGCACCTGTATGCTGGATATTGTTATCGCTTGCGAATTTCCGCGCGGTGGGCGCGGTCAGATGTCTAGCAGCAGACTTCTCAAATTCAGCAGCGGCGTCCGGAATGTAAAGTCCACCACCAATGTTGTGACATAAATAGCGCGCTTAGGTGTCGGCTATAACAATGACCGTGTCGATGATACAGGACCGCCCCTATCAGAGAGGTCAAGGGCGCCCATATGACCATGAAAGCCGGCCGGTTGTCGTGGTCGATCGAGAGCACAGCTTCGTAGACGCTTTGCATGGCCGAACCGCGTGGCAGCCGTTGGAATGCGGCCCTGTACTATCCCCCAATGCAGATACATTGCATTTTATTGTGGAGCGCCCCATCGTTTCTCCAGATGTGCATGACGAGTGACGATGGGCGGTCCGGGCGCGGACATATATGAGATTGCATCCGACATGATCATGCCATGTGAGAGAGCGCAACAGAGTGGGCGCAGCGCAAGGAGTCCAACGCGAGAAGAGACACAGACATAAGCATTAATGAGCAGGTGCTGCACTGGCGACACGATGGTGGTGGTTGCAAGCAAGTCGGAGTGCACGTGCTGCACACGCGTCCCTTGCGCGTCCCGTCACGCCCGCGTGTCGTGCGTTACCCACGTGACGCCAATGAGGCGTAGAGATACACAGTGCAGACTGCCAGAGGCCGCAACTATCTCAGAGGCTCGTATCTTCGCTATTACTACCGCTGCTTCGGTGGAGATAGGAACGTGCATCACATTAGCTTGCCAGACGAAGGTCCGTGCAATCCGAGCGCCAGGGTCGACAATGACCGTATCTGAAGCGCTTGTTCCAGGAGTAGGCGTATTCCTTGTATTCACTTGCAATTCCGTCTTCAGCTTCCCTGGCGCCGCTTCCTAAGCATTGTCTGGACCAGAGATACACCACCGGCTCTCTCGGTCTGCACCACATCCAGTGACATTAGTCGCCCTACCAGCACTGGCCCACCATGTGGGAGCGAACCTTGCAAGACCTCATCCGAGGCCTACGTGCCAATAAGAAAGATGAGGGCAAGTTCATCGCACAAGCGATTGCGGAGATACGTCAGGAGGTCAAGAGCAAAGACATGGAGCTAAAGGCGGGCGCCGTGTTGAAGCTCACATATGTCAGTCGGGCACCAGAATATCTTCGGATCCTGAGGGCCCAGGGGGGCATCGCTAACGGTGCAGCACGCAGCTAGACATGTTGGGGTATGACATGAGTTGGGCATCATTCCATGTCGTCGAAGTCATGTCATCGCCAAAGATTCACCTGAAGAGCGTCGGTTATCTTGCCGCGGCACAGTCGTTCCATCAGGACACGGATGTTCTCATGCTGACCACGAACCTACTCAAGAAGGTGCGGTTGAGGAGCTGCAGTGCTGCTACGAATGCCGGTCTGACGCATTGAGTCCAGGACTTGGCTTCCAAGCCCGAGGAGGTGGCAGTCACTCTGAACGGTCTCTCGCACATTGTGACGCCAGACTTGGCTCGCGATCTATGCCACGATCTCATAGCCATGCTCAACCATTCAAAACCTCATATTCGGAAGCGCGCCGTGCTTGCTGTATACAAAGTATTCGTCAAGTATCCGGAGATCATACCGTATGGAATGAGCAGATTGAAGGAGAAGCTGGATGATCCAGACCCTGGTGAGTACGATAGCTCCGCATATATCACGATTACCTCTCACTCAGTTGCTAGGTGTTGTGGCTGCTACTGTCAATGTTCTATGTGAGCTTGTACAGCGAAATCCCAAAGACTACCTCACCTTGGCACCACAAATGTTCCATCTCATGACAACGTCTACGAACAACTGGATGCTTATCAAGATCATCAAGTTGGTGAGGCTTTCGTCGTCGTTCTGCACTGACCAATCACTCTGAACAGTTGCTTAGTTCGGTACATTGACCCCTTACGAGCCTCGACTAGTGAGAAAGCTGCAGCCACCAATCACGGACCTCATCTCCACTACACCTGCGATCTCTCTCCTCTATGAGTGTGTGCACACTTGCATCATTGGCGGCATGCTTCAAGATGCATCAGGAAGTTCTCTGGCGAGGACGTGTGTCACAAAATTGGCGGCGTTCCTCCAAGATCCCGACCAGAACTGTGAGCACTGACCAACCAACTATGGCACCGTGATCTAGGAGAGTGTTTGACAATGTCTCTTGGGGTCGCATCTAGTGAAGTATATCGCATTGCTTGCGATGGTCAAGATCGTGCCAACCCATCCTGAGCTCGTGGCCGAGTACCAAGACATGATCATCTCCAGCGTCGATGATCAGGATATTAGTATACGCATGCGAGCCTTGGACCTTCTCTCTGCAATGGTTAGTAGGACCACACGCAGGTGCTTGCAAGATGCTAATGCTGTTGTTGTTAGGTCAGCCGGAACAACCTGCAGCCTATCGTCCAGGCGTTGCTGTCACATTTAGTCCGCCCAGAGTCATCAACCTTGCCATCCGCAGCCCAGACACTACTATCCCAATACAGAACAGCTGCAGCCGCCGCAACGCCACCGAAGTCCGCTAGCGCGCCCTCTCAGTCACCTGCGTACCGCCTCACACTATCACAACGGATACTGGCGCTTGGCTCCCAAGACACGTACGACAACGTGATTGACTTTGAATGGTATCTGTCTGTCCTAGTCGATCTCGCGTACGTCTCCGGTGCCAACGTCGGGCCGCAAATCCGCGACCAGCTGGTGGACATCGTCGGACGCGTGCGGGGTGCCCGACGATATGCCGTGCAGCTAATGGTCAAGGCGCTCACGGATGACTCGTTCCTGCTGAATGCCTCCGAGGAGGGCAGCTGCGCGGAGATACTGTGGGCCGCGGCGTGGATATGCGGCGAGCACTGCGGGTATGCAATCACACGCTGGTCAACAAGCGGTCGGTGCTAATCACATTGATGCTGATAGAGAGCTCGCGGAGCCACAGAAGCTGCTGAATTATCTCCTACAACCGGGGATAGCTGCGCTAGAGCCGGAGACGATCGCAGTGTATTTGCAGGCTGCTACAAAGGTGTTCGGCTATTGGGCTGCGGAACAGGCTGACAGATGGGACGATGACGACCTGCCCAAGATCAAGAGCGTCGTTGATATGATGCTGGAGCGCTGCAGAGACTTTGCGACCAATCCGGACATCGAGGTCCAAGAACGGGTAAAATGCTCTCCCTGCAGACTTGCTGACAAAACACGAACTAACTGATGTTGTGTGAACAGGCCGCGGAAATGCTCAATCTATTCACTTTCATCCGTGCCGATCTCAATTCCTACCGGCCAAGGGCAGACAATAGCTTTGGCCTCGGCGATGCTAGCCTCTCAGGGTTTGAGGAGCCTGCGCCGGCAGAACCCAACTTTCCCAAGAGCCTTTTCCTCATCCGTCCGCTCTCTGCATCATACGAGCTCAACGCCGTCGCGCGCTCCGCACAAGCTGCTGTTCCGATCCCGGAGGGTTTGGATCTCGATGCATGGATTACGGCACCACCCAAAGAGATGCACGATGCCATCGAGAGAGAAGACGAAGCGCAGGAGGACAAAAAGAAGAAGAAGAAGGGCAGCAAAAAGGGAAAGGAGAAGGAGTCGAACGGCGCTAAGAGCAAGGGAAAGAAGAGGGCGGACCGGACGACGGACGACGTCACTCCGGTAGCTGCTGAGACTGCGGAGGAACGGGCTGAGCGCGAGCGTGTGCGTCAATGCTCATGTGGCTCTCCGTGGGTGATCTTGTCTGACGCGTGTCTTTCCTGCTAGCGTAAGGCGGAGCGGTTAGAGCGGCTCCGAGACGACCCATATTATCTCATTGACGACCGGCCATCATCAACCATGCCCACTGTCGGCGATGTGGAGTCTATACCGGTGGTTAGACTGGATGACCTCCCACCGATTTCCCAAGGCAAGTCGGCGCCCGATTTGCTGCGCCCGCGGACACTAACGTGGGTTTTCAGCGGAGAGTTCCCGGCTTCCCCGTCTTCGGAACACGCCTTCCCCCGAGCCACAGACGTTCATTATCGACAAAACGGGCGAAATGCCAGAAGGTGCCGTAGCAGTGGCGGTGGCGGACACCAGCATAGAGGCACAACCACCACCAAGTGCTAACCCCTCCAAGGATAGCGCGCAGCCAACAGCGCCACCATCATCCTTCCCGCCATATGAAATGGAGGACGAGCTGTCGCACACCGCCACTCCGCCGCCCATCAAGGTCACAAGGGCAAAGAAGAAGGGCACGTCGAGCGGGAAAAAGAAACGGACAAATAAAGTCGATAGCACTAGTCCTTTACCAGAGTGATCATACAGCGTGGCGGGATTATTTGTACGTGGTCACTACACGTATGGTATATTGCGCGATAGGAGTGAGTTGCTACGACGAGATGCGATCAATCACAAGAAAGCAGAGCGTGGTGATACAATGAAACGCGGGGATAAAAGCAACTGCGTGACTAGATATACGTGATCAGAGCGATTGAAATATGGGTAGGATGAACGTCCGATAGAAGTGCTGGGAGAGAGATGCTTGAAGGAGAATGGTGTCACGGCACGCATACACACTATAGGTTATCAGCCGGGCGCCCTTCATCGGTCATCTTCTACATGCTCGACCGAGTCCACAATTTCGTTGATGAGCTCCATCGTTACGCCGGGGATGACACGCTCGGCGTCGTTGAACGCGCGCTGCAACGCACTGAGCGCAACGCGGGCTTCCTGCGTGGACACACGCGGGAAAAGCTGCATGACAGATCCAACGCGGGTTAGCATAGCACACGAACACCGCACTACAGGAGATACTGCGCACCGAGGCGATCGCAGGCAGGACAACCGAATCCAACATAGTCGTGTCCGGCAGCTCCTCGTCGACGACGTCGTGGTGGTTCGCAGGCATGGGCGTCGGAAAAGCATCGAGGTCCGGACCTTCATAGCCCTCGTACTCGTCCGAAGGCTGTCGGACAGCGCGCACGCCCGTGCCATTGCGAATCGTTGCGTGCTGATCCGTCTTCTTGGGCGCCGGCGCCGCGGGCAAGCCCGCCCTTGAGCTGACGGAGGTAGCCCGCGTTGACTCCGAGACGTCTCTGTCCTTGTGCGCAGTAAAGGTAGAACTCGACGCAGAAGAGGCAGTGGGCGTCGCTGGGTCGTCTGAGTGGGCGCTGCCCTTGCCGTTCATATTGTTCTCCCATGTCAGTGGTGGCCCGGAGACATGAACCGTTGGCTGAGCACGCCCAATTGTTGTCGCATGTCGAACGGTGCCGAAGTCCCAGAGATCCTCCGGATCGCTGTTAGACCTGTAGCGCAGATCTTGCGGTTAGCCCGGGTAGAGGCAAAGCATCTAAAAACGTAATGAATACGTACAGGTCCTCGGCATGGAGCCGCTCTTCCTCCTCCGCCCTCTCACCGCCCTCTGCCTTCCAGCGCTCGTGGCGCTCGATGAGCTCGGTAAGATAGCTCGTTTTCTTTGCCATGCGCACGAATTTGTGTTTCAGCAGGTCGCGTGCTGACGGACGCTGTAGTTCACGGGCGTATATGAGTATTCAAACCTAAGCATAGCGACAATAACAGCCGTACGTCTCGAGGGTCTCGCTGGAGGCAGTACGATACAAATTCCTTGAACGTTTTAGAGAAAAGTCCATCCAGAGTAGGCGGCGGGTTCTTCGGTATCAAGAACAAAACCTAATAGACGAGCGGAAATCAAGCAAATGTCAGTTTGGGTAACGCGGGCGACATGTTACAAACCTTCATCGGGTGAAGTTCTGCATAAGGAGGTTCCCCCTTGGCGAGCTCAATCGCCGTGATGCCTAAACTCCATATGTCAGCTTTGTGATCATAGCCGCTCTGCTTGATGACCTCTGGCGACATCCAATACGGCGTCCCGACAAAGGTGTTCTTCTTTGCAGATAGAGTGCCAGATAGTTGGCCCGAGACACCGAAATCGGCCAGCTTCACATCGCCGGTAGCGGACAATAGAATGTTTGCGGCTGCAAAGATACCGCGCAATTAGACCCACATCTAAACGTAACAAGACAGGCAGATGCTCACCCTTGATGTCTCGATGGAGCTTACCCTCACTGTGGAGATATTCAAGACCTTTCAACAGCTCCCGCACAATGATAGCGATATACTCTTCGCGAAAGACACCCGGTTTCATCTAATGTCAGGGAAGGTGAGATTCGCAGATAACACAGGACCAACGACCAACTGACCAAGTCCGAGCATGATCCACCGGAACAATATCTGCGTGCTATTAGTACTGAGCTGTAGCGAGATAGAGGTATGCACTTACTCCATAACGATCCAAAGATGAGAGCCCTTCAGGTAAGATCCATGGTATTTGGTGACATGTGGGGAATCCAGTTGCGATAGAATCTGAATCTCCTGTTGGATATCTTCTATCTCATCCTCGGCACTCTCCAGGTCAATGATCTTTATGGCAACAGTCTTTTGGGTTCGCTTGTCGTAGCTGAGTGAGACGAAGTCAGTCAAATGCAACGATAAGTCGATGAGGGCCTACGTACCCTTTGTACACCTCTCCGAAGGACCCCTTGCCTGGGGAACACGCGGCGTAGATGTGAGCGAACAATCGCAGAGCGTGCGATGCGTGAAATGTGACGTACCGATCCTGTCCTGTTTTACATAGAATTCCTCCGGATCCTGATGATGGGTCTCCTGCGCGCGAGACCACATATCCGCTCAATCGGCGCGGTCCTCGGATCGAAGCGAAACCGCACGCTCACCATTGTTTTGGGGCCTCGCTGATCAGAATAGAAGGACGTGAAAGGGACGTAACGTTCGTGGCGGTTCGTGAAGGCAATCCAGCAGATACAGCCTCAGTCCGATATCCCGCCGGGTATCGGGTGGTCAGCAGCGATGAGCGACGAAAACGCAGGGCACCAGTGCGAGCACGGAGGCGAGAGGAGAAGCACTGCAGTAGGAGGGAGGAGGAGGAGGAGAGGGCGTTGGGTGGAAAGCGGAGGAGAGGGCGGTCAGCCGCCAGAAACGATATCGTTGCCGATCTCAGAGGCCAGGCTGCCGGTCCTAGGACCCTGGAACTCCTCACACACACGCTGGCTCTGCGTTCACAGCACCTGCTCTGCCCGGTTTCCGAGTTAGCCACCTAGCGCACTCAGCGGCGAGCAAGCACAAAAGAGAGACACATTTTTGCTGGATAAAGGCAGCGGCGGCAGAGAGCCCGGAGGGAAAATCGACCAGCCGCCCAGGCAATAAGCGGAGTCCGGGGTCGCTCTGTGCGCATTGCAGCCTCCTTGTTCGACGCATTCTCCCTCATAAGGCCCGACGCCCACTCTCAAACGCGTTTTAACGCGTTTTGACTACTCTTAATCCCAGATATAAATCGTTTCAACCATGGCAGGAGAAAGACGACGACTCTCGGACGCACAGGGCCCGTCAGAAGACGCGAAGAGGCCCCGGAACGATCTGGACATAATCGTGATTGACGATGACGAAGATGATGAACCCCTCGAGACTATTCTGGCCAGAATAGAAGCGCAGGAAAGGAGTGAGGCTCTCGCGAGACAATTGCAGGCTGAATGGGCTGCCGAGGAGGCGGAATGCGATGCGAGTCAGGCCAGCTCCAGCGTTGCATCCTCGTCAAACGTCCAACCTCCTAACGCAATTAGTGCACTACAATCCCGCGAGATTATAGATGTCGATGAGCTGGGTGATGAATCTATGGTATATGGTTTCTCTCAGCGGCAGGAACACCTCAGTGCGAACGTACAACCCACCGAATCATTCGCATCTGTGCCACTCTCTGTACCTTCACCCAAATTGCGGAGTTACTCTGATTCAGATGTAGAGCTTCTAGAAGACAATGAAGCCGCAGAAGTCGCGAGGCTCATTGCAAGGAAACGAGAACGTGCCGTCGCAAGCTCTCCAGTTGCCGAGCCTCCTACAGCATCCCAGTCTGCATCTGCTAAGTTAAAGGGAAAGGCATCTGCGGGCTCGAGTGGAGGCACGGTGCCGACGCAGAAGCTCCGTGAATATCAGGATCTATTTACTGGTTTCAAGGAATGCGAATGTGGCCAACCTATTCTGTCGGAACGCGGCCATGTATGTCTAGAAGTCTCCAGTTCTCGTGAAGCACCAGCTGAAGATCCCATGACATTTAGGTAACATATACAGATCAAGGCTCTCCATCGAGTCTCCTCTTCCTCCTACACGCCCCATGCCACTTTTGTACGAAGAATCACTGCCGGGGATGCATGAAACCAGTACCCTGCCCCATCAACTGCACAGGCAAACACCGAGACAACGACACTCCCTGCGCTGCAGTTACCTGCTGTGCCGAGGTCCGCGCGATCGCACTCTTCGAGGCTCTCGGCGGGTTCGACCGTCAGTACCTCGGCGAGCGCGCCAGGGCGGACGCCCGTGTGCGCGAGGCCTCTGCACGCAACCGCGCAATGTACACTCGCAGCGTCGGGCCTCGCGGGACGGGATACTCCGTGGACTCATTTGGCGGTCTCATGCTCGGAGACGGGTACTATTCTTCTTCTGATGAAGAAAGCGAGTTCGGAGGTAGTTGGCCTGGAATCGGTACCCGTGGTCGGGGGAGAGGACGAGGTAGGGGTAGGGGATGGGCCCTCAGCTCTATCGTCAACCTTGGCTCTAGTCTCAGCTACAAATCACAGCCCAGCCCCACCTTCAACCCACACTCGACTGCGGAGCTAGCTGATCACGACAACGAGACTGCCTTAGCCTGGGATGAGGTGGTCGTCCGTGCGCTGACGACGATCACGGAGTTTCTGCCGGCACCGTATGCGGAAAGCCCGCAGATCTACGACATGCTTCCGAATCCGTCCATCACGGACCTGCTGGCGGCGTCTCAGCTGCCCGAGCTGCTGGACAACCTGCTCCGGAACGACTCTGTCACAGACTGGATCGCCCGTGCCGACGTGTATCATGCCACCTTGTCGCTGTTACGACGGCTAGCAGACTGTGAGCTGACTATCGAGGTACATCCTAAATAGAGAATATCATGATCATTTCTGATTATCCTTCTGCACAGGTCCTTGTAGGGCAAAGATGGGAACTTGAGAAAAGCTGCGGTCTCACAGACTTCTTGTGGGGCGACGGCGAGATTACCTGGGCAAAGGTCTCAGGCGCGCTCGTCAGAGCACCCCCGCTCTATGCTCACTTTAAGAAGCTCACGAAGCAATGCGAGACGTTCCTCTCGGGTGCTTCGACGATGTTTGCAGATAAGGAAGAGGAAGTCGCGGAGCAGACAGTGAAGGCCATGTCGCTATGCGGCGACATCATCGCCGCACGGGACGACATCGAGCGCGCGATGAGCGTGCTCGGGAAAGACCTCGCCTCCGTCCTGCAAGAGCCATCCGTCGCTTCCTCCATGTGCGACCACTCAGCGTCGTCCTCCGCCCAGTCTAACGGCCAGCCTCCCGATCTCGAGAAGACGTACGCGCGCGAGTGCGAGAAGCTCGCCTTCGCGTACGTGACGCTCTCGCAGCCGTCGCCATCGGGTGACAGCCTTACCTATCCTGGCTTCAACTATGCGAGCAATCTAAAGCAGACGGCCAACGCGACGCGCCTCCCGAAGGACCGGCTTCATCTGATCAAGGAGCTCGCGGTGATGGCGACGAGCCTCCCGCCGGGCGTCTGGGTGCGCGTGGACGAGGTGCGGAACGACGCCATGTGCGTGCTTTCTTCGTGGATTCCCCGTATATGCTAGGACGTGCTTACTGACAGACTCTGGGTGATTGCAGAAAGATGATGATTGCAGGTCCGGAGGGCACGCCGTACGCGGGCGGCCTATTCGAGTTCGACTGCTTCATCCCCATTGAGTACCCGAAGAAGCCGCCGCTGATGCACCTGCGTACGACCGGCGGCGGCAGCGTGCGGTTCAACCCGAACTTGTATGCAAATGGCAGGGTTTGTTTGTCACTCCTTGGGACATGGCAGGGACGGTGGGCGCCATGTACAGCCTAATTGGAGGAGATCAAGGCTGACATTTCGGTGTGCAGCCCTGAAGAACAGTGGTCGTCAAAGTCAACGTTGTTACAGGTCGTTGTGTCCATCCAGGGCATGATCCTGGTCGATTTGCCTTGGTTCAATGAGTGTGTTCTATACGTTGTCCTCCCCATTTGTACGCAGTCTGACTGAAGGAACGTGCTGCAGGCCAGGAGCGGGCCCTGCGAGGGCCGATCTCCGCGCGAGCATTGACTATAACAAGAATATCACGATGCAGACGATGCGGTGGGCGATGGTAGATTGGATGAAGGACGAGCACAAGGATGGCATCTGGGCGGTGAGTTCTCAACTCGACTGAAAAAAGCGGACCCTTATGGTTGCTTCCATAGGATGTTATCGCGTCGCATTTCAGTCTGCGCAAGGACAAGATCCGCAAATGGTGAGCCTCTTCGGCCTACATACTTCACACCTCGCCTAACACACCCGTCCTCGCAGCATCCAAGAATGGGCCCAAGCGGAGCCGCGCATTCGCTCATACAACGCACAGTCCCTCCGCCGCCGCGGCCACACCTTCCAGGCCTTGGATCTGGCCGGCCCGCCCTACCCTCTACCGGCGGGATCTAATCCCTTCGTGTGGCCCACTCCTGGGTCGGAAAGCTCGTCTACGATTCCCGGCCCTAGTTGGGACATCTTCGACTTGGACCTGTCCCCGCCTCCGCCTCCACCGCTAGCTCCCAGCTCGGGCAAACTCTACCCGACACAGACAATCATCAACGGCCAGAGCAACCTCGATCTGCCACCACCCTACCCTTCACCGTCGTCATCGCAAGGATTCAGTTCTATTAAGTGGTCGCAGGCCCCTTACACGACAGGCTCATCGTTCGGGTCGCATCCCACCGGCACCCCGTCGTCTGTTCCCCAGCCGTCGCCGCCATCAGCAGGGCACCGTGTGACTCGGTCCCTCACGTCGCGTCT